TTAGTTGTCTATGATATTCGTATATATATTTTATCTTTATATATTTTTCAGTATTCGTTGGCGATTGTTTAATCGGAATTAGATTTTCGCTTTTGCTGGCTTTGTAATTTTGAGCAATTTATTTAATATATAGAGTCCTGGCGGGGGACGTAAGATGTGCCTGGCCCGTCCCAGATTTCCTGCCCTTTTTTCCCTACGGGGTTTTTTGGGGCAGGTTTTTTCTGGCCACCCTGGTACGCTTACATGTAGCTTTAGTTTAATTACCTTTGCTGTAGCTATGTTCATTTTTTGACTATCATTAAAGTGGGTTATGGCGTTACTCCCAGGCCATATCCAATATTCTCCAGTATTTGTTTGGCTATTTTCGTTTCTTGTTTTTCTATTAACTTCTGGTAAGTGCAGAAAAAGATCAGAAGTATAACTAGGTGCAGCATTATTTAATGCTAGAACAATAGCTGAAATCCCAAAGGCTTAGTATTGTTCTGTCTTCTGTTTTCTTTAAACAATGAATGTATGCATAATTAATGTATGGGGTTATACGGAAATCTTGCCGGCCTATTTTGCGACGTAAACAGCAATGCTAAATAACTTTGTACTAAAAAAAACTCTAAAACTGAAAAGATGACTCTTGCAACGAGCCAATCAAAGTGTTGAGTGAATGACCTTCTTCACCCGAGACCTGCCCGAGACACTCAAGTCAGTCGAGAGTGAATCTTCGTTCTCCATTTTGACTTTTCTCTAAAAACTGCTGACCTGGCAGCCCATGATCTGCCCCAGGGGGGAGGATTTGGCTCCTTTTTTTTCTACAGGAAATTCGTAAGTTGTCTACTAAAACATTGTCAAATATGAAAGACAGGCCAATTTAAGCACTAAAAGCTGCTCAAATATCTCAGAATTAGAATATAACTAGACAAATTGCTCAGAACGAAAAAAGTTGCTCGAAATACGAGAAGTTGCTAAAAAGTTGCCGAACAACTCATGAAAGCTTTTCTGTTGGAAGCCTATAATACACTAAACTGAGATTAGGCTCTATTTTCGTTTCGGTAGCCGTTAGAGAGAATGTATGAGAACCGCTAAATAGTCCAGGCATTTTGTCGTCGGACCTGTAACTAATTGCAAAAGAAGCTTTCTCATCATTGACCAGTTAGAAATATCCCATACTTGAACATACTAAAAGTCCGAAAAGATCCAAGCATGGGAACACCCCCAAACAGGACTCTTGACATGAGTCCCTTTTTCCCATAACATGAAAACGAGGCTGTCAACCGGAAGTTGCTGTTCAGCTTTTGTTATTGATATAAATCGAGCTATTTCGCCAAAACTAAGAATATATCCTTAACAAAATTTATTTTAAGGCTTTAATTGTGAAAGAAGTTCCCAAAAATGTATCATTTGAATAAGTAAGATATTAAGGATTTTTAGAATCTATGTACTCCCCAGCAGTGAGATCTGATTTTGCTGAAACATTACGAGACAAAATTGCTTAAGACTCGCGACAAAAAAGTCCTATATAATCACCAGAAAACCCCTCTTTAATTCAATTCTACATGTGCCTTATACAAAATTAATTTTTAAATACGCCAGTCTTCCGAATCTTAACTTTCGTAGTCTACAGTGTTCGAAAAATTTGTGCACGAAGACCTTTGCAGGCTGGGGAACACTGTATGTTAATTAACAAATTAATGTTAAGTAAGTCGTTTTATTGTTCTTCTGTCTGGTCCAATGCAGCGGACACTGACCTTCTTAAGCTCCAAGCGGTCCAGAACTTTGCAGCCCGGATTATCTGTGTTTCCAGAAAATTTGACCGCGTTTTAATACCTGAAAGAACTGCATTGGCTACCTATTATATCTCCGTGACTTCGTGCTTGCTTTTAAGTATAACCAGAAACTCATAACGGGTTGAATCAACCCCTTATGAGTTTCTGGTATAACTGGCTCCGCTCCTACTTACCTCTCGTCGACGTTTCTAACATGTGGTGAAGTAAGTGGTCGCACGAACAAAAGCTCCCAACTTCTGCATATACCCTTATTTTAAAAAATCGTAAATCTGGACAAAGGACATTCTTTTAACGTATAGTAAATCTGTGGAACAATTTAGATAATTTCCTCAAACTCTGTAACTCTGCTCGTAATTTAAAGCGTAAACTTAAAGCCGAATTATTTGCTACTTTCCTATCTTATCGGTCTTAGTTTGTATCATATCTACTTTATTGTATTTATTAAAGTTTCTGTTGCAGTTGTAATTCTAGTGACTATTTATTTACTTTTTAGCTTTCTTAACTTTTTCTATAAAACATTTTATTATTGATATTTTGTAAGTTTTTGATTTACCGTACTCTCGTTTCAACATCAGTGATTATCATTGTCACTGAAAAGCCCTCTCTTTAGGGAGTGTCAATTTAAGTTTGAATTGTATTATATTGTATCTACCCGCGTAATTTGAGACTGGTTGAGTCACAAGAAAAACTTTCTTTTCGGTATAGGTAGGATACCTTCAATTCCGTTATTTTCTTTTTAAAATCGAAACGCGAATGTGTGTTTTGGAATTCAGCTTGAACCGGAACTTTGGCATTGCATAACGCGCGCTTTATTTATTACTTCATAAGTCAGTGAAAACATTTCCTTCGGCTTTAGCGAAAATGGTCGCCGATTTCATAAAACTTGATACGATTCCTAGTCATTTTTCTCAAAATTTTGAAGAAACAAAATAAATGAATTTACTAATAAACTAAGTTTTGTGACACCCGAAAAAAGTAAGCGCGAAGCGACGAGTGAAGTACAGGTTTTTTCACCGAGGTGAATGATCAGTTCATTTTGGAAGTCTCTACTCAAGACACTCAAGTCAAATATTCTTTTCTTGAATTATATTAGCTTAGAACTCTATATTACTTTTACTTTCAGTTTAAAATTATCCTTTTTAAGTTCTAAACTCGCTTGCGGAACATATAATTCCTCGCTAAATACCTCACCTAGATAGCTAACAATCGTGGATATTTTCTACAGGTTTTACGTGTTTTTTTCTGATTTAAGAATCTCATACAGAACAGTTGTTTTATTTAATCGTTACACAAATGCACTTACTTAGGAAGAAAACGCAATAAATTCTCCCAGTCTTTACTAGTCCATGCTGTACGGGGTTTCAAACTCGAGCAACACAACAGGCAGTACATACAACCTCGTTTTCATGCAGCGCAGTATTAGTCTATATAGGGCTCTAAAAAACACTCGTTTTTCGTCAACTTCCCCTACTCGGATTTTCGGGGACTTTTGATATGTTATAGAGGACATGTTCCTAGACCAAAAACCGTTAAAAAACCTTCTTTTGCAATTAGTGGCAGGTTGACCGACTTTTTGCGATAAAATGCCTGGACTAAAAATTGGGCCTGATGCCTACAGCCCACGGTACGAGTGTTACGTAGTGCAACCAAAATAGATCACTTTGTTGTATGACGTCATATCAACTAGGATAATACAGAAAAAGAAGATGGCGACCTACAGCAACGGCTACAATTTTAATCGTAACACAAATCCATTCGAAGAGGACTCTGACGAAGAATTTGAAAAAGTCAACGGAGATGAATTACGTACTCAAATGCAGCTATCGAGGGAGCGAACATTGGACAGCACAAAGCGCTCTTTGGCTCTCATCGAGGACTCGCATGATCTGGCCGTCCGTACAGGCGAGGAACTACAATGCCAAGGAGAACAACTGAATCGGGTAGAGCGCAATCTTGACAAGATAGAAGGCGACATGCGTATTGCCAACAGACACATCAAATCTGTGAACAGTGTATGGGGTGCTATTGGTAATTACTTCAAGAAACCACCAAAACCCGTTGACAGCACGCTACAATCAAGTCCAAAGTTTGCCTCTGGTATCGCCGACTTGCAAGCTGAATCTTCGCTGCACTACCATTCGAAAGAAGATAGGAACGGCTATGAGGCGGGCCCTAAAGAAAAGGAAAGTTTTCAGAGAAACGTATTTTCGTCCCGTGATCCACGCGAAAGGGAAATAGGGGCTAATCTAGACCTTATTTCTCGAGGGCTTGGACGTTTAAAAGAAGATGCTTTGATCCTTGGTGGTGAAATCGAAAGACAAAATGAACAGTTGGACAGACTGGGCTATAAAGCAGACAAAGCGTATCAGACGGTAGATAAATCAGATAAGAAGATTAGGGGAATATTAAGAAAATAAGCTGTTTCATATTGTACACTTTTATACATAAAATTGGACATAAGTAATAAGCTTATGTCCCCAAAGATAACAGGTTTTAGTAAAATCCAACTACTGGTCTATTATCAATGCTGCGTTCTGATTGGTTGAGCTACTACAAGGCTATATGTTATAGCCCACTAGTAGCGAAAAGCGTGGGCTTTTTGGTGGCAAAAAATGATTAAAGTCTAGCTTTAACTAGCTAAAATGTTTTTATTCTCCATATCTTTGATCAACTAGTTGGATTTTACTAAAACAATTATTATTCCTCTCACCCTCATGGCCTCTGAGTCAATAGATCATGAGGCTGAAGGCTTAGGCTCAAGGAATAATTGTTAATTACATCAATAAACTTATCAACTAAGACAGAGTTAAGTTCTAGGGTAGCAACATTAGCAAGTATCACCATTTAGTTCTGGTTGAAAATCCAAAAGAAGAGTGTGTCAATGGAATATCCACTAATAATTTGTGGGCTGGCTGGGGTATTTTGCAGAACATTGAATAGCTGCTGAACATCAAGTGACACTGACGTTTAGTGATTCGGGTTAGGAAACCGAGGAAATCAAGTTCCAGTTCAGTTTGCCCCATGTAATGAACCCAATTGGAACTTCATTCATTCATTCAGTTTCCTAACCCTAACCAATGAAGTTTCAGAGTCTAGGAGTGTTGCATGATTATACTAAAGCGGCTGCGAGGGAGACTAGGTGTTGGGTGGCCATTCAGTGTTCTGCAAAGTAGTTCTATCGAGAGGGGCCTGATCTTTGTAAAGTTACTAATACCTAGTGTCACCCCAAGTGTCTCTGGCTAAGGGCAGATGGGAAGTTAATAGACTGAAACTTGACGAAGTAGTTCAAATATCATTTACTCCAACTCGGTGTTTGGGGGATCATTAAATATTTTTTCCTTTCACCTTGGAGAATTGATCCGACTTTCTTGTTTTGTTCAGGGGCCACGTCAGTGCATTGGTGGTCAGCCTTGAAGGGCTTTTACAGGGTCCAGATCAGAGTCAGTGTTATAATATTATTACAAGTCCTTTATAGAACAAACATTAATTTACTGCTAACTGTTTTTTAGAGCCATAGTGAAATTGCTAGACAGACTGTTCAACCTCTTTAGTGCGTAAAATCAGGATATTTTTTTAACTACTGACAAATCACTTGAGCACCAAGGGTGGGAGCCTCAAGGGGGGTCTGGGGGCATGTTACCCTAGAAAAATTAGAAATTTTGATACTCTCAAAAGCTATTCTTGTGCTTGGAGAGGGCGATTTCTTTCTAAAACATTCGCTAAATCGATTGTCTTTAATGCCTTTTTTTGCTTGTTTTCACATACAAGTACTCAATTTTACTTTATATTTCTGGCGGTATATTTAAGTTTTCTTGGTATCAGTTTTAAGTACACTCTGTTACGTGTTCTTGTGTATTTATCATAAGAATTCATTTGAAAACATCAAACAGACAGATGTCAAAATCTGGATTTTTCCTATCCCAATCTCATATTGGTCAGGATTTGGAATTTTCAAGCAAAATCGAGAGAATCCCAACGACTCGGGATGGTTGGACAATCTGCTAGATTCTGGGTAACTTCTAGACAGCCACTGAGTTTGTCCGCTTGAGAGGTGATGGAAGTTAATGTTATCAAGGCCATGCATGCTTTGTTAATCAGAGGAAAGTTTTGAGTGTAAGAAAACTATGTATATTTTCTGTGTTATTAGCCTAATTTATGCAATACTAAGATTAAGTTTGAGGTCATTTTCTATCCTTAAAGTTGACTTTACTTTAGGTCACTGTTTATAAAAAAAGTTTGTCACTATTATATTGAATCGATGTGAAGATAATGAAAAGAATATTTATGTCAACTATTCCTTCACAAGATCATTTTGAGAAGTTACTATTAAGTGAAAGTTTCATTAAAATTATTTTTCTTTGCTTATGGAACACCATGCATGACTGTATACAAGTGCCTGTGGTTTAAATAAAGCTTGGTGACCTAATTTGACTAAGTTTGAGTTTGGAGACAGCTGATTCAAACAGCCAATTATGGACATAGCTTGAACAAAACATTGTATTAGGTTATCGAAATTGGGAATATTACAGTATGGGCCAACTCCTGTTCCAATTATTGTAAGATGCAACACTCCCTGTCTGAAAAAGGTGTAACATCAACTAACAATGGACATTTTAAGCAAATAAAGACCATGCAATGACATTGACGCCCAGGGGGGGTACTCGGGATTTCAAGTGACAGGGATGATCGAAGGATTTTTTTGGGTTTGAAATTTTCGATTCCGGGATTTTTTTGGGTACGAAAATTTGGCTTGGGTAGCTTGATTTGAGTAGGGATTTTTTGGGGGTATTAAAAAGAATCAGATGAGGGAAAGGATATATTCAGATGGTATGATGAATAAACAAACATGAGTGTTCAATTTCCAATGTTTTTCTTTGTGTTATAGCATTACCCCTTTCTGGAACTTTTAAGGGCCACAAAATCGGCATGGGATTTTTTGGGGGGTCAATTTTTGGTCCAGAGATTTTTTTGGGTCTTGACTTTTGGATCCATTCGATCATCCCCGTCACTTGAAATCCCGAGTACCCCCCCCCTGGGCATTGACGACAGTGCACACAGATCTAATAGACGGAATTCAGGAATGATAACAGATTGGCAAATTGAGCAAGTTGCTTACAGTCCTTCCTGCAAACTTTTGCATTCTCATTCAATGTTGCATTGTCTTGGCTAAATCTGCCAAATTTTAAAACCCAGACTAAAAGGTGTAAGGGTAGAGGATTTAATTTTCTTGAACGAATTACCAGTTATCAAAAATGCTAAGCTGAGTTTATGGTGAATTTACAAGCATTCAAGAATAATCTTAGCTGCCTTTTTCTAGAGTATTTGGAGGGAAACTATAAACACCTTGTTTCTTGCAATTATCAAGAACAATAATTATTATATCAATAATATATCAGTACTCCAAGAACAAGTTGTTGGATGCACATGTATTTTATTTCAGTAAGGTTTAACTAAAATATAAAATAGAAAACTTCTTAAAAACAACCAGAGCATTGTTAGTCTCTTAAACTAACATTTATAATATTTCAAAATTATTTTTTCTAAAAAATAAAATGAAAGAAAAATGTGATAAATATAAAACTGTAAATAGCAGAAAAAGGTTTGAAGTGTAAGAGGAATTAAATTGGTTTTACCAACCATACGAAAGGTTAATAATTAGCTTAATTTTTTTGTTTGATTAAGTGCATGTGGTTAATTTTCTTGATTAAGCATTGACAAAAACACCCTCACATACAATGTAATCGGCTCGATTTCTGCCACTCTCTCGGTCCTCCCTAAGAAGAGACGGCTGGATGCGTGAGTGGGCTAATGTGTTTGTGACGTAAATTCAAAATTTAACTTATGTGTCATGACAAAACATTGGAAATGGGTCATGTCATTAAATGCTGCACACACTTTGTGCTTTGCCTCATCGTCACTTTGGTATTTGCCATTACGTTACCAATGGACTTGACAGTGGTCTCTTTCACGTCAGCTGTCAACAACTTTGGTTCTGGTTGGCTGAAATTGAAAAAACGTACCTACCATTTGCAAGCTTCTCTAAGCTAATACTTTTCTTTGTAAATGTTTTTAGGTTTTTAAGCTTAAAACGATCTAAAACACAATTGCATGTCACATCAAACAACACCTTTGCATCAGCCGTTTGAAATCTGCTCCAGGAAAATTAATTCACAGCCTGCCCAATTTAAGGTGGCTGAACACAGTTTTGGCAGTTTCTGAGTATAGGTCATTTGTCAAAATGTGGCAAGAGAAAGGTTGCAGCTCACAAGCTGAGACTTGGCAAGTGAAAAATATACTGATGAAAGAGTTATTGACTGACGGGTAAAATTTGACGTTTTCATAGTTTCCATGGCAACATGAACAATTAAATACAACCTTAAAATTTCACCGTTACTCAGTTTACCGTAAATTCGCTCATTAGATTTTCCCATAAACTCGCACACAGCTTACTATAATTAATCATTACCATTTGAAACTTATTTGACCAAATTTTAACAGAGGGGTTTTTAGATAATCAATAATATAATTCTACCGTAATTATTAATTGTGTCACAAAATTTGTCTGTTCAACTTCCATTTTAACGTTCTCATCATTTAAAATACGATAAATGTAAAAATTTTGCCAAATATCACAAAATTTTGTAGAGTAGATTTTGAGAAATCGTCGTCTGTGTACCATTGCTTTTTTCGCCGCCATGTTTGTTTGTCTAATTTAAAACACTCGCTACCGCTGACCACACGCAAAACTGTGTTCAGCCACCTTAAGCAGGTAACAATCTGATTGGTGGTGATTGACAATAGCAAACTCATGCATCCAGCCGTAAGTTCAGGGTGGGAGTGTGGGCTCCATTCCCTGAACAGAGGCTAGTAATCAAGCCTATCATATAACTGCTATAAAGAGAAATATTTATATTAAAATTTGGTGAATTATGTTATGAAAAGCTAGGTTGACAGCAGCTAAGGCATACGCACTACTAATGATAATAAATTTCATACTAATATAATAACTATCAGTAATAATATAATAGCACTTTCCTTGTGGGAGAAATAAACTGATCAGCAGATAATCAGAGAAAACTGCGTGGAAAAGATCTCTTTAGTGACCTTTTGGTGCACTGTATTGTACATCACAATCACTAAGAAATTAACAGGCATCAATTTTGATTTGTAGGGAGTATTAATATTAATATGACAAATGGACAATCTTTGATGCTGCAATACACCTTGGCTTGAACTTTCTGCTGCATTTGCTTATTAAGCACAGAAGAGTGCATTGATATATTATCAACAGAAAAACACTTCTGTTTTTCCTTTCATATTTACACTGTACAACAGAAAGCTCCACTATCCTATTCAAGAATTTCATACGTCCCAATCAATAAAACTTCTGTAGAGAAAACTTCAACTAAAAGGGAAAATTGTGTGACTACTTTTTGCATAAAGCCACTTTAACTTTGTGGGTGGCATCATTCCAATTTCAATTTTTTTTAATGCAAATTATACACAGCTCTCTTTATTAATGAAAGTTGACAAAAGATCATACCATATCTGCAGCCAATGCAGTGGAAAGTGATGTATCAGGCATCCTTTTTCTCAGTTGATCACAGGTTAGCAAAATAGAGCTCTGCTGGTATCACCTGGAATAATGTTCTGATAACAGAACAAAAGTTGCCAGCAACAGAGTCAGTCTCACTCTGCCAGCATACCTCTGAAGTACTCACATACAACTTCGCAGGCAAGCTGACAGTAAAGACCCACAGACTTTGCTTGTTGCCTGCTGTCAGACTACATGGTTCTCATATGATTGAAAACTATCAAGGTAGCATACCGCCAGCTATGTTGCGGGTAGGTTGGCAACTTAAAAGAACAAGGCTAAAGATTACCATGTCCATGATTCATTTGTAAAAGACTTATCTTGAAATTACATATCCCTGTTATGGCTGCAGTGTGAACATCAGATCAAGCTTTATCATTTTTATTGCTTTTGAAACTACAAAATAAAAGCCAGTTTATATATGTTACAGGTCAAAACTTTAAATTTTTCAACCTTGGTTGATTCTCAATTTCCTAATTGTCTCCTTGCCCTAATTATTTTAAACTTGAATTTAACTTTGGCCTGTAACATATACCTTAGTAGCAATCCACACTAATTTTATTTTCGAATTTTTTTTGAGAAAGAAAAGACTAAAGCTATATTTAAGTTTGTTATATTTAAATACATTATTATACAAATGCGTACTGGTTTTCCACTGCCCTGGAATGCCCATTGCTATTAGCAGCACTGGTCGTAATTCTAACTGAACCACCTTGGATGGTTGCAGGTCTTGTTATTCTATGGGCTGTGAGGCTGTGTGAACGCCGTAGCCCTTCTCCACTATTAGGTGAGTGATTATGATGCAAAGAGCCTCCTGGCTGCCGAGGTCCGCTGCCAGTATACACAACAAAATTTGTCAGCATTACATCAGATGGCCCACCGCTTTCAAGTGGGATTGGATTTGCCCTAAAATGTTCAAGCATCTCAAAGATGCTTTGAAACCAGAGGTGTTGAACTCGACATTGACCCTCAACATTAAGTGCAAGTCTGAGATGCTGCAAAAATACAAGTATTACATTATTAGTCAGATACTTAAATAAAATTTCGTTAAACCTGAAAAATTAATACTCAAGGTAGAGGAAACTTCTACAAAGCAGAGGGAACATACTTGGAAGGAAAAGAGTCTTTATTTAATTCTGATAACCTGCAAGCAGGCTCACTTGTTTATAATAAGCAATGAACTAAGCCTAAAAATGTTGCATCAAAATTTAATGACAACTGCAAATAGTTTGTGATAGTTAGGTGGAATAAATTTTGATTATTTCAAACCCCCTCATGTCACTTCGCACAAAAGTGTCCTTTTCTTGTCTGGTGACCATTATTTATGTCTGGTGACAATTCTAGGTAAAGTCATATGGCAACTTTGAAAAGAGTTAAGTTTGGAGCACTGCATCTTGGAAAAATAGACTGGGCAGCATCATATCTAGACAAATAACTGGTTAAGAGAGTTGATTGCTCTTTACCAATATATATTATGGTTCCATCATTGGATATCATCTACAGTGTGTGCAGGCTCCTAAGTTACAGTAGAACATGTCACCAGAATTGACTATGGAAATGAACCAATAGAGTCCTAAAGTGTCACATCATAGGAAAAATTAAATTGTCTTTGAGATAGTAGCCCAGTTGTGCTCTAATGACTCCATAATTTTTGCTCAGTTCATAACATTAGGAACCGAGTCAAATTTAGAAGGATCTGTATGGAGTCATCCGTGCAAAACTGGACAAGTATCTCTGAGACAATTTGCCCTACAATATGCTAAAGTTTTTGGCAAGTATACCTTTCAGATGTTGTTCTTTCAAAACACTGCAACAAATCTCATAATTTCCAAAATTTATTCTTTATGACATCATCACTTTAGAACTCTATTAAGGGGCCCCACTATTTAATAAGTTTAATATTAACTTAAAAGACAAACCTTCGCTCTTCCCTGATAATTAAAAGTCAATACATATTCCCCTCGTCTGGTTTCACTCTGTCTTATGAGGAAAATTCCATGCCATTGTTGGCCGCCCTGTGACACAAGATGTGAAGCCTCTATCCTTGGCAGAGTTCCATGGAACCATGGATAATTGGCAAGAGGGTGGTTTTCCATGGATGTTGCACTAACCCACACTGGGCTCTCTGCATAGGATTCGCATAAAATTCAATAAATCATCTTTTCCATCAAGTCAAACAAACATCTAAAGCTCAGGCTGTACAAAAATAGTCATCATTACAAAATCAAAATTTTGTTGTGCTTTTTACACTGGAGATAGCCAATTCCAAATTAAGACTGTAATAGGGATGACTCCCATTGAGAAAAAAATAATTATTACACTGCTTTTTACACTGAAGACAGCCAAGTCCTAATTAAGACTGTAATAGGGATGACTCCCATTGAGAAAGAATAATTATTACTACATATAATTATTATAAAATTTAGTTTTGCAGGAGTGGTTGATCCTTAACTACTGAGAAATGTACCTTCACTGTTTGCCTGTGGTGTAGCAGCTTGAGCAGAAATCTGTCGCAAAAGGTCAGGTTGATTAGGTGGTAAGGCTGGCCCTTCAGTGCTGGTGGGTGATCTTGGAGGGAGTTCTGGAGGAGGACGAGTCCATGTCATATCATCTACAACGTATTAAAAGAAAATTATAATAATCAGAGTAATGTATTTGAAATCATTGATAATATAGAACTTGCAAATATATAGTATAGCATATATTTGTACTCAAAATGCACCTATTGTGTGGACATCTACAAACAGTGCTTTCTTATAAAATCAATAATTTATTATAATAAAATCATATTACTATAAAAAAAGCCCATACTCAAACATAGGTGGAAAACAAAAAATGATTATAACCAAGGAGGCACTTTAAAATTATGTTAATATTATTACACCCAAAAGCAAATAAAAATAAAAAAGCTCAAACTGAACCACAAAAACTTTTTTTAAACAAAAAATACTGCTAAAAATTCCTGAAATGTCTTAGCATATTAATTATTATTCATAATATCCCTGATCTTTAAGACAGCACCCTAGCTCAATGGTTCTGGAGGGTAAATGATACACATTGACAGTATAAAACTAGTTATACACTCAAGGGAATTATGACACATAATTAACAAACCTTGATAGGTTGGTGTCTGTGGACCATGTTGCGACGTTAATGATCCTGAGGGCCGGTTTTGTATTCTGAGTGATGAGGGTGAGTAAACATTCCTCCTTTTTGCTAAATTGGATACTGCCTCAGAAGGTTTTTTATCTGCATTAAAGAAGACCAACATTTTTGTCACATCAATCATTTCATTACATGACTGGTAACCTGTTTGATTAACCAGTATGCTAAGGTTAAATATGGTCTGCAGTGTTCACTGATAGTTAACATATGCATGTACAGACTAGTGTCAAACTCACTCAAGACCTAAAATAATGTGAAGGCAAGGTTCATGTCTGGGACTCCCTTTTCCTTCCTTAAGACTGAGCTCTTCTCCCCTCCCCTATAGTCTGTACGCACAGGTGCATTGGGTGAACAAATGCTGACATCCTAACCAAATTTTCTTGCATCGAAGGGTTTCCCATTTCTATAGTACAGGGTTCTCAATAGATTTTTAAGTAGGAGGTGATCACTGATAAGGTAGGAGGCTCTTCAGCAAAGCCAGAGGTGTCAAAACAAAGCAAAGAAAAGCGACTTAAACACAAAGTAAGCGGCTATAAATCCCAAAGTAAGCGGCGATCAATCGCCGGGTGCCGCCTTCTATTGAGAACCCTGATAGTAATTATGGTGGCTCTTTTGCGTGTGCTTTATGCATGGACATTCTGTTAGCGTAATTTATGCACATGTTACATTTACAGTGTGCACCTAAATATCATTATAATTAGCAGGGGTTAAAAAAACTTCTGAAGCATGAAATTTATAGGCGGGTGATTCCATGTTACGGACATTACGTTCAGATGCTAAAATTAATATTTTAAACCCCAATTTAGAAGTCAAAGTGTTCATTAAGTGTGTTCAAACATATCTAGAAAGTCTTTTTAGTGTTCCCTTTGTACCTAACAAAAAGATGCTTTGGTTAGCTCTTAAGACCTTGAAGGTATGAGTTGAAGAAAGTGTGTTGCGGACATTACAGTTTAAACAACCACTTTTTAAAGTAACTTTCTTTAAAGAGATTTTCCTGTGAATTTTTAACCTTTAGCAGAAAATAATTGTGCCTTCAAAACATAACAATAAAACCTGCAGACTAATGAAAGTGGCAGTTTGAGGTACACTGTAACATAGTTGTCTGATCATCACTGCTAACTATCTTTTGATTGAAGGGGGTGGGTGGCATAAAGACCTCCTAGGTCAAAATTTACTCCTGATCTAATATCAAATTCTCCCTTTCGTTCACAAACATAAAAGACGTACTGGAAGGAGAAACTAGCAGTTCAACAAATATCACTTGATCAAAGCTTTACCTCAGGCACCTCTTCAATTAAACCAAATGCACTAAAGAGCATTGGTATGTAAGTGCTTGATTTTTAGCAATAGCTAGAATAAACCTTATCAACCACTACAAAGAAAGAGCAGTGCAACTTGCCTGCTGGATAACTGTCCAGTCTCACTCTTAGTGACTGACTGTTTCCAAGCTTCACTCCTCCTGCTGAGAATTTTGGTGTGGCAACTACATCTACAGAGGCGCTTTGAGGAGGGCCTCCTGTCGCACCTCTCTCTTCTGCACCTGAACCAGTTCCACTATAAGGAGTTTAAAAAAAAATTATTGTATACGTAGGTGAAGTGTAGTTGAATGTCTCGCAAGTGACCACCCAAAATGCGAAGTGTAAGTGGTCGCTGGCGTACGGGCCAGGGGGGCGAGGGAGCCGGCAGCCCCCCCAAATTTTGGGCAACTCAGATTTTTTGGGCAGCACGAGAAAATTTGGGCAAAGCCAGTTTTTAAAGACGTCTGCATGTTTTTATTATTATTATTTACAAGAGATAAATATTTTCTATTTTAACCTGAAGTCGGCGTAATAATCCAGTTACATTGACACGAGACAGTGGCTGCCTAGGACGTGACGAGTGTCTGCATGGTTATAAGGGAAAGGTATCATATTATGCTGATTTTTTTATTGTTGGGCACTGTGCTGCAATGGGCTATTTCCACTCGTGAATTTATTAGAATAAACTTCCGCCTAACTTTCTAGAATCATCTCCGCTCGTAGAACAGTGTATGGCAGATAGCATCAGCAATGCATCTGAAAGTGAAGAAGTGGCTGACTAATTCTTAGTTTGAATTACCAGAAGAATCTTATTTTTTTAAAAAAAATCTATCGAGCGGTTTAAAAATTATTCACTAATTTAATTTGTTAAAGTAGACTGAAATGCTTACAAAACCGCTAACAAGAGTGCCATGATACATCCTTCTTTGTAGCAATTGACCGGAGCTATCTCCATGATCTTTTAAAAAATATTGAAACTACTATGAGGTGAAATTGCATGTCAAAAGCCCATCGTTTTCTACAGATAACATTTTCCTTTTTTTTCCGTATTTCCAATGACAAAAACTTTATCCCAAAATATCTCGATAACGCTCTTACAGATTCCGTTTTAACTTCACAAACATCAAGGGGACTATTGGAGGAAAAAGCTCCTGTGATCGATTTTGGAAGAACAGTTCCCACGGAGAAATATTGCTGCAAGCATAATAGGTAATGGCTTCATTTCATTACTATGACAACTCCGATGTCATTGCAACCCTGATCACAACAAATTTTCATCTTTATCTAATACAACTGTGGTGGCAATTTTTCCAAATGTTTGTTTATGGCGACATAGTCTACGCACAAACTTGGCAAGTATTGACTCTGAAAAACTGTATCGAGCCATTTTCATTTGCCAGTATGGCCTATGTTGTTGCATCGGCCCTCGTTTCTGTTCGACTGTTTTGTAAAAATTTGAGCAAGTTGCAAAAAGTTTTTGGGCAAATGGTTTACCGCCCCCCCCTGGCAAAAAATAGCCCGTACGCCTATGGTCGCTTTTGTGAGGTGGTTGCTTCTAAGACTCAAAGTGCAGGAGGTCTTTAATGAGGAGAAGTCAGGTCATATCTACTTTTTGGACTTTTTTTGGACAGTGTTTTGCAAGCAATTTTTAGCCTTCAATAGAAAAAATTCGTGTTGCTTTTAAAACTTCCTCTCATACTCCAAGTTGCGTAGTACATACAACAAGCACAAACCATGGGACACCATGGGACGATCAATTTTATTGTCCCATGGTGGTCACTTAGAAGAGAATGAAGACAATGGAAAATCCTAGAACTGTCATTTACAATAAGGCTTTGACTGGGAACATTTTTGTTGTTTTGAATATAAGTGGTCGCATATGGTAGGTGTTTGCTTAAGAGAGGTGGTCACACCTGAAGGTTCAGCTGTATAAATATTACAGTAAAACTTGCCTCATCAACCAAATTTCAAACACCAGGCAGTCACATATTAAGGGTTTTAGTTTCCCCCGAGGGGATTTGACTGTGTGGACAATAACCCTCTTTAATTAATAAGTCAACAGACTTTATTAAACTAATATGCAGAGGACTCTTACCTTTGGTTAGTTGAGCCTTGGTCTTCCTCCATACACTTTCTGATCTCAGCTAGCCATTCATCCATTTCTTGTTTATCATTAGCAGCTAGCATGTACTCTCTCTTGTTTACTGCCTATTTATAATCATTTTATTATTGATAAGCTTTACTGTAAGTAAATTTAATGAAGTATCATTAATATGTCATAGGTTAACATTCCACAATATTTTTACAACAATGATGGTCATGCAGTTCAGACACATTTCAGCAACATGTGTTGCAGCAACTCTACAATGTACTTCCAGATCATCCAGGAATCTTCTGGATACAAAGCAAATTTTCACTTCTCCAACAACCCAGGCCCCAGTTGAATTATGGCTGAGTATAACAATCCATAAAGCAACAAAGGGTTTCCCTAAAACTTACCCACTGGAGACTTATCACAATCATTATTCCATTGACTAAAGACGCCAAATACGAAGGTAGAATCGGATTTTATTACATGTTCATTACGTGAATAAAATAAGGTGGCTTGCAAAAATACATTATATGCAACATTTAAAATTTAAACTAAAGCGTGTGGAATGTGAAATAAACCAGCGTGCGTGTGCCACACATTTAACGGTTCGTCAGAACAATAATATTGTTCTTACGAACAGTCTGTTTATTATCCAAGTTTATGGGTTTTCAGGGCTTGAAAAAAGTCCCATCTGGTAGTCCGGAGGGACAAGTAGATTTTCTAGCTTGCCTAATGGGTAAGGGTCCAGGCAAGTCATCCTCTTAAAAATCATTAACTTACTAACACGAGCAAGAAGTGGTCTCAGGTTGCAAGCACAATGTGAGAGCTGTAGCTTGCCCCAAGGACCGCCCTGTGAGCAGAGCCTTCTTTTGTTTTTTCTTGATTGAGGAGTTTGAAAAGGAGGCTCTGCCTGAACCCCGTCACACCAAGCCTTTGAAGTCACCACAGCCCGAACTTCTCGACTAGTCAATCTTGACTTTTTTTGTCAAGCTGGTTTTTCATTTTCGATGGCAAACATCCATTGCTTGATAAACCGATGGTCAAAACTGAGCCCACTGTACCAAGCTCACACCTATTAGGTCTGAGTTAGAAACTCTATCCTAGCAACAAGCAGTGCATGCTCAACAAAGATCAAAAGATCTTATTTGATTCATGAGCAGTCCTTCTTGAGTACACCAAAAATGAGCAAGCAAAAGAAAGGCTCCACAGGCAGGGTGCCAAAGGCCATGCCAGAAATCAAGTTATTTTTTCAAACCCTGGGGTTACATTATCCCCAGTTACTGGAGGGCTGGTAAGATCTCTGCTTGAGCTAAAGAAAAGTGCATGGCAAGTAAGACATTACTGGTACATGACACTCATACCTTTATGACAAAGACATTTTGCCCTCCAGGAAGCTCTAATTCTGTGGCAGGCCTTGCCTCATGTATAAGAAAGCAAAATATCCCTGTTTTTGCTTTTGGCGACTAGAGAAAAAATTGCAAGAAAAAAAATGGTTAAAATATTTCAACAAACAAAATGCTAAGGGAGTCTAGCTCTCTTCTTTTCCCAAAACCAGCACTTATGCCTTTTAATGAGAGAGGCTTGTTGACAGTCACTATGTCACACAGTATAACAGAAAATCATCAGAAAAAACGCTAATGGGTTTTAACTGTAACTCACCTATGTAATAAACTCCCACATCCAAATAAATGCCTCTTATCTAACAAAGGCCCTCTCTATGCTGTTAAAATTGTATTAGATGCCCGACTCTAATAAATGCCCCATCTAATAGATGCCACCTACAAGAATTACTCCAAAATACTAGGGATTAGCAAAAAGGAGCAAAACCATTCGGATTCATTCAGTTTCTTGCTTGTGTAACAAGGCTTTGCATATGTTCATCTTGCTCAGTGCCAAGTTGAAAGTGAGGATAGACTAATAATGGCAACACAATAACCCTGAGTGAGGATTCTGACATCGACGTTGGGATTTGAAAGAGTGATGTGGATCGCTAGATGACCTAGACTTGCTGGAGTGGAGATTCCACTATTTTAAAACCCTCTTAATATTTTTGCTGAAAGCATATTAGTTTTGTTGAGCTTGTTCGGTTATGTGAATATTTAATACCTCTCTCTTTCAAAAGCCTCTTATCTATTCAGGGTGCATAGAAAGTCAGTTTTACAGTCTGCCATTCGGGAAAGCTGTAGCTAGCATGTACTAGCCTACAAGTCATTTCAACTAGCCCCAAAACCCTTTTTGATTGGCAGGACTGATTACAATCCTTCTGTAATTTGAATTTCCCCAAAAAGCAGCACTTGCCCATCCAGCAAGTTACTGGTAAGAACAAAAATCACTGGCCCAATAGCAAAATCCACTAGCCTCGGGCTATCGGACATGACTTTCTTTGTAAGCTGTATTAAATGCCCTGGCTTGGACCCATAAAAATAATGAAATAGACACTTGGGGGAATTATTAGGTCATTCATGGCAGTTTGCAAACATGCCGTGTAACAAAACAATATAGCAAAATAAAACCAAGGATTTGATTAAGTAAACCAGATTGAGCCTACAGGTGAACCTTATACCTTTAAGTCAGACAGTGATCAACATTGTGAATGGCTGATTATTTCGCCTTCACATTTGTTCACCGAGCTTAAAATTTGCCATCTTTCATTCTTTCACCTTACAGTATGATCTCAACATTGCTGATCCTACAATATGCAGGACGCGTGTCAAATGTGGACACAGTATATGGCCTTGCTCTCCATGAGTTCCCCATAGCTCAGTGGATAGAGCACCCGCCCGGTATTTGGGAGGTCATATATAGGGGACTCAGACTTTTTTCTTGTCCCACACTCCTCACATGCTGACCATTTCATCTTCACATCAATTATTTTCTACTACCAATAAAATGCATAGTCAAGAGACAAGGTTATGATAATTATTAATAACATGATTCACCAAGGGAAGATACCTTGATCTTTGAACAATTTCTCTTAATTCTTAAAGATCAGTCTGGTCAATTTGTACGTGGATTTTAGGGCTTAAGGGTTATGTAACTTTTTGTAATGTAAATCATGTACCGCCTACATCACAAAAATGTCAAAAGGTCCTGTGAAATTTTATTTGCATTTATCTATTTATTTTTTAAGAAGTTTTACCTTTTTATGGAACTTGAAAATTTTAAGAGACATGATTCAAAAGTACAGGAAGTCTCCCATCCTTTTTGTAATTCTTACACATTCAGTTGAATTTCACATTACCTAAATACATATTGTGCATATTTATCAGTGTCTACAAACCTGACATTGTGCCATATATAATAGGTCATATGGGAACGCTGCCAAATAAAACTCACCCATGCGCGATAATATATTACACGGAAGTCCATAAGCGAGAGACTGATATAGACGAGCTCAAACTTCAGACAAACCATATCATGTATGATTATAATATTTTGTATGATTAAATATTCAAGCTAAAAAAGGGGTTATGAAAAATGAATTTCACTTTTGCTAAAAATTTAATCTTGAGATAATTAATACTTGCGATCACGCATGTTGATTGACTGTGGAGCCACAATGGGATTAAAAGAACGCTACATTTTATAACTGCTTCTGAAATTAGGTATAAAACTTGAGGTAATTTAGAAAAGGAACTGCATGAACAATCGTGACCAAGCACAAAAAAATGACTTTGCAGCTTCACTTTCAGTTTGACACTATTGCTGTTAGTTTTAATAGCGCATTATCACCCTCAAAACCTCTAGAGACAAAATAAACACACCAACTATATTGTGAATTAATAAACCGATACCAGGACAAACAGCAACAGCTGTATGATCGAGGAAAATAGCAATGTTGCTAGATGAAGTGGATTTTTTTTAACGACAAACCATGAAAAAAACTTCTTACCTTCGGAGGGGTGTAAAACTCTAACATGAATCCTCCAGGAGCTTTAAACAGAACGACCCGGCATTTCTGCCAGAAGAAGTCCTCTGTGTTTACCCCGCTCTCCAAGTTCATAAGATAATTCATGATTCCTTCTCTTTTGATCGCAGTTGTCAGTTTCGCTTCTTGTGGGATCGACCTATCTTCGCACTCTCTTCTTGTTTCCGCGTGCTTTGCCGGACCTGAGGATTCATCGTTAACATTACGCTTAAAAAATCCTTTTACGTCCTTGAGCTTGCCAAGGAACTTGAAACTTGATTCGTTATTTTTCTTTTCAATGGGCTTGAAAGACCCTGTGAGATGAACGCTCGATCCCCAGTCATCGGGACCAAATACATCCGTAGGTGAATCGGGGGCATCAAAGTCCATAAAATCATTCTTGTGCACTTCGCTGTCGAATGACTGCAAGAAATACTCGACGAAACGTTTAGAAAAAGTAGTCGAGGCCCCAGAAACATCGTACACGGGATTGTCTCCTAAAAATTGGACGAATTCATTGGCGAATTGCCTCGCCGCGACTTCTGCCCTGTCCTTGCAAAATTCTTCCCAACGACCGCTAGGAAATTTTGTGCCAATCTCTCCATTGAAGCAAGCCATCAAGGCAAAGAAATGTTAGCTGACCATTTTAAGCTAAGATGAGCCATCGCAACAGACGTGCAGTTACAATCACCATTTCCTTCCTACCGTGACTTCTTTTCTTAGCGGACAACACCAAAACAAGATGCGTGAAAGTTCCAGCTAGTCTTGCGCAAATTTGCCTCACTTTGAGAACAATGTTAACTTCCGGTTACCTGCTGATCAACCGGAGGTGACGAAATTTCTCCTCTTTCTTGTGAGTTTTGTATTTATATTCTGGTCTTATTCATTAAACAACTTCTAAGCTGAAGGCGTTGAACCAGAATTGGTGAACGTACACTATTTAAGTCCTTCTGCAGTCTTTATTTAATTATCATCATCATTTTTTCCTTTTCTTCTAGCTTCTTTGCCTTTTTCCCCTAGGCCTAATTTGGTATCAAATATGGTGGAAATTCTAGTGGATTTGGGTTGGCAGAGAAGATGAACGTGCAATCATGGCGGGTGCGGTTGCAGCACGCAACAGTTGCGGAAGTTCTTCGAACAATTTTTATTTTTAAAAAATATCAAAAGCTATATTCAAATAAGGCTCTTGAACATATATATATACTAGGGCTAAACTAGGAAGTGTTTGTTTCGAAAATAACATGTGTTCACTCACGCCAAAAATACACTTTGTCTGAACGGTTGTGAATGGTTCCCGGAAGGGGCGTGGGCAAGTGGTACCTTTTTCAGGCATCAGGTATATAAAAGGACAGGGATTTCAATAGTTGAAGAACTTCGTCACGGTCCATGAAATCGCAAAAAAAGAACTTGGCCAATATCCAGCCATCTTGACCTCAGGCGTGGTCAATAACGAATATTTATAGATTTTAGACATAAACCAGGAAATAGAAAGTGAGTGTTTTCTCTTTTTGTGGAGTTTTAAGGCCTCGAATAATTTTCGTCGACCTTAAGCGCGGGCGAAATTTTCAATATCGTTTGTACCATTTAGGCCACTATGTATAATATAAAGTGGGGGAGGCGGGGGAGAGGTTGAATTCATAGGTTCCTTCAAGTAGGCTAAACATTGTGGCTCGGTTATTTAAAGGATGATTAACTTTGGCTACGGTTTCGCAAATCTTTGAACCTCCAGATCTTCATTAGTGGGTAATTTTAGGAAAATAAATGCTTATCAAGCGGTATACGCCTTATGTTTTCATGAAACTTTTCACGATAAATGATATTAAGGAAATCTTTGGGCAAATTGAAAATAGTTTAGGTTTTGATAAACACTGGCTAAACTTCGTTTAAATAACTGGTCCTGTATGTTTTTTACGGTGAACACATGGAAGGGGCGAAGGACGCGGGGAGCATGGAGCTGAATCACAGTCTACTCGTTAAGTGGCCGTCGCATTTTCTCCCGATGACTCATTGCGCGGAAAGCAAGAGAGAAAGGGCCTGTTTACATGGAGGTGGGGGACCCCAGGTAGGTGAGGCAAAATATGGCGGGTCACCCCACCTATCATGTAAAGGTGATCAAATTACAATGAGAGATTATATGGACAAACGGGTTACCTCACCTACCTGGGGTCCCCCACCTCCATGTAAACAGGCCCAAAGAAAGAAAAAGAAGCACGCTTATGTAAATTCCATAATGATCATGGAATTAAAATGAGCCTCTGCACATCTGCCATAATGCAACTTGTTTGCCCTCAAAATTTTGCATAAGCATTGTCGTCAATTTCCCTAGGGACGACTGTAACTGACTCAGGAGAAATTAAAATATGACCAGAAAGCCTTGGAGTCATGTTAGAATTTTAATATATCGAACGTGGGCTATTTTAAGGCAAAAAAAAAAAAATGGGGGCAGATAAGTCCAAGCGATTGCCTGTCAACGAAATTAGGAAATCCGAAGAAACAAGTCACAAGTATTTTGTGACCACTCGCAGACTCATAATGCACCTTGTTTGCCCTCAAAATTTTGCATAAGCATTGTCGTCAATTTCCCTTGGGACGACTGTAACTGACTCAGGAGAAATTAAAATATGACCAGAAAGCCTTGGAGTCATGTTAGAATTTTAATATATCGAACGTGGGCTATTTTAAGGCAAAAAGAAAAAAAATGGGGGCAGATAAGTCCAAGCGATTGCCTGTCAACGAAATTAGGAAATCCGAAGAAACAAGTCACAAGTATTTTGTGACCACTCGCAGACTCATAATTTTGTCCTGTATAACCACAGGCTTACTATCCTCTGAGTCACCGACTGCAGTAATACACTGAGTGAGCATAGCTTTTCTGAAGAAGATAATAACGCTTTAGGACGAGATAAAAACAAAAGAAAGTTCAAACATAAACTCGATATTGAACTTTTGTCGTTATGTATTGGTTTCGACAATTTAAAGCTCGCGAAACTTCAGTCTTATCAACTCAAAGTTTGAGAAACGTGTACTTGCTAATTAAATTGGAAAACTAGAAAATACGTTTAGAAAAAGAACTAGTTCGCAACATTTCGTTTGGAAACTGCATCGGAAGTATGGCCTGGTCGTTTGAACAGATACATTTTTTAATTCAATGTCCTCAGCTGATTTGGCTACACTTTGCAGCTGGTTTTTCCCCCCGAAGGTCAAATTTAACGGTTGAATGTGAAATTATGAGGTTCACAGTTTGCATTAATGAAAAATGCCCACGATCCCTTGTTATAGACGTTTTCAAAGAAGGCCAGACTATCAAAATCCTACTAATACAATACAATAGATAACTTTATTCTCACTAGAAATATCTAAATTTGTACAAAACTCAATAATAAATCCTATCGTACATTAAATAAATTTACAAATTTATGAAGTTTATATTCAGATGCTTGATAGAGTAATCAAAGCGAGATGTCCTCAAAGGCTGCTACCCTTCTCTTGTTTCAAATTACAATGTACATAAATTCACAGGCCTGAAAAAGAACAACATGAACACATAAGGAATCTAAGGCAGGGTTCACACCTGGTGCCTGGGCAAGGTGCCCGAGTACGGTACTTGCTGGACACTAATGTAAACACATCCAAACTTCAAGTACCCAAGCAAGCATTCGGGCATAGTGCCAGCGTCCGAGTACAAGGTCTATGGGTCCTTGTAAGCACACCGTTTTTAGTGAGTTCTGGGGCAGTCCACCGCCTTGTTCTCACTGCTAAGCTCAAGTTTCAAAATGGTGTCTGACAGGGTGAGATGGAGTAATCATGTACACCTGTAGTTGCATATCAGGTAATCAAGGTGTGAACACAACACCATTTTCTGCCTGGTTAAGTGTGGACAGCCCCTAACAATAATGCGATGGTAAAAAGGAGTGGCAAAAAAAAACAACAACTTCATTTTGAGGGTACAGATTTAAAAATTTGCAATCTTGTGGTTTTTCCATTCTTTTTCCTCCTTTTCGTTTTTGGAAGGGACATATAGAGATAAAGGAAGACATGATTACAGGTAGCAGCTCTAAAGGTGAAAATTCACCGCTTTAGAAACAAGAAGTATACTGAGGCGAGTTAACTTTTGCAAAGACTTCTGGGACCGTTACTAGGGAAGGGGAAATAATTGGCCAATAGCTGTCCAGCGAGTCCCCAGTAACAATCCCAGAGACAATCATGGGACATAATTCGACTCCAGTTTTCTCTTCCTCGTTTCTAAACCATCAAGTACCAAAGCAAGAAGAAAAAATAGCATGTAGGTCTGCAATGAGTATGCAGTGCAAACACGACCTGCAAAGATATTGAACTCACAAAATGATGGTTGTCCAAATGTGTTCTATATGAAGAGAAGATATCAAGTTGAGTCCAAGAGAGGACAATCCTTTTCAGTTTCTGTTTCCTTCTCACTTCATGTCTCTCTCTTTTTTATACTATAATGATGGGTAATGCAACAAATTGAGCTGCAAAAACCAAGCATGGAGCAGAAAAATGAAAGAAAAGCATGAAAATACATGCGTAGCACAAGTTAGACACTGGGTATGACCAGGACTGCAAAAGATGGGTGGAAGACGATAAAATAATTATTATTTTACTGTCTTCATTTAATTAGCTGTAGTTACTCCTACTCCTGCGAGTATTTCAAATTTTACAGTTCTCTTGTGTAATCAGGAGTTTTTTTAAACAAACATTACGTTTCTTACCTTGCATATTGAAATTAGATTGCTTACTCCCAGTTCTTTCACAAATGTTGAACAAAATTCAGGCTCTGCCATGCAATGCTCCTCTCTGTAAGAAAAACCCTCACTAAGTATTGCCACATCAGAATTTGATAAAAGCCCTGACCAAGAGCCACTACCCTGTTAGAGTATTTTCCTGGCAAGTTGCCTGTTGGGCTAGCCAAGGTTGTTCCCTTTTTAGGGTGAAAAGAGAAGTACTGACTGGTTCATTCCAAATAGCTATTAAACAAAATTTAATATGGTTATAGTCAGAGGCATCAGCTGTCTCTTTGCCCCACCCCCTCCAAATGGCCTAGCAGCCCATAAGGGGGGGGGGGTTGAGGAGATATCTGACACTTAAGGCTAATGGTGATAACATAACCCAGGTAAAAGATAGGGTGAACTACCAAGTTCCTGACCCTGTTCAATTTTTCTACCTTTTTTTTTCATGAAACTTACAACAGAAAATTACGTGTTATTTCAAAGTGACAACATTGAATTAGATTCTAAGAAATATTGTTGATGCCACACATGTAGACTGTGCACCTTCAACATTTACACCCTGCTCCGAGGTTCCTGGTCCAGAAAGACACGTGTTACTCTGTTCAAAAGTCAGCAGAACCCCAAAAAACACACCCTGTTTTGTTGCACATACCTGTTTAGGGCAAAAAAGGAGCTGTGCCCCCAGGGGATAGTTACCTGTGCATTGCAAGTGCCTCATCAATTTGGTTTCTAACATAGATCAGGTTGACTGCATCATACTAAGCAAGAAAAATCAAGGGAGGATTTACTGTTAGTGTACATGAATCCCATCACTAGAAGAATCCCGGGATCTTTCTAACTTTCAATGGAGAAATGAATTATTGGACGAGGGTGTGGAACAGCAGATACATTTTCTTTCCACCTGCCACTAAACATATGATGTACTGATTTACACTTAGAAGGGGGATATTATTCAAAGGGAGGTACAAATTTGAAGAGGTGTACAATTCAAAATTCATTCTCAACAAGCGAACATTGAAATATTAAATAGAATTAACATGCGGTAGAAACCTAAGAATTTACCCTTTCAAAATCCTAATGAAAAATGATTGTTGTACTGTTATTTAGAACTGAGATTTTGTCGCACTTAAAAATATGTAGATTTTAATCATGCTAGTTAAAAGGTTTTTTTTTTAAATTTGGGTATGCTCAAGCATAATTTTCACAGACTTATTCTAAAATTATTTGGGCCTCAGTACAGTTGTGTTAACAAGTCTACCAAAGACAACAGATCAAGGTTAATCAAAACACATAATTGTGCCAAAGTTTATGCCTTCTGTGAGAGTAATTTCGGTAACAAAATATAAACTCATTTTAAAAGAAAATATGCTTATGCAGTGGTGAAAATTAAAATGGGATAATTCATATGACAGGATAACTATATTTTGCTTTCACTATGTTAACCATGGCAACAAACTTAACAAACAGTGTACCGTATAAAGAATAGTTCATGGAAAGTGCACATGCATGTAAGCGAGAGAGTGCTGCAAGGTGGAAAACTTGGCATGAAACTCACACACCAATGTGGCTTTTGATTGGACCTATCATTTTCTCACATGGGAAAAAACATTAGGGCCATTTATACAAGGAAAAATAAGACGCAAACTGTACCATTTATACGAGCATGTCTTATCTAATAAGACGCGTCTTAGCTAAGCCGCATCTTATTTTAGACGAAATGTGCCGTTTATACGGAAAGTTCGCGTCTTATTTAAATGCATCTTATGTAAGACGCATCTTATTTTTCCTCGTATAAATGGCCCTATTGTTTGCGATTCTGATTGGATGTGTTTTTTTTTTCATGTGTGAAAAACATTGTTTGCTCCTCTGATCTGGGGGGTGGGGGCAAGAATCAACTGGCATATGAAAGTGTATGACATAGCTTGTCACAGTACATATATAATAAACAACTATGAAAGATATTTACTAGAACATACAGGCAAAATGATCATCAATATCCAAGTGTGCTTTTTTACACGAAATAGATCACATGGATCTCTGGAATGACCTTACAACATTTTTTCTACAGTCATCATTATGGGGTAAAAGCAAAAATATCATGTATGTCACAGTGTCCTCTAATCTCACCTCAGTATCAATTCTCAGTCCACAGGCACAAAAAATGATCTGTTTGTTCTGGTGTAATGGATTCCTGATAACAAGGGGAAACAGATACAAAAACAAAAAATAAAACGTATTCACTTGTCCAGCTCAACACTTGTGATTTCCAAATTAACGGTTCTCATACATTACGGAATGGCGCCTATAGATCCGCGTCGCCCGCAAAATCGCGGGTCCCATGACTGTTTGCGCGCTCACAAAGAAAGCCGACGCATGTCGCCTCCTTTGATTGAAGACTCAAGTGTTATAGGGTATTGTTTCCACGATACAAAGGTAATTTAACTTAAGAAAATCTATAGATAGAAGCTTTCGCGCTACTCTCTGTTTTATAAGGAAACGCAAACTCTCAACTTGAAAAATATTTTGACTTCATAAGATATTTTAACGATTTGGGCCAGCAGAATGTACAGAATTCCAGAAAAACAATTCAGGAAGCCGAACGGTTTTGAACTGCGCTAGACGTTGTTTTTATCAGTATGCAAATCACCTACCCAATCACTTACTTTCCATCGAACTGAAATATCCTGACTTTTTTTTACCACTTTTTGAATTGATTCGTTTCATTTTAAATTATTTTGTGCAAGCTAAGCTCTTTCATGCGAATTTACGCTTTTAAAAGGAAAATAACTTCGAGGAAACGTTGTGTTTACAACCACGGCAATTTGTATCTATTTCGCTTCACTTACGCTTATATGTAAATTACTGTTCATCCGCCGGATTTCGCTGGAGACAAAAATATCGAGTTTGAATTCCCAAATGCTTGCCTTTTGGGGCACCCTCTTTATTTTGGCTATAGAGATTTTAAAAGCTAAGCTTCAGACTTTTCATTCTAACGTTTTAATGCGGGAAAGTTAAGAGAAATGCTACAACTGATTTAAGTCACGCAACACGCTTTAAGACCGCATAACTTGATCTTTCTGTTACCTTTTGTTCTTCTATTGTCTCCAAAACAATAACGATGTTTCACCAATTTCCACCCACAAATAATAGGACACATTTGATTGACAGAAAAATCTGCATTTACAAGCGACGCGTATCTACAGGCGCGATTCCGTAATGATTTTGATGATTCTGCATAAATTTACAACCACTTTTATGTTACTGATACTGTATGAAACATTTAGGTAAACTTGTATTAATCTACTGCATAAAACAAATCAATAGTGATTGGTTCATAGATTGACGCTACCAACCTCTTGCAGACTGGACAAATCACATCATCAGTTCTAAGACATTCAATAGCTGCACAAAGTGAGGCTTCTTCAAACTTGAGGTTTTCTTCATACTGAGCAAGAATGTTTCGCTCTGTGATCAGGCAAAGAAGTAAGTATCATACTAAACATATGAAAGCGTTCACAGAGCAGTTTTGTATGTAAGTGCATACAAGGCAAGATTTGTGGGGATTGCTTTTGCAGCTCATTGGAAAGAGTTCACTCAGATATAGTTCAGGCACGTTTTTGATTATGACATCATGCATAAGAAGGCAAAGCAATTGGTCCCTCCTTATGGCTAAATTATCCCAAACAAGAAATTTAAGGAGATCTGCTGATCTCGTTTCATACACCTGTGAGGTAATTATGTGGGCTGCCCTGTTTTGGTACTTTTGAATTTTGCTTGCTAGCCCTTTATTCAGGCTACCCCAGACAGCATTACAGTGGTCAAAGACAAGATGGTAGTATGTAAGATATACATGTAACATGATACACCTAAGATTCAATGTGCAAGAGCTTAGAATCTATCACGAGTTCTGACCTTCGTCCATTAACTCCTTTTGTATCTCATCCATTACGGAAAGAATCTCATCAAGTGAGGTATCCTCTGGACCATCTACATCAATCTGAAAAATAATGCCATATTTTTGACTTGTCAGAATCAAGACTGAGTATAGACCATCTCACATGACGTCACTACTACCATGCTGATGTCACAAACCAGTCTTAAAATATTACTTGTGGGAGTTGATTTGAGAATTGGGAATGTCTTCTTTTGTTACAATAAATTTGCATGGCTTGATAATAGCTGCCTTTGTTACAAACCGCTTGAATTTCCGGTAAAATCTGGTAAAATAACACACATGTTGAGAGATACTTTTAATTAGAGGGTGGCAGACAACTCGTGAAGTAAATGCATCAGGCATTTCTTTTTTTCCCATTTCCCCGAAAAAAAAAAGCCTGATCCCAGGTTAACATGATTCAAAATAAGGCATAGTGTATTGTCTTAAAAAGAGGGAAAAGAAAAGACATTAGCATTTGAAGGGCTCAGCAGCAGCTTCCTACCCAAGCTTAAGTGCACTTCCCTCTTTAATAGCCCCCCCATCCCTCCCAGTAGGGCAATTAGTTAGCAGAGGAGCTCGAGACTGGTTATGAAAGCCAGTAAATACCAGAGTTGAAAACAACAGTGCTGCAGTTTATGTTGGAAGCTCCCTGACCATGCAAAATCCTTTGTTTTTTGTTCACATATTGTGACTGGATAAATTAATACAAATTATGTTACTATTGGTGAGAAATTTCAAAATGATAGGAATGCTGTGCATGGTCAGGTCCAAAAAAGCTACCAAAAACATATAACAAAGGAGTCTAACGGGTTTGATAACCATTGCACTTAACTAACTATGAACGGGGCCAGTCCTCGATCAAGAAGAAGAAGAAAAAAGGAGGCTCTGCTCAGCTGGCAGGGTGGGTCAGTGTCATGTGATATATCAAGCATGAGACGCAGTGCTGCGCGTCATATTTTCAACTCTCTTCTTGGTGTTTCATCTGGTGATGAAACACCGTATCGAATGCTTGATATTACTGGTGTTACTAAAACGAAGACCCAAAAACGAAGACCTAAGACCTAAGACCCCTTGGACTAAAACGAAGACCCTATGGACTAAAACGAAGACCCCTTGGACTAAAACGAAGACCCCTTGGACTAAAACGAAGACCCCTTGGACTAAAACGAAGACCCAATGGACTAAAACGAAGACCTCATGGACTAAAACGACTGATGCTAACCGCTGAGGGCAATGCCTGCTCCCGTAATTTGATACAGCGATTTGGGAATGTTGTGGAATTTCCTCTGACGAGACTCGAACCTGGAACCTTTGTTCCTAAGTGACGATTTAACCACTAGGCCACAAGGGCTCTCTCGCCCTAACTTTGCAAAAAGCTTTGATTTAAATTAAACTGACATCATCTTCATCGTAAACACTTCCAGAGAGGTTTAAAACATGCAAAATATTTTCCGCAAAGAAACCTGAAGGAAAGGTAAGTGATAGACTTGACTATCACAACTAAATACTGCAGAGGAAATTCCACAACATCAAATCGCTGTATCAAATTACGGGAGCGGGCATTGCCCTCAGCGGTTAGCATCAGTCGTTTTAGTCCATGAGGTCTTCGTTTTAGTCCATTGGGTCTTCGTTTTAGTCCAAGGGGTCTTCGTTTTAGTCCAAGGGGTCTTCGTTTTAGTCCAAGGGGTCTTCGTTTTAGTCCATAGGGTCTTCGTTTTAGTCCAAGGGGTCTTCGTTTTAGTCCATGGGGTCTTCATTTTAGTCCAAGGGGTCTTCGTTTTAGTCCATGGGGTCTTCGTTTTAGTCCAAGGGGTCTTTGTTTTAGTCCAAGGGGTCTTCGTTTTAGTCCATAGGGTCTTCGTTTTAGTCCAAGGGGTCTTAGGTCTTAGGTTTTTGGGTCTTCGTTTTAGTAACACCCTGATATTACTTCTCAAACGAAATAATGTTAGAAGGAGAAATTGAGGATGCAAAAATGGGTAGTTTTTCATCTGAATTCCAAACACTCATTAAACATTAATCTCGTTTGTATTTTCTTTGTGAATCATTAACGAGTTTGAGAAGTCATTTTTCAAGCCAGTGAATTTATGTTACTGTAACACCCATTTTCGTGTTGACATGTCCGTCCTCACCCCAGCAAAAGGTGTGCATGACTGTCTACTTGGGCGCCACAGAGGAAGCTCACTATTCTCTTCACTAAGTCTCAACCATTCTTCATTCATCACTTCGTTCACCATGGAGGAGTGATCAGTCTTACTGCCTTGCCTGAACCGGTCCACACATCTCTGTCTTCCATTTTTGAGTCTGTCCAAGCATCTCTTTGAAAACAGCAACAGTATAACAAGTCAAGACTATTTCATTTCATCAAGGCATTACTGGACAAAGACACATAAGCTAATTTAGCTTAATTAAGAATCATATCGGACACACTTCCAATTGTTGCACTGTACGTTCCTGTTTCGCTTCACAAAAAATACACGCAGACAAATAACTATGGCATATGACCTTGAAATACCTTTCTGTATTGTTCTTTCCACGGTGGTGTGCTACACTTGTACTGCGAACGGTGTCGAGACATAGGATCTGGACTTTTTGGAAAGCAATCCGCCATTGTCGCCATGTTTTTCTTCTTCCCGCGAAGGACACTGCAGTTTTAAAACTTCTTCTGATTGAGCAAAAATGTCAACCAATCAAATGAAGTGTTTTATTGTGACATAATGCAACCATTGCGCATGACGCCAAGTTGGCGATCAAAAACAAAGATGGCGGCTTCATCGTTCGTTTCTATGAGAAATTTTTGGAAAGAATTTTCGCTTCCAGAGCTTCAGGTAAGTGATCAAAGCAGATTTTTTCAGATATTGCTGTCCATATTGTGCTATATTCTTGAAAAGAATAATGGAAATGGATGCGGTGTGTTAGGTTTGAGGATGTGCACGATTTATACATGGTTGTCTGCAGTTTGTAAATAAGTTCTCTTGTAATCGATAGAAATCGTTAGATACAACCGCAGCAGAGCTTGCAGAGCGCCAAGATGGGTCAGATATTTCTAGAAAGAAGCTTGTTGAGCTTAGCCGTGATTTTAAAAAGAATACACCCGAGGTAAGACAAATTTTAGTTACGTTTATAAATTTCGTAGTAATTTATTTATTCATCTGTACCTGGAAAAAAATTGTTTTAAGATATTCTGAAAAACAGTTGAATTACATATGCTTCCTCAGTCCCAGAATCCTGACATTCATTGACAAACCGTTGTTAATAACAAGGGTTTGTTTAGTGCAAGGGTATAATAAGCAATATGGAGATGAACCCTTACTTCCTGAGATGCATATTATCATGCCAATTCTCACAGATTATCCAGGTGTCTCCCCAAATCGGCACTAATCTCCTCCTCTCCCATATAGTTCACCAAATTTCCTTGTTAAAAAAAGACTGCTTTATTTGGGAATTTAGTGATTGTTTTCCCATATTATAAACACAAGGCAACTGTTTTAAGAGGAAACAAGGCATTAGCCAAGCCAGCCCAGTAAAGCAGGTCAGCCCGGCTAACTGGGCTGGCTCACCTGACATAAACAGGTCCTTAAAACATTATGCAGCTGTCATTTAAAACCCTCAGAAAATTACGGCTATTTGAAGACTCTACAACTTGAAGTCACAAAATGCGAGAGAGCAAAACATTTCAAATCATATTTAAAGTCTTCTGGAGGCTCTGCAGGCTTTAAATGACTGGTACATTAAGGAGAACCCTTTGCTTGTTGTGAAAAATACTTAAAGTGGCCAGGAGTTGCAAATCCCAGGATGTATCTGATTAACAATCAAACTTAACACTATGGATTTTGCATGTGTTTCATTTTTTGCAGGAAATCAGGAAAAAAGTTGCACCACTTTTAAAGAGCTTCCAAGCTGAGGTTATAATCATATAACTTTCTTTACAAGCTTATTGCACACTTTAATAAATTGCAAATTCTTGTTTTATTGATTTCTAATAAAACATAGGTTTACATGCATGTTCAGTTGAATGGTAGTAAATAAACAGTGAGAACACCAAGTTTATTTTCAATTGGGTGATCACAACAGACTCAAAAATGTAAAAAAAAAGACATGAAATTCTCAGAATTTGCTTGATGCCAACAAAGAGAGCAATTTAGTGAACAACAGCTGAAGTTATTTGATTTTCTCTTATTTATTAAACTAACTGGTTATTAAAAATTCTGTAGCAAAAACTTTTAACCACGAATATAGCTATTGTTTTCCCAGATGAAAATATATTTGAATATATTTGAGCCATTCATTTGAAAACTACCCTTTTATTGATTTTACTCTTTCCCTCCTATTTAGATTGATGCCCTTTCGAAAAGAAGCAAAGCATCTGAGACTGCCTTTCTTTCAATTTACAAGAAACTGGTAGATGTCCCAGGTAAAGTGAGTTATTACTTATCAGAAGATTGTGTGAGCTGTTTTCATCATGATTGTACAGCAGTAAATAAAGCAGATTTTACTACATTGCTTAAAAATCAACCCACATCAGCTAGAGTGTATTATGTTCATGAGGTGTAATAGAAACATGCTATTATTGCAGGTGCAATTAAGTCTTGAAATACCCGTGTCAAACCTCTGTTAAGTGGCTGCCCGCAGGAAAGGAAAGTGGTCAAGGTTTTTGAGAGAATTTGTGACAATTTTAAATGCTGGAATTTGTGTTCTTAAGAGGCAGCGAGGGGCAGCTTAAATATAGGCTCCACTGTATCATGTAGGCTGTAGTCACTAGATTTGTTCACAAAGTATTCAAGCTTTAGTTGTACTGCTGAATTTAGAGACTGATATATTAGATCAATCAATCACCTTGGGTGAGCTGTTTGGATCAACTCAACTCTTCTCCAGCAACACCTTCAGCAAGTTGATAAAATGTGCATGTATGTTTTGATTCATTGCCTGGCTTTAGAAGAGCCATGTATGTCTTGGCATCCATAGAAGTAGGTCACTCACTTTTCATTCTTGCTTTGCCAGCAGTGACCAGCATATCTAGAACTAGCGGTAGCTGATGTATAGTATGAATTATCAGGATATTTTCCCATAGGGCTGTTGTTTAGTTGGATATTGCTTCCGGGAAATATTGAGCTGCCACTGCACATATAACATTCAAGTGTGTTGATCACTAAAGATGTGTTTAGGTTGAGTATTGATTGTTGTTGCCCAGCAACTGCATTTATTGACCGGCTACATGGATTGTTACCAGTCTTATGAAGCAACACAAATCCATCCCTGTATGTAATAACTAGCGAAAACTTCCAGTGTTTCTTTCTGTATTTTATTGTATTTCTTTCCTTTTTTAACATGCAATTAAATATCACCTTTGTCTAATGTTTTGTCCTGCCTAGATTAGCCAGGGTTCTCAATAGATTTTTAAGTAGGAGGTGATCACTGATAAAGTAGGAGGCTCTTCCGCAAAGCCAGAGGTGTCAAAACAAAGCAAAGAAAAGCGACTTAAACACAAAGTAAGCGGCTATAAATCCCAAAGTAAGCGGCGATCAATCGCCGGGTGCCGCCTTCTATTGAGAACCCTGGATTAGCGTGATAGCTATTTGCGGGGTATACAGTATGCTGTTGTTAATAAATTATACATTGTTGTTGTTGTTGACCTTCCCTCTGTTATGGCTAACAGAAAGGAATGAGGGTAGATATAATTTTAACTTTTTTTTCTTTACCAAAATAAGTATTTTGTATATTTTTTGAATTTTTTTCAGATCCATTACCACTACTTGAGCAGTCTGTCATTCAACAACAAAAAGTTGCTAAACTTCAGGTATCTTGTTTGAGTGTTCTTTGTATATGGAGAACCATGGCCAGTCGAACTCCTCCATGATGGCCTTATATTGATTTTTAATTACTACGTTGTTTTTAATTTGACTCGGCCGCATCTTGGATATGCTTTAAGGTGACAGCGCGATGCTGTTAGTGAGTTCTTCACTTCTTGTGTGCCCATCATTACTTGGCTGTATAGCCGCGTGATGCGGTTCCAGTCGAGACCCACAAATTGGCCCTTGCTCACCATAGAGTCTCCAGTAGCTCAAGTGGTTAGAGCATCCGACTAGATCACGGAGGGTCGTGGGTTCAAATCCCATCTGGGACTCAGATTTTTTTCTGAGTCCTCCTCAAATTAATATCATGTTGTTGTTGTTTCATCTTCAATATATGTTGTTTTTATCAGTTATAACATAGAACTAACATACACTGAACCTTTTACAACTGTAGCAGAAGAGAGCCTTGTAGATTTCCTTCTTTTCACCTGAAAATGGAAAACTACTTCATTTGTCCATTTAAATCTGTCTGTACACTGGTACATGTAATCAGTTTATCAGTTATTCTGTATGGGGTGTATGTTAGTGCACAGTGTACATGTAATCTTGAGTGTACATACACAAGTTTCAATAAGTTGTTGTCTACATCCTGTTAACTGTATATTGTTTATAACTAGAAAATAATTTGAAACAATACCTTTATATTAAATTTTCAGTCCAGCAGTTACTTGTTTCTTCTTTATTAGCAGAAGATGTGAAATATTACTTTCATGATTCGTTTGTCTGTAGGACTATGAGATTGAAAATAAACAGCTAAGAGAAACATTAGAGGAATATAATACAGAATTTGCTGAGGTGAAAAATCAAGGTAATATTCTTTTTTTAATAACTGGTGTATAAAGTAATAAATTTTGTACAAGTAAATATATTTTCAATCCATAGCTTTTCGGTTGAATGATCATAGATAACTTTCATGTGGTTTATTTTGCCTGATAGAGGTGACTATTAACAGACTGAAAGAGAAGCTAAGAGAATATGAGGAGAAAATCGAAGACAGAGTACAGGTAATGTATGAGTACCAGTATTTTGGTAAAGCTAGTGAATGTTAAATACTCTTTTTGACTACACTGGGCTTAACCTTTTACACAAAGGTTCTGTTTTGTAGAGGGGTTTTGGGTGTGAAATACGGTGATTAACCATTAATTTTGGAGTGAGGAGCCCTAAAAATTAAGAAGCTATTTAGTAGTTGCAGTGGCTCCTAGACCTGCCAATAATGGTAGCTCTTAATTGGCAAGAAGAATTTAGAAAAGTGCTTGAACAGCAAAGGAATGTAACTGCTAACCAAAGGAATTTACTTGAATATTCATCATAATCATTCTTATTATTATATACATACATGTACATACATACATAAGGCTTTTCAGTGACATATTATCAGACATCTATTAAATGTAAATTGTAGGCACGAGTGAAAGAAAAGGAGAAAGACATACAAAAGATGTTTTCTGATAAAGAGAAGGCACTGCAAGAAAAGCAGGTTTCTGTGGCTAAAAAGCTGGGAGAAGCAGAGCACAAGGCAGTGACTCTCCAGGCTGGTAAGTATGAAGCTTTACAATACTCTCCACAACTTTAACTGAGCGTTGTTTATTTCATGTACTTTATTTTTATGTAACATTATTTTATTCAGTGATAGTGTTGGGCTTGTGGTGGAAAGGAATACCAGGATATATGGAAGCCATGCCCTGATTGTACAGTTGTTGTTGTTGTTGTTATCTTAATTAACAAAGACAGTTTTTTAGTTCTACACCAAGGTACACAGGGTGCAAAGAAAGTCATTTTTAAAGCTTGCCATTCAGGAAAGCTGAAGCTAGCATATACTAGCCCAAATGTCATTTCAACTAGCCCCAAAAACATTTTGATGAGAAGAATTGATTTCACAGTACTTCTGTTATTTGAATTCCTCAAAAAACTTCACTTACCCACTGGGCAAGATAAGAACAGAATTCACTAACGCGATAGCAAAATCCACTGGGCCCCGGGCTATCGGACACTACCTTCTTTGCACGCTGGTACATAAATGGTCCATACTAATTTTGAGTTGATAGAGGTAACCCTGCTATGGACTGGTCATCACTCAGTGTTAATTAACTATGGATTCACATGCAAGCAATAGGTTTTTGAAGTTAACACCTCACCTGGCCAATAATAATATTGTTATCTTGTACCAATTCTAATAGAAATGATTACGTTTGAGATGTCCATAGCAACGGTTCACTTTATTCAACACCTGCTTGTTGGACTTGACAAAACCAATTCACAAAGAAAAGGTCCTCCAATATGTTTTGATCTCAGCTCTGATTTTGATTGTCATTCCAATCTGATAAGGAAATTTTCTGACTTTTTTTAATTTACATTTTTATTCAAAATAGATTTTGATTAGTTTTCAGTGCACATCAGTAGAAAAATTTAATACAGCAATAACTGATCCACATGTATAAATATGGTTCTTTTTATCATGATACTTAATAAATAACTGTTATTATTGGAGATTTTTCATTGCAAGGATACAAATGGTATCTTTCTCATTCTCTGCCTCTCTATATTCTGCAAAAGAACATCTGTAGGAACTTCAAACCTTGGGTAGAAGGTTATTAGAGTTTAACTGTGTAACAACTACATTAAAACATTGAAATGGTCTTTTCAGTGGGTAAATTTGTTTATTTTACAGCACTGGACAGTACTCAGTCAGAACTGTTTGATGTAAAAGCCAAGTTTGATGAAATGGCTGCCGCGAGGTACTTTAGTCATAGTGCCCTAGTAACATTTTACTTGTATTTAATAGCTAGCTTTTTGATTAGTGATTGTCATAAATAACAACAATAATTTCTGTTTCAAAGCAAAGTATACATACCAGTAATAAAAGTGTTTTTAATGTGATAGGTGCATTTAGGCAGGGTGAGGAGGGATCTTGATCTGCCTCTGTTGTTCTGTGAGTTGCAGTGTTCAATCATTGAACGCTGTAACTCACTTCAATGTGTATTGAGATACCTTTGTGCAGCACTTGTATGTTTTTATCTCATTTTGTTTTTAGGTCTTCAGAGATTGAAATTTTGGAAGCAGATGTAGAGAGGGCAAATCAGGTGTGGTGCTTCTGAATTCTTTTACAGAGAATTTTTTGAAAGTTATAATCTTATATTTTTACAGAGCTTGCAAGATATAGAATTTTAAAGTAGTTTTCATTTTAAAATATATCTAATAAGATTTTGTGGGTTTTATTTGCATAAGAGGGCATCAAGTGCAGAACGTCAAGTTGAATCTTTGCAAGAAGAGCTTCTTTCTACACAGAATGCATTACAGGTTAGCTCTGAAGTTTGCTTTTTTTGGGGGGGTGTAACAGTTTATTTTCACTTCGAGTGAATATGTACTGCTTTGTAGTAGTAGTGATTGTTGTTTCATTTGTTCCAGAATATTGGTGATGTGCAAAGACCAAATATGGTAAGAGTTATTTATTTATTTGTTTATCAAACATTTTATAAATCAATCATTTTATTGCCAATAAACCCACATTTTAATAAAATCCATCCGCTCATTCCAATGCCATCCCATTACTAAAACAAGCTTGCTCGTACGTTCTTGTGTCATTCATTTTATCCATTCTTCCTATCCACCCACCTGTCATCCATCCAAGAGGTATCCATTCATCACTGTTTTGGTCATACTTTTCAGATTTATGACTTGAATCTCATTCTACCGTTTTGTTTTCTTTATTGTGTGAAGGGTAGTCTTCTTCATGCATACTGCATATGTAGGAAAGTCTGAGTACTGCTTTGTATATATTTTTTTTACTCTGCTAATTTTTTCCTTTTGACTTTAGACTGAGACAATAGATGCACTCTCACGCTCAAGCTTGGAGCATGAACTAGCAGCCAAAGAGAGACAGGTGAGTTTGTAAAAAAGAAGTAGTAGATAATAGCATTTTTTTATTGCAGATTGCCAAATTCTCATTTCTTTACTAATTAAAAATAACTTACTGTAGGAGAGCCGTGAGGGTGATGCCTTCGTTTCAGGTCTACATTTGGAACCATGCTCTGTATAGGTGTGGCCTTAGCATGTCACTGTGTGGTTAAAGTGTTGACATTCTAAATCTAGATGGAATGGAAAGCCTCACTACAGTTTTCTGCATGGTCTTTAACAAATTTCATTTTTTAACACTGAGTTTACCATATTATTTTGTTTTCCTGTTTATTCAGATATCCCAACTAGTGAGTGATGTGCAGCAGTTACAAGTGATGCAGAACAGATTAAAAGAATCTGGAGCAAATGAGGTAGAGTGCAAGCTCTGCAAGTCTTTTGTGATCTGGGGGCAGGGGTGGTGAAGAGACTGCTTGCTCTTTTGAATAACCTCTCCTACTCCATCCTACAAGCTCAAGGCTAAGATGCTTGTTGGTTACTATTGTGTCCATACATATCATAGCCTAAGCTACAAGAGTATGACTGAACTGTCCTATTCTAAATTGAAATTTCTCATCGTGAAATAATATTAGAGCTGCAAATGTGCAGATCAAGTCGCCATTATATTCAGACAATTCAGAAAAGATTGTTGCTTCTATATTCCATTAAATCTTTATAATTGTTTTAAATACTATGCATATGTTCAGTCTGCTTCAAAATGTTAGTAAATGGCATTATTTTGATATGTCTGGTCCCAGTCATTCAAAAGGTGGATAGCGCTATCCACCAGATAAATCTCAATCCACTGGGTAATGCAATTGGCTTCCCTAATATTTATCCACTGGGGATAACTGGATAGCATTATTGGTCGGGAACCCTAATGTTTTATCCATTGTCTGGATGAAGTCTACTCTTGATTTATAACCTGGTGGACAGAGGAGTGGCAATCCAGTTTTTACTGGCAACCAGTTAAAATGACTAGTTTGTTAGGGTTGAAAATGCAAAATGTGGAATAAAATCAAATGTGTCATCAGAGGGTTGATGCTAAATGTGGAATTTCATTACTTTCCTTTCCGCTCAAAATGCGCTGAAATGCACTTTTTGGAAACCCCCAGATAAGAGTTTTCCCTGGGGGAGGTCCCTGGACTTCCCCAGTGATAGGGGGTAACCTCCTTCTCATATCTACCCCTACACATAGTTCTACCACGTGCGAGATGCGCCTTTCGATCTGATCAGTTGCCGCCTAGTTTATGTTTTTCCCTTTTCTAATTCTGGAGAACCCTGGAGTGGCCACATAATCAATGAAAAGAGCGGTCTGTAACTTACATTATCGTTTAGTAAGAGAAATGTATTTTATTGACAGGTCAGCAGGTTAGAAGACCTGTTAGCAAGTAAAACGACTGCTCTTCAACAAATGGTAACCCTGTTTCATTATTTCTTTAATTCACGCTGTCGCTGGCGCTTACTACTGATAGTGCACATAATTTTATTGTCAAGAAAGTTGTCAGTTTTCCATTCTCACTATCTCTCGTAATTTAATGAATGTGTAAGTTTGCATATTTTCTGATATCTTTCAATTTTTGGTTTGGAAACGAGAGTAATTGTTTCCTAAAAATATTTTTGTGTATTTTTTCTAGTATAAATCCGTTAACTTGTTTTATCTTCTTTAAATTCTCTTCAGGAGACGAAGCTTGACGGACAGAGTGACTATGAAGAAATCAAAAGAGAGCTAAGGTTAAGTTTGCACTTGAAAGTAACTGGTAGAGTTTTGTATCCTCGTGAAGTGACGTTTTGAACATTGAAGCGATTTACTTGACAAAAATAAAGGGTATCCGGCTGTCATAGAATGGCATGTACCGCAGCCCACCAGGTTACATTTATGCCTAGTTGTTAATAAATTGATGGTAGGTGTAAATTTATTGGGCTGCAACCCCAGTTGATTGCAGTCATCTGTCCATAGTCCTAAGCTGGCGGACTGCAAACGTCAGATTCAAGTTTAGAAATTTTCAAAATAGAAAGTAAGCAGATAAAAACAGCTCAAAACAATTCTTTGGAATAAAACTGGTCTGAAACTAGTAATTTTTGAGTAGTCGTAATGAACAGTAAAGGACAAGAAAAGGGAAAACTCTGCCTCCTGATACAAATTGCCGTAAAAGTGACTCTAAATCTCTCCGATGTTTGCCCGTTTACGAACTTATCCACTCAGGATTTTACCCAATTATTATACGTTTCGCTAGGATTGTTCCGGTGTGGAGGAAAGCGGTAGACGCGTAGCCTGCGTGGCAGGTGTCTAAAGAGAAAAGGAAGGAAGTGGAAAGAAAGAGAATTAGCGTTTTCATCCCATTTCCTTTCTCTTTGCGCCTCCCATGCAGGTTTTATAGTAAATCAGTAGACGGAGCCTTATGGTAGCCAAAAGCACTTACAACCATCACCAAAGTATAAGCCCAACTCTGCATGTATGTTCTCTGGCAGAAGTGATTGTCTCAATTTTCTGCTACATTGATTGCATTTCCTGACGTTGCAGTTCTTACTGTATACGATCAACTCTTTCAATTCTAATGGTGGCCATAGAAAAATTAAGATTTCTTTTTTTGTAAAATCCTAAGAAATAATGAATACTCTGCAAACGTTTTGCCAAAGAGGATTCATTTGAATAGCGACGTAACTGGATTTCGTCCACAGACCTAAAAGTTTACAGTTTCACTACAAATCATGCTATTACCTATACAAACATTCTCGACAGAACTTGGTCGAGACGTGAGAGAGTGAAGACCTAAGAAATATGCACTTCATTCGATTGCTTCGTTTTTTATTCTTATCTGTCATGTTTATGTTAATTGTTGCAGTATTCTGAAGTCAGTCGAGTTTTCCACGAGTGAGGGTGAAAGTGGGGAAGGAAGAGTGGTATGTTTGAATAATTGTGAAAATAATTCCTTACACAGTTGAGGAGGCACATTTTCTGTTCATTATACATAATCTGCCCTCTTGCATGTCACCATAAAAAAGTTTAACTTCTCTAATGTTTTTGTGGAGCATTTTAAAGACATATTTAAGCATAGTTTATATACTTTGGAGAGTTAGGCGTACTATTTGCAGGTTGGTTAATCAATAATCTGATCAATAAACACTGATAAAAACAAACTGGAGGCCTTGGAAACAGCAATCAAGTAACCAACCTTGAGATGTTTTGCGCGGCATTTTGTCTCAAAAATCTGCTCTTAGTACTTAGTGTAACCTAAGATGTAGCCTGGGACCAGGCTCCGCAGTGGGGGAAAAAGGCAAAGTACGGAGAAAAACAGAAAATAATAATCGGCGGGCACTCGCCCGCCATTTTTTTTGGCTCTCGCCGATGTTTTTTTTTCCTTTTTCCCCAACTGTGGAGCGTTGTCCTAGGCTACCTATGATGTGTCATCCAGGGTGATTATCACGATGTTTGTAGTTGATTCTTTGATTTGTGTTTTAGGAATCAACTCCTAAGTCTCTGGAGATGCTTCTTCTTGATAAGAACAAAAGTGAGTCTGCATGTGTAGCGCAAAATTGTAAAAAACAATCCAATTGTGATTTTGAAGGTTTTCACTCGTTGGTGACATTTACTGTAAATGTGCTTTTTTCAACTCTTTCAGGGCTTCAATCTGAGAATACAAGTCTTAAAGTGGAGAATGTCGACTTGACAGGTAATATTTCACTTAGGAAAGATGTGCTGTTATACCTTAAAATATCAAAGAAATAATTGTTAATTCCATGTTACGTTACGATATTCGACGCTTTTTATATCAAGTACAGAAAATGCGGAGAAAGATGTTGAAAAAAAAGTAAACGAAACTGTTTATAGTGCAATGGACCGATTTGAAGTCTGACGCTTTCGTTATGGCTGTAATAGAGAGTAACGATGTAATGGATGGTCAGCTGAAAAATTCTCAGTTGTACACTGAAAAGCATTCAACACATGTCAACTGGTAGTTGTTTTATTCTTTATGATTTCTTCTGAAAATGTCTGAAAATGGACTGTTTGAAAATGGACTGTTTGTTGGAGATAACATCAACATAAATCAGAACATCGGTACTCGACACTAGCTAAAGCCGCCATGGACAAGCGATTTGTCAGCTTTTTAAAAAGAAAAGATTCTTTTTGTTTATTGGAAATTTATTGGCATCTATTGTAGAGAACGTTTCGACAAATTTTTGAAGAGCAGCCGTTGGGGTAAAACTTATAACCGGCGGAGTGAATTGTTCCGGACAAATCATTTTTGACGTGTCGACAAGGTTTCAGACGAGATAAAGCCACACAAAAAAAAAAGAAATTGTGCAGCAATCCTGCAATCATTCATAGTTTTAACTTTCTTTTATCGTAAATCTTTTTTATTACACTTCTTGCAATCGCCTGCAACGTGTTCTATTAGAGAACAAAGTAATTTTACAAATCAGGTAATCCAGGGGTAATCTGTTCGTTATGTTTCTATTTTGACGAGCTGTCAATTTACAAATGAACCGAACCGTGAAATATCAAGGGGCGTTTTCCAGAATCGTGGGGTTTGCGGGCAAGCGTTTCCTCTTCTCCCCTCTCCCTCCCCCTTTAACCTTTTTTTTGCTTCCGCTGCAAGTGCTAAGCAGATCGCATTTAGCAGAGAGAACATTGGCTTAGAGCGGTTTTCACTTGACTGTCGTAAAACCCAAACCAAAGTAAATACAGTAGCCAACCAAAGGGCGTAGTAGAACCAAAACCAAAACCAATCCCTTTCCACAGTCAAGTGAAAACCGCTCTAATATCTTATTTTACTAACCACAAATTAAAAGAAAAAATTCACAAAAAAAAAAACTGCCAGCTACGCGTGCTAGTTGTGCAACTCCTAGCCTGCGTAGCAAGCGTTTCCAATCGAGTTATTGCGCGAAAGTTAGAGCGGAAGCAAAAAAACCCCTCCCCCTTCCCCGTCATTCATTTTTTTTGGCTCTTGTCCCAGTTTTCTTGACGAACCTCGCGAGGAAACGCTTGCTACGCAGGCTATGCAACTCCTTCACCTTGCTGGTCATTGTTTAAGGCAGCCAAACAAAATTGCTTCGAAACTTGTGTTATGGCAATCATCTGTCGGAAGGGTTAGCAGGGGAAGACAGCCAATTGACTCATATATTGGCAACATCAAAAGGGACACCAGTCTTGACAGCATCAGCGAAATTCGGTCAGCATTGCGGGATAGAAATGTGTGGAAAGATTTTGTCACGAAGGCTCGATCGAGAGATCGGCCTAAGTAAGTTTTGAATTGCCTCTCAGGCTTTCCCTGTTTTGTGTTTATGTCTTTAGGACGTTATTCTGATCTACAAGTCCAGTACAATGAGGCAGTTAACACTGTAAAGGAACAGAAGGAGCTTATCACACAATTAGAGACAGACCTATTGAGTGTAAACGCACTACCCTCTGCATTCCGCGGCCAAGGGGAGGTCAGAATTGTTGTTTTCTGAGTATTTAAAATGAAGTCGAAAGTAATGACCACTAAATGTGCTGAAATTTGATAAAAGAGCGGCGACAGTTTAGTTCCAATTGGTTTAGCTACTTTTATCGAAAAACTAATGATTGGTGTAGAAGTGAGAAGATCTGAAGTAAAGATATCAATTGAAATACGTGAACACGCTGGCTGTAAAATGAACCAGGAAATTTAATAAGTACCGTTTCATTCCTTTCATTCCACAGCTAACGTTTGACGTTAGGCTCATTAAAAAACGTTGTTTTATCGTCAGTGGTTTGAATTCGGTCGACAAAGGAAGACGTTCAGAAACGATGTTGAAATGAACGATGCTGTAGCGCTGAATAAATTGCAAATTTGCTGTCGGGAGATGGCACCAAGATCAAAAGCAAGGACAACAAAAGTGACCAAGCTTGAGGTCAACATTGGCCCCTGGTCCAACCATCTTCACCGAAATGTTCGGTCAACAGCGCATATTGTTATATTTTATGACCAAATGATTACACCTTTTACGTGGACAAACGAGAAACCCCGAGGAGCAGCCCAGAGGAAAGGCCCCTCTTGCCCGCTAGGGTAGCCACCTAGCATACAGGTCAGCCAGAGATGCTGCTATTTGTGATAATTCTTTCATTTTAATTTAGTTAATTATAATTATATGTTTTTGTCAGGGTGAGGCTGGACCTCCTTCAGAGAAAGAACTTGTTACAAACGCTGTACAGCAAGCCGTGGGCGCACCGACAGGTACTGATGGTCTGAGTGATAATATTTACGGTGTCTCGTCTCTCTAGTAATCGCTTTATAAAAATGTCCATTTGATATCTTTTCTGTCGTTGTAGTTGGGTTTACAGGAGAGAATGTGGCAACGGAATCTCTTCTTCCCATTGTGGCGAGCCAGAGAGAGAGATTTAAAGTCAGGAACATGGAGCTTGAAGCAGTAAGTTATTCCCTTTGCCACTCTTCAGTTAAATAGTTTGCTTGTTTGTTTTTGTCTTATTGACATGTTATATTTTAAATGACTGAGAATTCACAGAAGACCGTGAATTGCAGGTAGAAGCCAATGACCGACCCTTGTGTTTAACAATATAATACAGAAGTACAAGCGGCTGTTTGTTTTGCTTGAGTTTGATTGGAGAAAGTACGGTAGTTTTTAGTTTGTGGTATGCCGGAATTTAAAGTTACTAAATGACGTCAAAGAAGAGTTTCTAACGATGATCATCAGTACTAGCATCCAGACACAAACAAGCGCATGAAAGTAGCTGGCTAGCCGGCAAACTGCTTGCTGTTTGGAAGAGTCAGGTTACTGTTGACAAGCGCGGGAAATCAAAAGCGAGCAACGTTGACCAAAGCGGGAAAGAGTCGGTTCGAGATGTTTTAAGCTTCCTTGTTAAAAGAAAAACTTTCCTCTGAGGTATTTCAAACACTGTATCGGTACTGTAAAACAAGTTTTTAAAACTATTATACCCTCTGTTCTTTCTTGTAGCAACTGCGTCATAACCAGCAACAGATTAGTGTCTTACAGAATGAAGTGGACACTCTACGCTCTGACAACGTGAAATTGTACGAGAAAATCAAGTTTCTCCAGAGCTACCCGTCAAAGGTAATCTCCTTCGTTGTAATTTAAATCCAGATTTCAATGTATTGTTTTCAGTGCTTATATTTGAAAAAAGTTGAAAAATACTGAGCTGCGTAGTTGGTAGATAACGTTGTGCTTTTAACATAAAAACGCTTCATTTTTGCTTTGGCGCAGGGTACAAGCGGTAAAGATGATGAAGCTGCGGTAAGCAGATATTCCTCACAATACGAACAACGACTGGATCCATTTTCAGCTTTTAATCAGCGGGTAAGTAGAAGTGTATACATGCAATAACCCTCGCTGACGTATAGACTTAAATTTCTTACCCAACTTTTACAGTTCTTTGCTGTCATCTCCAAAGTGTTTGTGTGCGGCCGAAGAATGATATTTTCTGGTTCTTTCAATATGTTTTCTTTCCCTTAAGGTTACCTGCTTTCTTCAAAGAGTACATACCCTGCTAGCTAGCAGAGGTTTTGTTTCCGGCATGAATGTTAGCATAAGCGATATTCTCGTAGGTTGTACGACTCCGCACTTGCTATCATAGGTGGCCCAAACGTACTGCGTGAGTTGAGAATCTGGGTTCTAGAAATTGAGTAATGGAGTTTTGTGTTGAATAAACCCTGGCCGAAGTTCATTCACCTGTCAAAAGTTTCTTCAATTCTCTCAGGGCTTATTTTTGGTGTTGAAAGTAATATATGCTTACGTGTATTGTATGTTTCCGTAAACTATTGTTGGAAATACTAACAGTCTTTCATTGATGGCTTTCGTCAACAATATGCTCGTACACTGTACTGGCAGTTCGTTTGACATTGCTTTCAAGTTACTAATTGATCAGCAATTCGGTTCCTTATTTCCAGGAAAAGCAACAGAGATATCTTGGTCTTAGTGCTCATGAAAAAGTTACTCTCAATCTGGTAAGTGACTCTATGTGGAACGTAAGTGCCTCTTTATTACGTACTATCACGTTTCGATCCGTAGTTAAAAGACATCTTCTTTGTTAAACTTTTTACAATCACGATTCAGTAGTCAGTATTCTTTGTACACTGCCAGTTGCTTTTGATTGTTTGGAGACAAGCAGTTTGCAAGTAAAATGACATATTTATACAAAGAAAACTGGGCCTTATAACTGAACGCATAATACAGTAAGTAATACAGGCACATGAGGAACAGAGACAAGTGTCTGCATTGCAGAGATGTCTTAGGTTGGGGAACTATCTTTAGTTTAGTATCCTTCTGACCAGTTGAACTGTCCTTATTGTGGAGGTCTCCGTAAGCAGTGGTTTATTTGTATTCAAAGAGGCTTATTCAGTCAATTTAGTATAATTATATATATTTTTCCTTTTAGGGTCGCTTTATCTTGTCAAACAAGGTGGCGAGGACTATCGCCTTTTTCTACACACTCCTGGTCCATTTGATGGTGTTCTTGGTAGGTAGTGTGCGTTACGAATGGTTGTAATTGTAGCATTTCTAAAGAATCCTGATGATAGAACCTTTTTTCTTTACTTATCTTAAATTTGAATTAGCACGAGTATGTGCTTCCTCTTACTGCGTTGTTATTTGCGTTCAGGCGGAAAACAGAAATTGTTTTAATTCCTTGAGTTACAATTGTATTGATATAACGTATAATCTGAACGAACCAAACCGGTGTAGTTTGGAGACAAAGAGTTTACGACATGACTCTTTCATGTTTAAAACAGGTGCTTTACAAGTTGGCTTACACAGAATCGTGCAAACGGGACGTAGCCTCAGAGTGTGCAAAAAGGTAATTATTATATTACTTACCAGTCCTTTATCACCCCTTTGCCAGCCTAGGACATCCCTTAACACTCTACACCACAGTCAGTTTTTCGCTTATTATTTGGGCGTTGCCCAGATCGCTTCTCTTCATTCAAAGTTGCAATAGGCACGCAATACGTGCGAACGTAAACAAGCCAAGCGACGCAAATGTAAGCCGCGCGCTGTGTCACAACACAGCATTTATCTTCGTTACATACGTCCCATAGATAACGGATGGCAAACAAATTTGCAATAGAACACAAACTTTTTGGAAAAGCAAGGTACACTGAGTGAAACAAACTATTGCATAATTTAAATGAACTTTTGGCCTAATCCATGTTTTCTCGATACAAATATTATCAAAAATAAGGGAAAAACAATCTAACCAAAAGACCCAACAACGTTTAAAATAAGTACAAGTATGTTTTCGACTATAGATAAGACTTTTCACAACCACCACTTCATTTCAACACGCTGTAACTACACTATCCTTTCATAACCAAATTAGCACTTCCACATCTACCTTACTGCAACACCTAACTCCGAGTCACCTTTACCTCCCGAAATAATAAAAACGAGACTTGTGTAGTAAATGCCCAGCAGTTGATAGCACATTGCCGTTCTTATTTCTCTTTTGCAGATTTGCTGAACACATGCACGAAGTTCATGGGCAATGATAACTGAGATATGTATTAGTTAGCAACAGGCGAGTATCTCATCGTAACTCCGTCAGGGAAGAAGGTGATCTCCTCGATGTCCCTACTGGACACAGAAACCTCCGACAGCAGTTCACAGTCTCGTACCAGTTAGAACGTTAACTGACCATGTCACCGGTAGAGTTGAAGTACCAACCAGAAAAGTAACAAATGAAAAGGGGAAAAAAGGGGGTAATAAAACAGCCTAGAACGTGTCAAGATGTAGGAGCTTTCTATTGCGTGTCAATGGTAGCCGTTCACACCTAAATTTAAAAAGTTTTGATTTTGTTTTGTTTCACTTCCTTACCTTTTAAAAACAATCTCTGTAAAAGTTACTCAAAAGTAACCTTTTCTTGTTTGCACTCGTTTTGTTCTCTTGCTACTGTTTTCATGTATTGACTTTATTAATGCTTCGAGTTCTTAGTAGGGAAGGATAAAAAGCGATCAAGTACGTAGAGTTTTGGCGCGTCACTCATGCATTTCTTTACTTACAGGTGTCAAATAGAACACCGTCTTTTTAACCAAGCAGTCATTCTGAAATAGTTGTGAAAGTGCTGAAGAACAGTTATCCCCTCTCCACTCAGTATTATTGCTGCAGGACAGTCACACCATTACTTTCTAGACTTAAAGATTTAGACTGAAATAATTGTATCTTTGGAGGGAAATACTAAACTTGATTTTAATTTTGTAAAAAGGTGAAATAGGCTTTGCTTTATGGGAAAGCTTTCGAGTTATAGTGACTTTGAACTGTACAGTGTATAAAAATAATCATTAAAATTTCGACTTTCTAGGGTTGTGTTGTAGAAAGATGAAAATAAATAAATTTCACAATGTAAAGAAATTGTTCTACAGATGAGTTATCGTACGGAATGAAACGGAAACAGTCACCACTAAAATATTGTAAATAGTAAATGTTGAAGGATGATAGAGTCAAAACGTCTCTAATCTGGCTTTAGATGATAAGTGAACTTTCGAATTCTCTCCTTACTCCCAGCCTTTTCCAGTGTTTCTTTCTGTTATGTTTTTACGATTGCCGGATCTTTATGGATTTAAAGGTTCACCATCAGAGAAACATGGTGAAGCATCTTTCAGCACAAGTGCGTCCATCAGCATTGGCACATACACAAGAATTTGCATATGCCGCTCTGAATTTCCGCTGTCTCATTCACATAGTGTTGTAATGCACATTTTCTGTTCGATCGCGGGACTATCGGGACAGGCATTTGGTATGCGCATATTGAAAAATATAATCACGCAGGCGAAGTGCTCATTTCCACTTGAGTGAAGAACGATAGTGCGTGCCTTTTGGGCAAACTAAACGGAATTCTTCGGCGACTTTCTTCCTGGTGCCTCCTTCACGAATATGTCTGCAGAAAAGAACTGGCAAACCACAAGACCCACCATCAGAGAAAGAGCCAAGTTTATGCTCAACAACAATCATTTGAGTGATGTTAAGTTTGTTGCTCTACAACGTGGCGGCGAAAACGAAAGTAAGAAAGCGATTCCAGCTCACAAGTTTATTCTGGCGATTAGCAGTCCAGTGTTTGAAGCAATGTTTTTCGGTGAACTGGCGGAGACTAAAGACACTGTTGTACTGCCTGACTGTGATTATGGGAGTCTGATGGAGTTGTTTCGCTACATGTACAGCGATGAAGTGAACTTAAGCGGAAGTAATGTGATGGGAGTGCTGTACTTGGCTAAGAAATATCTGGTCTCTTCACTCGTTGATAAATGCACGGAATATTTGCAATTTAACTTAGATCCATCGAATGTCTTTAGCATCCTACCCACTGCACAAAGATATGAAGAGAAAGAACTCATTGGTCGATGCTGGGAAGTGATCGACAGTGGGGCAGAATGTGCTGTGAATTCAGATGGATTCGAGATGATTGAGAGGTCTTTACTTGAAGCAGTGGTTGCAAGAGATACCTTAACCATTGAGGAGGTCGAATTATTCCAAGCTGTTAATACGTGGGCAACGAAGCAGTGCCAAAAACAAGGTTTCGGAGTGAGTGGTAAAATGAAAAGAAAGGTTCTAGGGGAACATATTGTCCGAGCAATACGCTTTCCATTGATGAAACGTGATGAATTTGCCGCTGTCGTCCTTGATACAAATATTCTTACCTCTGACGAAATCGTCAACTTTTTTAAGTTTTACAGTTCGACGTTGACTTCTCCTCTGGGATTTTCAGAAACCCCAAGAAGTATACGTTGTACATGTGGCAGATTTCAATCAGTGTCTGAGGAATTGGTCACTTATGGGGGCGATAGACATTATCTTCTTTTCAGTGTGGACAAAGATGTCATGTTACATGGACTACGTTTGTTGGGTAGTAAAAACAATAAATACACAGTTAATTTGGAGGTAAAAAATCACATTAATGGCGCTTGGAAGGTGGTGGTGTCCAAAAGTGGCATATTTACAGCAAAGATTTTTCGATACAAAAGTTTTCCCATACATGGGTTTGATGTTTTTTTTAACCCTCCCGCGCATTTAAAGAAAAATACTCGCTACAGACTTGAGGCCTCGATTTCTGGTCCACCGTGTTTGAAGGGAATTGGTGGGTTGGACACTGTTAAGTCATCCGATGTAACATTTCAATTTTTTTCTAGTGTTGATTTTCTGGATTACGGAACAAACAGGTCAGCAGGTCAGTTCCTAGAATTTATATTTTGTGAAGTCAGGTATTAACAGGTGAGGCATGCTGCACGTGTTACCGTTAAAAACGTCTTTTTCAGGCTGACCCACGCATCTTGCCAAGAAGTGGTAAATTCAAAAAGTTAGTTGCTAGAAGTGCTAGATCAATGAGCAGACTTACAATCGAATGGATTAAAATTGACAAACAACATAATAGAAAGATGAACTGTGACAATGAAGGGAGAGTCTCGGCGAGATTGGATAACGACTGAGACTCGTATTAAAACTCGATTTATTACTTGAAGCACTTGGTATTAAGACTGAGGTATTAACTGTTGGTAGATTTCTTTGCAGTCAACGCACGGCTATTTTAAGGGAGCTTAAACAACGACCACGGCTACGAGAGCAGGGGCATATCTACTTAAACAAAGAATACAGAATATCAGTAAACAGAATGGCATCAGATGATGTTTTTCTGTTGTTAATAAACCCTCCGACCAAGAACAAACCAGTGCAAAAGTTAATTGCGAAATACGTATTCGACTGCTATGAGAAAAGAAGATCATTAGTTCTTTAGGTTAACATTGATTATAGTTCCACTAGTGTGCAATTTGTGTTATGATTTTAAATTATTTGTATAAAGTCGATGAACATAGGACTGTATAAGACTCCAAATAAATAGAGCATTGTCATTGTCATTGTATCGAGGGGGTACGGGGTACGGGGCAGGGGGTTCGCACCCGCCCCCAAGAAGACGACCTGCAGCTTTCTGATACAGTTATACAAAATCTGCCGTATCGTTGGAGGTGTATTCACAAGCAGTTCACATTAGGTTATTGCTTAGTTAAAAGCCTTCTTCTTCGTATTCGCTTTTGAAATTTGTGTACGTCACCAGTCAGTTACGTCATTCCTTACAGTGGTGCACCCCCTCCTAAGAAAAATCCTGGATCCGCCTCTAGGTAGCGAAGACTTCGCCCAAAAAGTGAATTCGCGCTGCCTCAAACTTATCGTAATTTGAAAATTGTAAAATCGACGCTGTTCAAAAGAGTCTTAGCCGTCTTAAAGTTTTATAGTTTTGAACAGCGTCGATTTTACAGTTTTCAAAGTAAGAGTGAGTACCTACGCGGCGCAGGGAATTTAATCTTTATTGCCCAAGTTCAAGAATCGCTCTAAAAAGCCAAAAATACTAAGAAAACCCCTTATATTTAGACTAGGATACAAGGTAAGAAATTCTGATGTATCTTTATTGCTGCGGAGCGACCAAAGGGAGCGAGCAGCAACATGATCAGGATTTAAAGGAAATATATAAGGGGAGACGAATTCTCGAATTCAACACTTTTTACCACAATGCATTGCATTTAACCAGAGTGCATTGCGCCACTAACAACTCAAATAAAAACACGGGGAAGTTCGGTGGGTGAGAGAGTGCATCGTTCGCTGCTCAGACTTAGAGTTTTCTTTGTGACAAATTTTGTACAGCACGGTTAGGGGTCTCACCAAATTTTAAGACACGCAGGAGTCTTTCAGATGAGTACGATGGTTAACTTGGGGATTGGATTTCAATTCAAGAGCCTTTGACTCGTCCAGGTGTTAAACCGTGACGAGAAGATGAGCATTTGCTCTTCGACTCCGCAACACGGGGGATATACAAATTCCAGCTGGCTAGAAGGTGATGTGAAAGTGAGAAAATGTCATGCAATGCTATTCTTAAGAAACTGTATGAGCCGAAAATGGATGTGATTTGGACCATTCGCTTCCAGGCGGTGTGCGCACTACGACTGCGATGCATTGTGGATTCAAAATTTTCAAGATGGCGGCGAAGGTCGAGAAATTTCGCAGGTTATATGCTTTATTTTTCAATAGATACAGTTCTTTCCTTAGATAGTTTTTCTCGATTTCACAAGCTAATATTTGTTTAGATTTTTTCTGTGAAGAAAAACAAATCAATATTCTTCATTTCAATCTAAAACGTGGAGCCCGAAGATTCCTCCTGTAAGAGCATGAAATTTGAACCCGGTTTTTAAGAGGCTATAATTTCCATTATATTGCCCGTCGAAAGTAGAAGATAGTTGTAAGTGTTTCTACAAACCTTGTTCTACGCTAATTTTTTATCGCTCCCCAACGCGCCCCACGTTTTGTGATACTTTTTCCGAATTGAAACCGGCATGTTTTCATGGGAAAATGTCGCCTCGCGAAGACCAATGTGACATGTTACTGGAAGTGTTACTGTTGTAATCACAAGCTGATCACAAAATAGCGGTGCAGCGGCGACTGGTTCCTCCAAACAATAGCATTAGGTGAGCATAAAATGTTCGAAACTGGTATATAAATAGGCTGATGAGTACTCTGATGTAGGAATGTCTGTTTTTGTAATAGGACTAAGAAAGCATAATAAAATTGCAGTCATACAGGTGACTCTCTTTATGCAGGTATAAAATCAGTAGGATTAGAATTACAGGTATTAAATTAAAAGATAAGTTTGATTATACAGTTAAGCCCTGTGCATTTTGAAACCAACAATCTACTTCCAAGATTGTTGTGTGTTGTTGTGTGGATGTTATGACTTGGTCAGTTTCTTGCCTAGTCCCTGTTTTATTCAGTGGTGATTAGCCTCCATAGCAGGCATTTAAAAGGAAAGGGAGAAGGGTTTTGGGCACAAGAGAAATGCGAAGAGTGCACGAGGAAGGAGGGAGTGATTGCAACATTCACCTGGTTGATGTTTATAATGCAAAAAACAATTAGTCTCCTGTATGGCAGGCATTTCCCTCCCTCCTTCCCTCACATTTCTCTTGCACCAAGACCCACTTTCCCTTTTCTTTGAAATGCCTGCCACACAGGCTATTAAAGTGATGTCATTCTATCTGTTTACCCATTTACACTGTTTAATATATATCAAGCAATTTGCATATTTTGGTGGCTTTAGTTAAAATATAAATTGCTTGATCATTGAATGTGCTTTTGATATTGGAAAACCAAGGCTGAAAAAATGGTGACAGGGAAAGGAAATAGAAAAAGTGGAACAATGGGGCAGTAAAATCATGAGACTAAGAACCTGAATTAACTAAGTAAGCCTAAACAGATTCTTATATAAATAGTAGTTAGCACAAGTTTAGGCTATTTAGGTTTTTAAATGGGTTCATATTTTCTGAAGTAAAAATGTAGCTAAGAGTATTTGTGTTTCACCTTGTTCCACATATAAAGTCTGCATACCAAATTAGAAGTTATGTGAGAATGGAAATAAAAAGAGGAATGTATTTAAATTTAAACATTGGCATTTACATTGCAGTTGGAGTGATAAGACAGCTTTGTCTCCAAAGAACATTCTAAATGTTGATTTATCTCTGCTCAAGTGTACAGAATTTTTTTATAGATTTGAAAAATAAGAACCTGTTTCAAATTTTAGGCTAAACAGGTTTTTATATAAAGGGGGCTCATCTGGCATAATTTTATTTTAGCTGAACAGGTTCTTGAAATTCAGGTTCTAAGTCAGGGAGTTTTTACTGTACCACTAGGATCCACCTCTGCAATAACTGGTAACCCAAAAGCCCTCTTACGGACAACCGCTTCATACAGACACCTGATCAAGGCTGTGCTCTAGCAGAGCCCTGTGGCCCCTGGCACCTAACTTTTGCTTTTGGGTGACTAGAAAATCTCAGACTTTTCATACAAATCATATGCTGGGCAGCCTAGATTTTACAGGTTCAGAGAACTAGGCTCCTTTCAATGTTCCTTAGAGCACAGCCTTGCTCATCATTACAGATAGCTTGCTTTGTTCCCTGGAAAAAAGCCCTTAAATTTTCTCTAAATTAAGATGGTTAATTTCTACAGTCCCCTCAGTGTCTGTATAACAGAGTTGACTGTGAGTATGATGAGACCTAGGACACCATATTTAAATTATAAAATTGGAGTGAGGAGAAAGGAAAGGGGTCTCAAGCTATGTTGCCCCAGCCCTGATTACAGGAGATTTGTAAACATGTATGAATTTCACATTTTGAAGAGTTTTTATAATCCAAAAAAATATGTGATAACATGTGTTTGTACATACTGACACAATCATAAACAAATATTGGCTGCAGCTTTTAAAATCTATTGACTGCATCAGGCTTTGTAATCACAAATATGCCATTTTCAGTTTCAATCCAATTATAAGACATTCTATGACTCATACCAATAGAAAAATATGGCAAATAAAGATGCTCAATATTATATTATCTATAAAGAGGACACAAGTTCACTGTACACAAATACTCTCTACTTTATTTACTTGTCTTCATGTGATGATAAATACAGATGTTAAGCAAAACGAAATGCAGACTTGGTGCCAACAGAGAAACAAGTCCTCGAAACGATGACCCCTCAACTTCGATTCTCTTATTACAGCTAGCAAGTGAACATCTTGCAATGCTGAATGACAAAACAAAATATGCTCACTGTGTTTAAATACCGTTGCCGGGTATTCTGAAGAAGCTCCTAGTATTTTATGAGTATATCACAGCTATGCACATCAGTACCTCTTAGCACTAGTTGCACTGATTTCACGGTGAATTCAAAAATTTTCGGCGAACCGCGGGTCTTACCTCCAGTGCTTTTCATGATTGAAGCATTGTGCCGACTTTTCTCGGTCAGTTGCAAACAGGATGCAAGTGATTACGAACAAAATACACCAGAATACACTTATCAACGGAATGAGACTGTTTTTTCCCTGAGAATTGGACAAACTTTCTTTTTCAAGGGCTTCCGGAGGACATTCAAAGCAAAATCGTATATATCTACAGCGTAATTAACGAATATTCACTCCGCAGTCGAGATGTTCACTCCACGCCATCTTGACACAAATGATCAGATTTTGAATACCGCCCATGATGCTTAGCGATCGTAGTGCGCACACCGCCTGATTCGCTTCAAAATAACAGCGGAAATCGAGATAACAAAACATATGTTTTGTGTCCTACTTTGCAGACGAGGACGTGTATCGGCGTTTTGAAAAGCATAATTATGTTCCTTCATTCATTCATTGCCTTGGAATATGCGTTTACATTGTATATTCACTGTTAAAGGCTCGGTTAATGCGGCGATCATCTTGCCGGCGGAAGTTTCATGGAAAAGGAATAAAATGGAAAACTTTTCCTGACGACTTTGTGATCAGCCTCTGTGGTGTAGTGTTTAGGTGTAGTCGCATCGAGTCGAAGGTGCCGGGTTCGAGTCGTACCGACTTAGTAATTTCGACTTTCTTTTTTTTCCGTTTTTTGTGTTGTTGTTTTCTATAAATATATAGCTAAATAACTGTTACTTAATAAAGTGCAACAAACAGCAAGAAAAGTATTGTGTTTCCAGAGAAAATATCGTGCACCGTATATTAAATATATGGATAAACAATCTGAATTTCTATTATTTCCTACAATTTACTGTGGGAAAACCAGAGTTGAAAACCACTTGATCACTTTCTAAACAACGTTCCCACGAGTTCTTTCTATAGACTGATATTAATTATACATGTAAATAGGACATTCAATGTCATTTTCGATTCTTTTAATTCTCACTGCTTAACTAATGCCAGTATCAACAGAATGTGCCGCAGCATTACTATCTTTTAGATACCCTAGTTACTATTTTTGACCCCTAAGTAGCCATCGCTTAAATCTCCAGGCTGAATCTCCATACAAACTCTTATAATATTTCGGTTAGGCAACAACGATTCTCACTGGTGAGCTTAGGGTACCTGTGACAGCATGTCCGCCTTACCGGTTGTCCGTATTAAGCGAGTTGAATGAAGAGAAAATGTAGGCCCGGCTTTCGGCAGGGACAAAGAAAACTGTCCGTAATAACGAGGGGTCCGTATTTTAAAAGGGGGTGTCTGAAAACCGGGGTTCGCCTGTATATATCAGATATAATGTTTTATTGTAGTTAGCAGTATTTATGTATGTAATTTCTTTTTTGTCCTTTTTGCACCTGAATCTGACGAGACGTTAAGCTTCTAAGCGGAACGTTTGTGTAAGGAGAATTGCATATATTGATCTAGAAAAAGTTACGTTAAAACAGAAATATAAGCCATATATCTTGCTTTAAAAATGGTTAACAAGATTGGGGGAACGTGGATGCTATATATGCCAGTGTTTTTTATTTAGTTTTCCAAAACTTGCTATGGCGATGATATCGATTTCGTTTGAATTTGATACCAAGATGAAGTCAGAAACATTCAGGGTTTAAGCTAAAAGAGCAAAACGTAAATAAGTCTCTTGTCTAGGTTTAAAACCAAGAAAGAGTCGAAATATATTGCAGATTAACAGTAAGCAGGTAGTGTCGAATTAACGAGACATGGATTAATTTAAAATGTTTACTTTTGGTACATTGTTGTAGTCTGATCGTCAACTAGAATAAATAGCAGTTGATTTGAGGACAGTCGACAAATATTCAGTGAGTACAGGCAAAACATCACGTAACCATGATGGCGATTATAATCCTGACAAACAGGTTTTCAATCGAATGCACTGAAATGAATATGCCAGTTTGCCAGTTAATACTTCAGGACTGAGTGTTTTGGATCCTGGTCACCATTCCTCCTTTAATGTTTTGACCTGTTGAGAAATTAAAAAAAGGGGACTCCTGAGTTAACAATCTGTTATCATAAAAGACTGACAAAATGACAATCAGTTTGCTTGGTCCCGCAGATTCTTAGATTCTGATTATCCGCAAAAAACTAGTAAAATATTCTCGCTACCTACTCCCTACAGTACGCATGAATATACTGGAGGGGTGAAAATGGTCGCTTATCCAGAGGTGTTGACAGCGGTATATTCATATGCATTGAACAGTTGAAGGTAGTGCACCTCGTCAGGCTTGGGGGCTGGGAGGGTGAGTAGCTGACCTAGTCTGTTCAAGGCCTCCTATAGAATTTGATCGTAGAACAGGCTAGCAATAGAAACACTTTCTGCTTTATGTAATGTCCTAGAAAGGCTAATATAAAGCTGAAATTTATAAGACGTGTTTAGCTCAAGACCAAGTAATGGACTCACGAAAAGCAACATAACAATTTTTCAATGTGGATTCCCACTAGTCAGCTACTCTAGAAAACTAATACATTTTTAAATTATTGCTATTATTATATTTTATAACGTTTGATTAGATTGCAAGGCTAAGCAAATGTTTTGTATTTTTTTAGCGTCTCGTATAGAGATAACATTTCTCTCATTAGTGCAAAGTACAGCATAATGTGAAATTAAAGGTAGTTATTTAGCCCCATTAATTAACAATTAGTAACTCCTTATCACTAGTACAGCGCTGAACACGAGATTGATGTGAATGAACAAGATTTTCTGCATGTTAACATTAATTTTAGCATTAACGGCACTACAGTTAGCCCCCAGCAGAGCTAATGAAGAGATCTTTTAGCAAAGGAATTGATAAAACCTTTTGTCACTGCAAAGCCCACATGTCAACCTGCAGTTCTCTATCATAACCTTCCTCCATGCTGGGTGTGTGGCATTTGTACATCGATTTCTCGCTTTCCAACTGAAACACACCCGTGTTGATATCATGTCTCTACAATGATCGGCTCCTTGTTCCAGCATGCAAAATGAAATCAGTATAGTAGAGAAAAGGCGTTTTGCTTGAGTATAATGCTAGTGCTATGAGGCGTTTTATAGAGGCGTTTGGGAGGGCATGGTCGCAGGAGAGCTAGAACCGCAATGATAACTAAGATATGTATTAGTTAGCAACAGGCGAGTATCTCATCGTAACTCCGTCAGGGGAGAAGGTGATCTCCCCGATGCCCCTACTGGACACAGAAACCTCTGGCAGCAGTTCACAGTCTCGTACCAGTTAGAACGTTAACTGACCATGTTACCGGTAGAGTTGAAGTACCAACCAAAAAAGTAACAAATGAAAAGGGGAAAAAGGGGAATTATAAAACAGCCTAGAACGTCTCAAGATATAGGACCATATAGGGGCTTTCTATTGCGTGTCAATAGTAGCCGTTCACACCTAAATTTAAAAAGTTTTGATTTTGTTTTGTTTCACTTCCTTACCTTTTAAAAGCAACCCCTGTAAAAGTTACTCAAAAGTAACCTTTTCTTGTTTGCACTCGTTTTGTTCTCTTGCTACTGCTTTCGTATATTGACTTCATTAATGCTTCGAGTTCTTAGCACGGGAAGGATGAAAAGCGATCAAGTACGTATAGAGTATTGGCGCGTCACTCATGCATTTCTTTACTTACAGGCGTCAAATAGAACATCTTCCTTTTAACCAATCAGTCATTCTGAAATAGTTGTGAAAGTGCTGAAGAACAGTCATCACCTCTCCGCTCAGTATAAACGTATTATTGCTGCAGGACAGTCACACCATTACTTTCTAGACTTAAAGATTTAGACTGAAATAATTGTATCTTTCGAGTGAAATACTAAACTTGATTTTAATCTTGTAAAAAGGTGAAATAGGCTTTGCTTTATGGGAAAGCTTTCGAGTTATAGTGACTTTGAACTGTACAGTGTATAAAAATAATCATTAAAATTTCGACTTTCTAGGGTTGTGTTGTAGAAAGATGAAAATAAATATATTTCACAATGTAAAGAAATTGTTCTACAAATGAGTTATCGTACGGAATGAAACGGAAACAGTCACCACTAAAATATTGTAAATAGTAAATGTTGAAGGATGATAGAGTCAAAACGTCTCTAATCTGGCTTTAGATGATAAGTGAACATTCGAATTCTCTCCTTACTCCCAGCCTTTTCCAGTGTTTCTTTCTGTTATGTTTTTACGATTGCCGGATCTTTATGGATTTGAAGATTCACCATCAGAGAAACACGGTGAAGCATCTTTCAGTACAAGCGCGTCCATCAGCATTGGCACATACACAAGAATTTGCCCATGCCGCTCTGAATTTCCGCTGTCTCATTCACATAGTGTTGTAATGCACATTTTCTGTTCGATCGCGTGACTATCGGGACAGGCATTTGGTATGCGCATATTGAAAAATATAATCACGCAGGCGAAGTGCTCATTTCCACTTGAGTGAAGAACGATAGTGCGTGCCTTTTGGGCAAACTAAACGGAATTCTTCGGCGACTTTCTTCCTGGTCCCTCCTTCACGAATATGTCTGCAGAAAAGAACTGGCAAACCACAAGATCCACCATCAGAGAAAGAGCCAAGTTTATGCTCAACAACAATCACTTGAGTGATGTTAAGTTTGTTGCTCTACAACGTAGCGGCGAAAACGACAGTAAGAAAGCGATTCCAGCTCACAAGTTTATTCTGGCGATTAGCAGTCCAGTGTTTGAAGCAATGTTTTTCGGTGAACTGGCGGAGACTAAAGACACTATTGAATTGCCTGACTGTGAGTATGGGAGTCTGTTGGAGTTGTTTCGCTACATGTACAGCGATGAAGTGAACTTAAGCGGAAGTAATGTGATGGGAGTGCTGTACTTGGCTAAGAAGTATCTGGTCTCTTCACTCGTTGATAAATGCACGGAATATTTGCAACTTAACTTAGATCCATCGAATGTCTTTAGCATCCTACCCACTGCACAAAGATATGAAGAGAAAGAACTCATTGATCGATGCTGGGAAGTGATCGACAGTGGGGCAGAATTTGCTGTGAAATCAGATGGATTTGAGACGATTGAGAGGTCTTTACTTGAAGCAGTGGTTGCAAGAGATACTCTTGCCATTGAGGAGGTCGAATTATTCAAAGCTGTTGATACGTGGGCAACGAAGCAGTGCCAAAAACAAGGTTTCGGAGTAAGTGGTAAAATGAAAAGAAAGGTTCTAGGAGAACAAATTGTCACAACAATACGCTTTCCATTGATGAAACATAATGAATTTTCCGCTGTCGTCCTTGATACAAATATTCTTACCTCTGATGAAATCGTCAACTTTTTTAAGTTTTACAGTTCGACGTTGACTTCTCCTCTTGGATTTTCAGAGACCCCAAGAATCAACCAAGCTGCCCTTCCTCGTTGTGGCAGATTTCAATCAGTGTCTGAGGAATTTGTCACGTATAGCAGCGATAGACATTATCTTCTTTTCGATGTGGACAAAGATATCATGTTACATGGACTACGTTTGTTGGGGGGTAAAAACAATAAATACACAGTTAATTTGGCGGTAAAGGATTGCAGTAAATTCCCTTCGCCGGTGTTGGTGTCCAAAGGTGGCATATTTACTACAAAGGGTTTTCAATACAAAAATTTTCCCATACATGGGTTTGATGTTTTGTTTGACCGTCCTGTGCATTTAAAGGAAAAGACTCGCTACAAACTTGATGCGTCGATTTCTGGTCAACCGTCTTTGAAGGGAACTGGTGGGTTAGACACTGTCCGGTCATCCGGTGTAACATTTCAGTTTTTTTCTAGTGTTCTTGGTGGGTCTGAGGAAACAAATAAGTCAGTGGGCCAGTTTCTAGAATTTATATTTTGTGAAGTCAGGCATTAACAGATCAGGCATGCTGGACATGTTACCGTTAAAAACGTTATTTTCTGGCCTTCGCATCTTGCCAAGAGGTGGTAAATTCAAAAGTTAATTGCTAGAAGTGCTAAATCAATGAGCAGATTTATAATCGAATGGATTAACATTGACAAATAACATAATAGAAAGATGAACTGTGACTATCAAAGGAGAGTCTCGGCGAGACTGGATAACGATTGAGACTCGTAACTCGATGGTTATTACTTATTAGTAAAATCCAACTAGTGGTCTATTATCAATATAGCCTGTGCCAGGCTCTCAGATAGTATAGTGGGATATATGTAATGGTAACAGGACTGAGTGGAGTCCAATTCGGTCTGTAATCAGGGGCACCCAACGAGAATATAGTTCAAAACCACTTAAACATAGCATTGTTAAACGTATTTTAGTATTTAAACTGTAGATATAGGCATATTTTTATCCCCTAAAAATTTTTCATCTGTTCGGATTTCCTAGCTGAAAGTCTAGTGATCCGAAAATAATAGGGATCAAAACTTACTTTTTCGAAAATTTCAGCCAGAAAAAAGGCTCCCGAAAATTCTAGGTGACCTTTTTAGGGTAAAAATCCGTTAAAAATAGGCAATCATACCATTTTTTACATGTTCGAAAATCCTAGGAGAGGCAGACAAGCAAGAAATTTTACAACAAATGTTCCGAAAATTGTAGATCTCAAATCGTCTTCCGAACAGATATTCTTCCGAAAATTGTCGTTGGGTGCCCCTGTGTAATCATACGAGTGATTAACAAAATCGGACGACCGCGTAGCGGGAGTCCGATTTGTTTAATCACGAGGATGATTACAGACTGAATTGGACGACACGAAGTTCTGTTACCAATTAATCATAACTTTAACAAAATTTGTGATACAATAGGCTATTTTTTAAACCAAAACACAAGAAATTCGAAATTTTGTTTTGCTAGCAGTGAAAAAAAAAAAGCCATTTAAGCGCGCGCGTGACGGCGCGTACTGTCCTATTAAACTGTCCAATTCTGAAGGCTGAAATCAGGGCAGTTGAGAGCCAATCAGATTTGACAATTTTGTTATAGTTATGATTACCGGTATATATGTTATAGCCCACTAGTAGTGAAAAGAGCGGGACTTTTGGCGGCAAAAAAGGATTAAAGTCTAGCTTTAACTAGCTAAAAGTTTTTTATTCTCGATGTTTTTGACCAACTAGTTGGATTTTACTAAAACAATTATTGTGAAAGGTTTGAACCCAGGAGTCATTTCAAAAGTAGGTTGAGTTTGATCGTCCGGGTAAACGCAGTCCTGAATAGGACTGTTCAGCTGACTGTTGTTGTTGATAGTGACTGACGTTTCGACAACGGTTTTTATTGGTGTTATATCAAGCAGTTTAGAAGCTGTTTTTGCAAGAAAATCTTTACATTTCATTTTGAATTGAAGAACTTGCCTTTCACTCAATTTCTTAGACTTTACTTTCAGCATCTGTTGTGCATGCTATAAAGCCAACATCAACTTTCTTGTAGTGTAACTGCTGTTCTTTTTCGGTAGGCTTCAACTTCAGGGTCTTTAAAGGAGATGTTACCTCTAGGAGATGTTGCGTTTCTTTAAGATAAATATGCTTCTTTCCCTTTACGTGGCTTTTCAGCGCCGATTTTCCCGTGTTTAATACATCAAATGCCTTTATACAACCTTTGCATTTTGCTTCAAGCTTGTCCATGTCACGTTCCAACCACAATTTATAGGAAGAGTTTTCCAACCAAAGCTCACTAAACAAGTGTTTCCCAGGCATATTTCAGAATAAAAACGTTTAAAACCAAAGACAGTCCCACTGCCTGATGTATAAATCTCAAACTTACGAATTCATGCATGCCTCAAGCTTACTAATGACAATACATAAGTCTTCAATCCATTGCTATACCTAAGCCTGCACTTTATCTAGCCACTGACCAGATCAGAAGGGACTGTACTGAGAAAAACCACGAAAGAGAAATATTTATGCGGTCAAACCATAGACGCGTAGTACGTTATAATAATTCTCAAAATTAACGTTTCTCATTTGTTTTAAGGAAAACCTTATTACTTGATTCAGTTTAACAGATTTCCAGGACTTTCTAGGACCAGCAGTATTTTTCCAGGACTTTCCAGTCCTGGAAAATGTGACAACAAAATTCCAGGATTTCCAGAACCCGTACGAACCCTGGGCTATTTTAAGGGAGCTTTAAACAAAGACGACGGCAACGGCAGCAGGGCGGGATCTAGGGGGAGGGTGTAGGGGGTACGTACAGCAGTTCAAATTTTGCTTAGTCAAAAGCCTTCTTCTTCGTATTCGCTTTTAAAATTTGTGTACGTCACCAGTCAGTTACGTCATTCCTTAGTGGTGTACCCCTTCATAAGAAAAATCCTGCAGGAATTTTCTGGATCTGCCCTTGGGCACCGAAAACGTCACCCAAAAAGTGAATTCGCGCTGTTTCAAACTTAATCATCGTAATTTGATAATTGCACAATCGACTCTGTTCAAAAGAGTCTTAACCGTCTTAAAGTGTTAAAGTTTTGAACAGCGTCCATTTTACAATTTTCAAAGTAACATTAAGTACCTACGCTGCGTAGGCAATTTAATCTTTATTAACCAAGTTCAAACTTCATCGCTTTTATTAACGGCGTGTCCGTTACATATACAATTGCGAACAATGGCACAACTAAAACTCGCTGGAATCGCCCTAAAACGCCCAAAAATGCTACGAAGACCCCCTATATTTAGACTAGGATACAAGGTAAAAAATTCTGATGTATCTCTATTACTATTTTTGACCCCTAAACGATCGCTTAAATCTCTAGGCTGAATCTCCATACAAACTCTTAATAATACTATTTCGGTTACGCAACCACGATTCTCACTGGTGAGCTTGGGGTATCTGTGCCTGCATTAGCGAGGTCGACCTTCTTTCTCTCTAGAATTTGTTTATTGGACAACAAAAAAAGTTTCCGTTGACTGTCATTACTGCATTACCGGGTGTCCGTATTAAGCTAGTGGGTTGAATTAAGAGAAAATGTAGGCCCGGCTTTCGGCGGGGAAAAAGAAAACTGTCCGTAATAACGAGGTGTCCGTATTTTAAAACGGGGGTGTCCGAAAGCGGGGTTCGCCTGTATATATCAGATATAATGTTTTACTGTAGTTAGCAGTGTGTATGTATGTATGTTATTTCTTTTTTGTCCTTTTTGCACCTTAATCTGACAAGACGTAAGCTTCTAAGCTAAACATTTGTTAGGAGAATTGCATATATTGATCTACAAAAAGTTACGTTAAAACCGGCAGAGATATAAGCCATATATCTTGCTTTAAAAATGGTTAACAAGATTGGGGGACCGTGGATGCTATGCCAATGTTTCTTTTCTGTTTTCCAAAACTTGCTATGGCGATGATATCGATTTCGTTTGATTTTGATACCAAGATGAAGTCAGCAAAATTCAGGTTTTAAGCTAAGAGCAAAACTTAAATAAGTCTCTTGTCTTGGTTTAAAACCAAGAAAGAGTCGAAATATATTGCAGATTAACAGTAAGCAACCAGTGTCGAATTAACGTGACATGGATTAATTCAAAAAGTTTACTTTTGGTACATTGTTTTAATCTGATCGTCAACTAGAATAAATAGCAGTTGATTTGAGGACAGTCGTCACGTAAAAAGGAAAGCGATTATAATCCTGATAAACAAGTTTTCAATCGAATGCAGTAAAATAAATATGCCGGTAAAATACTTCAGGACTGAGTGTTTTGAATCCTGGCTACCATTCCTCCTTTAATGTTTTTACCTGTTGAGAAATTAAAAGAAGGAGAACTTCTAAGTTAACAAACTGTTACAAAAAAGGTCTAAAAAAAATGACAATCAGTTTACTTAGTTTGTTTTCGCGCAGATTCTTAGATTCTGGTTATCTGCGAATGACTAGTAACATATTGTCACCACCTACTGCCTCCAGTACGCATGAATATACGGTGAGATACGGAGGGGTGAAAATGGTCGCTTATCTGGAGGTGTGGACAGCGGTATATTCATATGCATTGAACAGGTGAAGGTAGTGCACCTCGTCAGGCTTGGGGGCTGGGAGGGTGAGTAGCTGACCTAGTCTGTTCAAGGCCTCCTATAGAATTTGATCGTAGAACAGGCTAGCAATAGAAACACTTTCTGCTTTTATGGAATGTCCTAGAAAGGCTGATGTAAAGCTGAAATTTATAAGACGTGTTTAGCTCAAGACCTTAAAGCCATGGACTCACGAAAACTAACATAACAATTTTTCAATGTGGATTCTCACTAGTCAGCTACTCTAGAAAACCAATACATTTGTAAATTATTATTATTATTAAAACTAAAAATTGTATAACGTTTGATTAGCTTGCAAGGCTAAGCAAATGTTTTGTATTTTTTAGCGTCTTATATAGAGATAACATTTCTCTCATTAGTGCAAAGTACAGCATAATGTGAAATTAAAGGTAGTTAGTTATTTAGCCCCATTAATTAACAATTAGTAAGTCCTTATCACTAGTACAGCGCTGAACACGAGATTGTTGTGAATGAACAAGATTTTCTGCATGTTAACATTAATTTTAGCATTAACGGCACTAGAGGTAGCCCCCAGCAGAGCTAATGAAGAGATGTTTTAGTAAAGGAATTGATAAAACCTTTTGTCACTGCAAAGCCCACATGTCAACCTGCAGTTCTCTATCATAACCTTCCTCCATGCTGGGTGTGTGGCATTTGTACATCGATTTCTCGCTTTCCAACTGAAACACACCCGTGTTGATATCATGTCTCTACAATGATCGGCTCCTTGTTCCAGCATGCAAAATGAAATCAGTAGAGAAAAGGTGTTTTGCTTGAGTATAATGCTAGTGCTATGAGGCGTTTTATAGAGGCGTTTGTGAAGGCATGGTCGCAGGAGAGCTAGAACCGTAAAACTCTAGTTTGTATCTTTTAGCTATTATAGTGGGTAAATTTCTATTCGTTGATTTGAAAAGGCACCCGAGGGATTATACTCTCTTCATTAAAAACACAATAACATTCCATAAATATTTCTGGTGTTCACGGTTTTGTGAGTTTCACCGTAATAGTTACATAACTATCTTATTATATGCCTGGCTCCTTGAGCGGGCAAAATGAGGGGAAGTCTGATTGACAGCCCAAGCGTCAAGATGGGTCTTAGGATTACCCGCCTTGTCTCCCAAGAAATTAAAAGATATTGTTATGGCCCCGGGGGGGGGGGGGGTACTCCCATACATTACCTATACGGGTATGTGCAGCCCAAAGGGGTCGTGATTTTGAAGCTCCTGATTTAGAACGGGGTATCCATTTCAGAGGCCTTTCCTAGAACGGGGTATAATATTTCGAACGCACGAAAGCTCCACTTTTGTAAGCAGCCATTTGAAAGTATTCAAGGACAGATTGCTTTTAAAAATACGGTTCAATGCGTTAACAAGCAAACTGTTGTACTCTTGTTGCACCCTAGAACGGAGTATAAAAAATTGGCCCATTTCTAGAACGGGGTATCAGTTTTAGGGCGAATTCTAGAACGGGGTATAACAAATTGGCCCATTTCTAGAACGGAGTATCAATTTTAGGGGTCATTTTTTCTAGAACGGGGTGCCAATTTGAAGACGCGGGCGGCACATACCCACCCAAAAATTACCCAAGTGCCCCCCCCCCCGGGGGTTATGGCTATGAAATAATCCCGTTATTGACCAAGTTCTCGTGGTCAATAACGCATATATGGTGGATTGCATGGCTATTTCTTGAGGACAATTCTTATCCTGCAAGGTGAATAAGCTTATTTATGTAGAGAGATTTTAAAACTGATTAATTTGCCTCACCACAGAAGCCACAAGTAAGCGCGCAACGTTTTATGAGGTAGTCCTCCCACGCCTTTACAGAACAGTATCCGGTCCTCTTACGACGTTTACAAAGCTCTTTAGGGTCAACATCATAGCAGTCATCTAATAGGTAAACAAAACACAAACTAACATAACTAACCAGCACCAGAAACAAAGTAGCAAGTATGACAAGTATCAAAATGACATACAATGACTCTTACATAAAGCTGTTAACCAATACTCAAAACAAACTGTCTCAAGCTGTCTCAAGTCTCCCAACTTCCTCTCTTTGTTTGATCGACTACCATTTATGACGAAAGATAATCACCTGCTTGATATACCAAATCCAATTCTTACTAAACTTGTTAAAACATTTACTATATTTTGATAACTGACTTTACAACTTTTACAGGCTCTAAGTAGAAGAAAGTAAACTGCAGTGCCTAAAGTATGATAGGTGAGTTAAGCCGTTACTCACTTTGGCAAGAAATTTCTTGTCCCGAGTCGCCTTGACAAGGATGTTGGGCTTCTGAGAAAGAAAACAAATAATAAAAGTCTTCTTGAAAGGTGGACGAGATGATTATTTCCAAAGTATATGAAAATCCAACGTAGGGCGGCGATCATTTCGGCGATGAGAAAAGGCAATCTAGTTCGCAGAAACTATGAGCGATCTTGCATGGTAGAGTCTTCAAGTGTTTTGCCTAGTATATTGGATTTCTAAAAATATGGGGTTATTAAGCAGAGATGCTAGATCGCCATCCTAAATACCTGGTTAATCACTAACTTTCCGGTGCATTTATTCTCAGATATTTTGATAGTTTATGCGTAAGAGCTTACAGAAATTCGCTTCTGTGAAGTTGGTTTGGAAATACGACCCTAATCGCAATACGTTTTTAGCGTTCTCAAGGGTTTAAAGCCTTCTATGGTGGTCAAATTAGATATTTTTTGGAAAATACGATTTATTATCAATATTTGATGCTAAGATACCTAGACTAAGATGAAATTTCCCCCAAATTAAATCATGAGGTCCTCTTTTACTTTTACGTATAATTATGGTCACGTGACATGTCACGAGGTCAAAATGAAGGAAATTGGTGGTGAATTACTTTCTACGTTTGGAATGAATGCACTCGAAGATTTAAATTAAAGTTTTGACTAATTTAAAATTAAATTTGGGCACTTAAGTGATATGTTTGCCGTTTTTCACGAAGTGCAGTGGACATTCATTCCGAACGTGAAGTGTTGAAAAATATGTCTTTGATTTGTTTTCTTAAACCCGTCACCAATTTGTCACTCAGAGAAATGGTCCCGTGACACATCACGGGACTTACCAATTTCAACTCAAGTCCATCCCCTTTGTCGACCAAATAAATTATTTTCCACAGTTCAACACGTTAGACCCAGGCTAGCCTACGAGCAAGCTCTCCATTACTGACTTAAACTTGGTCTGTTCCAGGCGTTCAGATTGTTGGGAAGGCGCTAACACTGAGATGTGAATGTTTTCCCGCTCTCTGAGTTCGCACTTCACTGGAACAGGATAGCTTAAACTGCTCGAGACTAGCTGGATTTCCTATAGAGTAGTATGGACCATTAAACTGACAAAGAGTGCTCACTGATTTAGTGAAAACACAATGGTATTAGATTAAAAATGATTGGTTTTCCCCCTTTTCTGCTTACTTTTTGATATGTTGGATATCAAATGAAACATTCCTTCTAGTGTTTATTATACTACGAGTTATGTTATGAGAATGAGCTCTTACTAATGCAATATCCACAGGTTTCTGGACAGCTTATTCTCAGAAGCTTGTAGTTTGTTCTTGTGAAACACATGTGCTTCATCATCAAGCAAAATTGCCTGGACCTGCTGTTTTCGCATGCTAGAATAGAGAACAAGAAGCATCATCTCATTTGTCTCCTCGTTTGGAACGTTTGAGGCCTGCGTCATGATACCGGTAATGATGCCTCAGATAAGAAAAGGTATTAAACAAGAATTAAGCTTCTTAACTCTGCGGCTCTTTTGCGAGTCAGATCCAGGATTTTAGAACAAAATAGGGGCAAGATTTAGGCGTGAAAGAATCAGTATGCTCGGGATGGTGAATGCAAAAAATTACCATCGGGAATTTTCGTTCATTCCCGTAAGTTACGAGATTGCACGAAAATTTGGGTCAAGATGACGGGATTGACTAATTCTGTTGGGGACCCTCATCCCTAGTTTTGGCCAAAAAAGGCCCCTTGTAAAGTGTATCCGGTCAAAATCAGAGACCATTCCTTGACTCGCCGAGTCACCCGACACAAAGACGATACTTCTCAAGCGGGTTGTCGCTTTCTTGCACAACTTCTTAACCGAACAATTTCCATTTGTAAGCAAATCTAATGAAAGGCGTGAGTGAATTTCGTTTAAATAACTACAGACTAGCTAGTTACCAGGGCATCCCTGTCCGCCAGGGCCAGCTGCTGCGATGATGCCATCCCAGCAGCAGCCATGAACTGAAACTTCTTCCTTTTTGTAGTCGTAGCACTTCTCGGGCGCAGGGGGCTCTAAAAATAATGAATTATTAATTAGTGGAACCGTCTGATAACAAAGCAATATAGTATACCCCCAACCAGTTTTTCCTCGCCTACTGCCTTTCAACTTTTTGTTCGCAAATTAATGAGCACTCACCTTTCGCGGGTATATGAAATCAATTACCCCTGCACGTGGACACTAGTCCCTACGTGCCCATGCCACTCGTAATTTATTTTATTTTTTGTACAAATGTTTCTTTACTCATTTTATTTTTTTTTTGACCTAAGTCTTAATCTAGGGGCGGTGCCTCGCATGGGACGTTAGCCCCGTTGCACCTATCCCTTTTAGGTTTTTGCTTCTTTTTTTCTTTTCTTTTTTTTTTTGTGTTGTATTATAAATTTATATTGTAAATCACAAGAGGAGCACCCAATAAAGCTGTGAAAAAAAAAAGTATCGTAATTTCTTAATCAGCCACAAGTTACTCTTTGTACAGAATATTACTCGCACCACAGAAGTTGCATGTCTCGTAACACAGTTTCTTCATCATATTTTTCACGCGTGGAGAGGTTGATTTGCAGAGTCCTTTTGATTTCCATAAGTTGCATCTGCGAGACTCGTAGTCTTGACACCATTCTGAAAATAGGAAAAGAGATAAAAATAGGCGGATAAAGTGATCGATGTCTTTACCCATCGGTGATGCAAATCAATTTATGACAAGTGATTAGCGTCTTTTAGTACCCAAGCATTTTATCGCACATTTTACTTCGAAATCAGTTTCACCTCACACTAATAAAAAAATTAGTACTGACAGAATAGCAGAGACGAAGGAGTGTGAACAACTTACAGAGGAAAGCGATGTCCAGCGTCATAACGCAAACGTTGCATTAGAGAAAAGTTATACCAAGTAGTAAAAGGCCCCGGTAAAAATCGAAAATTGCAGCTCCACGTATATCCTCCATGAAGCACCCCCTCCCGGATGAGTCCCCTTCTTTTCAGGGGAAAAAACAGGCCCCTCCCCTCCCCACCTTTTATTCTTAAGTGATAGATTACAGACTGATCCGGCATCTTTCACGTGCTAGAAGTTCGATTTTTTTTTTGTGATCTTTGGCAGCCTCCAATTTCATGTGTCTGAGCTTTTGTACTTTGCAATCTAGTTATTTATGGAGAATCGATATCGTCATACTTCCCCTCTGTCACTCACTCCCTCGAACGTACTTGAAAATTATAAAATAAGCTCTCACAGTATTCAATTACTTACTTTACAATATCAAATGCTATAAATTGACAAAGAAACAGTCTTGGTTCAAGATCTCTATAATACATTTTATGGTTTTCAATGAATGATACTGCCAAGAAACATCGATTTGTAACAAATTGTAGCCGTGTATACCTAACACCGCTGGCTCTATTGTTCAAGAGACAATTTTAAGCAATAGTCACTATGCGTGAGGTTTACATTTTGCGTGTCTGAGTTTTTTAATCCATAAGGCTTTTTGTTACCTTTGCCTAACTTTCGTCTTGCATTGAAACCCGGTCAAAATGAGCACATAGAGTTATTTTCGAACGTTGATTTTAATCAGGAGAACTAAGACCCTAAACTAAAGCTGATATCATGTCGCACAAGAAAGTTCAAAGCTAAAATGAATGTCAGCGCCTCATAAAATCATTGGAAAAAAAAAAATGAAACTTTTTTTGGTAGCTGTGTCAGTGATTAGAGAAAGCGCCTTGTTTTCTGCACTGCCGGCCGAGATTGCAAATTATCGTATGAATATGCATGATCGTCATGAAACATTCAGGAATAAAGTTTTATCGGTGAAACGAAGGCCATTCTATTTTTCAAAGAAAACTGACCAATGCCATTTAATGTCCTAAAGGTTCGTGACTATACCGGTCAAGAAAAATATTAACTGAAGATTACTCCGACCCTAATAAAGTAATATTCATTCTTACCATCACTCCGGATCACAAAGGAACTCGAAATTAAAACGAAGAAAGTGTTTAACAGCCGCAACATTGAACATAACGTTTCTGCTGAAATTGACCCAGAGGTTACAACATCATGAAGATAAAATTGCTGATGGTGGATTAAAAATTAAACTAACTGAAAGCTCCTTATATTGACATTCCTGGTATTGTTCTTTCTCGTATCGGATTAAAATATATCCAGTCCACAATGTTACTCCAGCAGTCACGCAGTTGGTTTCCTAGCTAAATAGAAGATAACATGTAACCATGGGCTCCAGTTGTAACCGTGATTTTGAAACCAGCCCCACCCCCAAAAATATATCTTTCTTTGAAGAGTCAATTAATGTATCTTGAGGGCTAACACCATGGAAGGGTAGCTCAGAATTGAATCTGTTGTCAGAAAAAACAGATACATTAAATAAGCTGTTTACTTTGAAATTACACAGCTCCATGCACGAATGTGCAGGCTGAGAAATAGGAAGAAAACTTGAGCCGAATTGTGTTTGATCCGAAAACTTCGATGGGTACTAAATGAGTCTTAATTAAGTGGTTTAGAAATCGTTATAGTCGTTATCTAGTTTTTGTAACGATAAGTAATAAAAACAGACTATTTCATGACCTATATTGGCAGAAAACAATCACTCACTCTTACCCCTGAGCTGTCAACGCTTGAAAAGGTTTGTGGGCAAAACTGACTGGTTTTCAAAACCGGTTTTCTTTAATGTGGAATGAGCATGCCCTGTTGAGACTCTACGCTGAAAATTTTTAAGCCCACGATTGCTATCCCGTAAATTGTCTCACACATGGCTAAAACTTTACCCAGTTCAAGGAAACGCCAGAAAATATTTGCAAGATAGCTAAGAAACTAGTCGGGCGCTGGCAGCCTCTCTCCATCCTCTCAGTTTTTTTCTTTCGCCATCAGAGATCACTGTTAGCAGGGAGAACTATCATTCTGACTTGTTAGTTAGTTAAACTTTTTTTCGTGATCCTAAGACAAGTGCCAAACTTTAACCTTGCCAATTTTACCGTGACCGAGGACGTTTTGATTACATTGTTACAGTAATCGCAAGTAATTAAGCAAAATCTTACCATATTTTCGACACGATACATTTGTGTAAAGGAAAAACATCGACACGACTATCGATAAACTTGGCTTCATTTTGTATCCCATTTCGGCAAATGCAATCCCTTTTCTCACGCGATGCTTTAGTCACAAGGGTTCTTCTGAGTTTTCGCAGTTTTGTTGAAAGATGCTACTTGTCAGTGTTTTGAATGGCACATAGCGGATGGCTTGCTTGGGCTAATATACTTAGATGGCCACTGAAAACAAGTGTCAATAAAACAGTGGTTGGTGTTGATCCATCTATCGGAGGAAACCCCGAGCTTTCTGATGTACCTAATTACCAGCCTTTCCTTTGTCTAGCCCGTACTTAAAGAAATAAAAGAAAGGAATTAAAAATTGTTTGAAGACTAATCACGCATCTCTTAAAATGAAAATATTTTCAGTTCTCAAATCAGTAGTTGCAGTTGGCTATATTTAATATGTAGGAACCCCGTGTATCGTAATTATCAGCCTTTGTTGTGTACTGATAGTGTACTGAGCATACGTAGACAAAGGAAAAAGTCTTTCAATTTCAAGATTGTTTTGTAGACTTACATCACGCAACCTTTTAAGTGAAATATATTTTTGATAAATAACCAATTTTTTACGACATCATTTTGCAGGCTACAGCCTATAGTTTTAACATCTCATGTCCTAAGAGCAGTTATTTCGAAAACATTTTGCAAATGACTTTTCCAAACTACTTGGTAAAAAGAGTTTGTTTTCAGAAAACATACAGCCTACAACCACAGCTGCTGGCAAACCAGACCTTACAAAAGTGGAATGCAACTGTGGAACAACGCAAAAGAAGAAAGAGAATGAACCCTGCTATGTTTAAAAACAGGTCATGCATGTATTTTTTATCATTCTTTTCATTTCGTTTACCGGCTAGAATCATGCAATAAATATGTTATTCGGATTTCATGTATCTAAAACCCAACGCGCTTCTTCCTATCAATTTGAAGAAAAGAATCTACCAGCGCATACAAACGTCCCTAAAAGAATTAGAATTTTTTTAAGATTTGTTTTCGAAGCATGATAGCCTGTTCACAGACCCTCTACTTTCTGTAACAAAGTCGGTCCGCCAGCGCAAGCAGGTAGTGGTGGGAGAAGAAGAAAATAGACTTTATTTTTCTTTATCGCGCTCCACGATCGTTCTCGCGCGCTCGCCGATGTTTTCGAAAAGAACAATAAGAAAATAAAACAACGTCTGTGTACAGGCTAGAAGCTTGACTGAGGTCAGGAGCCCTCCAAAAGTAGAAGAATTAAAGAACGAACAATGTTTAAAAGAACAGGAGTCGGTATAATTAAAAAGTGTCTCATTGACTCTCACGGTCGTGAAAAGAAATTCCAATACTTGATTATTTTTGAGTACGGTATACATGTAGTCTGTATGTGTGAGATGTTTTCTAGACGGTTTATGTCCAGCTACATTTGCAGTTTGTAAAATGCTCGTGATCCGAGTGTCTTCGATGGATCTTGACGATCGATCCTGATGTAGATCATCCACTTGCGGCGCGACCAATCAGAAGCACTTCCCAGATCTGAGTAGTGACACGCCATCAGAATGAAATTTCTGCAGTTGTTCCTAAAACTAGCGTCATTTTGCGCTGCAACATGTGTTGGCGTTGCGAAATGTTTGTCCGCTCAGGCTAACTTTTTCTTTCCTTAGGACAAAATCTCGCACGCGAGTGGGGCCGACTTCATATCCCCGCTAACGGAGTAAAACTCTGTCCGTAACCAGTGTTCAAAGCCTCCATACAAACGATACACCCAAGTAAGTCAATCCGGCACCAAAAATTGCAAAAGACAAATTCATTACAATTATCATTCATATTCCAGAATTGGATTTAAAATAAAAACAGTATTGGAACAAAAAGTATATATGTGATAAAACCTAAAATATTCGCAAACAATTCCCTTTCCTGGCTGACCCATTACCACTATTTCTTTCGGGCTGACTAAATTATTCGCGATGACTTGAATATAGCAGCTATAATTGCTTAACGATATTTTATAGTTCCAGGAGAGAGCCCTGGGAACGAGGTTAGTCTTATTTGTTCAACCTTTCTGATTTAGCCACTTGAATTTTATCAACAAATATTTGCCCCTAACACAAACCTAACCCTAAGTGTCTTTGAAATGCTCTTTCGCCCACCCTACCCTCTTCCCCACCCCACCTCCTCCCCCTCCAAAATACAGTCTTCAGATCAAAGTTCATCAGATCAAAGTGAAGGGACTGTAGAATTAACAGCAGAGTGGTCTACGGACCCGAGTCACTCAGACTTTTTGTAAAGGGACTCAATCACACACCTACTACTCGTGGTATTGTTTGAGTGCCACAGGGCTCATTATTTAAGTGGTTGGTGGCACAATCAGTGAAGTGCGAAAGCATTTGCTAATGCTGCCATAAAATTCTGGTGGCCGTTCATTTTACCCTTTTGATATGAAGATAAATGGCACCTGTTCAACTTCGGTTTTCACATCTTCATTGTTTGTTTGACTATATATTTTCTACGCTTGAATGGAAACGATAATACAGCTAAAAAGAAGAAGCATATTTATCTTAGGTTGTTTTTTGGTTTACACCGTAACAGTTACGAGTCTTGGGCCACTGAAACCCACAGCGATCGATTATGCCATCTCGAGAATTTCACAACGACAAAAAGAAGAATTCGTGGACGAACATAACAAATATCGCAGCTCAGTGGATCCCCCAGCAGCTAACATGGAATATATGGTGAGATATTTACGCTTTAAACTTTCCAGATTTATCAGGTACGCCTGGTTTACAATGAATACCAAAATCTCAAGTGCGTTACAATGACTACTTTAAAGTGAAGTGCGAATAACTCAAGTCAACTGCGCGCAATACTTGTTCGGTTATGTTGTACAGCTGAGCGTCCGTCATTGGCCAGTAATCTAAGTCCTGAAATAATTGTAGAAAAGATTTGAAAACTAAACCTTTCTTAAGCTACCTCTCTTCAACCGGCCGCGAGCTGCTTTTGGCCATCCCGACGAGAGTTCTCCCATTGACGTCACCTCTATTAAGTTGCGACCAGGCGCTTGATACAGTTAGTTTGAATTTATTTTAAAAATATAATGAAGGAAAATGTAGTGCTATAAGGTAAAGACTTAATGCAACTCTCGCAGTGTGTTTGTGATGTCTATTCTCACTGGGAACCGTCACGCGCAAGCGCTCCCTGTGCCCTTGGGACCCGTGCATTTAAATTCCAGCGCATCTGTGGATCCGCGAAGAAACTCGTTGTGCATATATTTGTGAGTTTAGTATAAATTGACCTGTTTTCATACTGTTTATTGCTCTTTTCTTTAAAACGGACACCAGACACCTAGTTTGTCGCCCCACCCACCTCCCCGTAGCGATGGCACACTCTGGCGCTTTACCTCCCGCTCCTTCCAGCCTCCGGGCTCGCCTCTTCCCATTCTCTTCCTTGGGGCGTTTGCGAGTGGGAGCTCCCGGTGGGAAATTACCGTGAACGGATGTTTCTGTTAAAGATTATGCTAATTTATGACGAACCTCTATTGACTATTTTCCAATTCCCCATAATACACTCTGTCTGCCCCCAAAATTTTACATAACTTATTGTCTTAAAATGCTCTTGGGAAAATGCAATACTCTCAGGAGCATTTAAAAACAATGGTTTATGCAAAATTTGGGGAGCAAACAGAGTGTATTATGGGGAATTGGAAAATAGAGAATTGAGCGGCAATTGCGCGGCAAACCTGCATTAAGCGGCCACATGCCGATACTCTTAGAATGGCCTCTTTATAGAGGTTCGACTGTACTGTCAGTCAAGTTACTTAGCTCTTAGGGTATCGATAGCATTCTATCTTGTAGTATTAAAAATGCAAGTTATTTGTTTGTATTATATTTTCGCCTTCTGCGTAGAGCTTGATTGTAGAATTTTGATTTGTTATCCTTTATTTTCTTTTTGTTGTGCATGGAAATAAACTGAAGTATTTACACTCATTAAATTAGTCCTTAACGTACACTAAGTATCGAGCGTTTTTCAGTAAAACTGAAAGACGGAGCAATTCAACACTTTCTGAGCGGGTGTGTTAGCGCTGTTGTAGTCAATCATCTTGAGGTTTCCTGCCATGAACTAGTTAAACTCACATATTTACTTCTAACGGTATGTAAACCTGATATTGCGAAGTCAAATCAGTGACATAGAATGGAAATCGTTCAAGGAAAATGAAGAAAAACAAAGAGATGGTTGATATGATTACTAAACCTCGCTACTCATGGAATTAAGACCTGGGACTAAAGTGTGTTCGGAAAATATCATTGATTGGCAATATCGTCTGCTGGGACACCTACAACAGGAGGAAATTGTGTCTCGTGAATTCGTCTTGTGCCTTAAGTAAGTATACTCAAGGCCGTCACGTGACATAACACGTGATCAAAGATTAAAAACTTTGTATGGTTAAATAAATTGGCGTTTCTGATGGCGATGTTTGGAATGAACATACGCGAAGATGAAAATTATAGTTTTTTAAGACCAAGTTGTGGAATGACCTTTTCTCTCATAGTTTAATTTTTTATTGAAAAAAAAAAAAATTATAGACAGTCATTCCAAACGAGAAATGTAAGAAATATCTAATATGAAGAGAAGGTAATGTTATTAATTGATTTCTTCTCCAAACGTCAATTATTCAAGGTTCTCAGTAAAAAGACCACGCCACATGTCAGGTGACGAACGTTATACTTCAAAATATCCAAAATACACCCAATAAATCGTTTTTCTTATTAAAAACCCTTAGTCCCAGGCATTACACTTCTTGATTACCTGTCTCTTTGAATTTCATGTAGCAATACTGTAGGGGTATTGGCTGGCTTTTTCCTGCCTTAATTTCTGATAATATAAGGATATGATAGACAGATTTCTCAAACAGGCCACTTTTAGCTGATTAACAGTTCTGTACTTTAAAACAGGTTTGGGATGATGATCTAGGAAACTTGGCTCAAATGTGGGCCAACAAATGTACCTGGGATCACGGATTTTTAGAGTTTGGAGATGTGTACCCTAATGCTCCTTTTAAAGGACAAGTTGGTATGTGAAAGAATGGTGACATTAGCACTATGCGCTTTTTAAATTATAATGTACCGAGGAGACTAATGCATTGAGGGCCATACGCAGATGTTACAGAACTAATTTTCAGTTCACATGCGACCCAACAAGCATGAGGGGTATTAAGACTTAACGAAAATGGCGTTGATCGTTAGAACCCTCTGTTAAAAATTGGTTGAAGCAAATTTTCCTTGCGGCGTGACCAATCAGAAGCACTTCCCAGATCTGAGTAGTGACACACCATCAGTATGAAACTTCTGCACTTGTTCTTAAGACTAGCGTCATTTTGCGCTTCAACTTGTGTTGGCGTTGTGAAATGTTTGTTTTCTCAGGCTAACTTTTTCTTTCCTTAGGACAAAATCTCGCACGCGAGTGGGGCCGACTTCATATCCCCTCTAACAGGGTAAAACTCTGGTACACGGAGAGCAAGAATTTTTCGTTCAGCAGGGTGTCATCTTCCGATGTCCGTAACCAGTGTTCAAAGCCTCCATGCAAACGATACACCCAAGTAAGTCCTCCGGCACCAAAAATTGCAAAAGACAAATTTATTATAATTACTACTTCGGCGGAGCACGAAGTAAAGGATTCACGCAGCTCAGGAATTAAAATAAGGTCCCGGAATTAGTTCGAGATACAGTATCTTCGAGTTCTGTGCTTTATTCTTTCACGCGAAGAAATAATCATGAGCAGGAAATAATTATTACTTTTGAGAGAAATAAAAAAGGAATAATTATTATTTCTGGCTTGCTCAGGGTTTGAACCGGCTTACGTGTGACCCGTCAGATCCGATGAGGGATTAGCCGAATGCGCCACTGCGACGCAAAGATTTGGTTATTGCCCGCCCTTCGGTTTGTAGATACTTATCTTTGCCCCGTTAGATCGAGGAGACGTGATAATAGTAGAAAAGTAAAAGATGGTTGATTCGGTTTGTAATGTTTTTTTTTTTTTAATTTGGGCGAGCAGCAAGTAATAATGTTTTGCTGCAGGACTCCGAACAGTCGGTGTGGGACGCATTTTGCGCGCTCTAAAATTAGAAAAAGGTATGAATTAGGCGCGCAAATAATACTGAGCTTGTTTTAATAACGGTTTAAGAACGTTCTCTGTAAAGTATTTCTGAAATAATATTTTCTTGTTCAGAGCGCTGAGAAAAAAAATACGATACGATCAAAAGTGAAACGGTTTTCTTGCTCAACCCGCAAAATATGCACTCCTGCGTTGTGTGCCGCAATAAATCTCACTTGTTAATTTATCATGTCTGGTAGTAGTTACATGTAAGATAAGCAAACAGAAAACGTTTACGCCCCTATGGTTTACTTGACAACGAGCGCCTCGTGGCGAAACTTTCCCCTCAGTACCCCAGTTAAAATAGCATCGCGTCAAGGCATAAAAAACCTCTCTCCTCCCCCCTAATATTACAAATTTGTCACGCCGAAGATTAAACGATCATGCACAGACTGTTCGGTCTGTTTTCGGCAGCAACACCTAGGACAAAAGGGTATTGTTTTGGTGAATTGGACCCGGAACAATAGACCATTTCTTGATACGTTATTTTGGGCTTATAGGAAACTGATTGAAACGTCGTGCGCAATTAATAGTATGACAGAAATTATTATTGAATAGGATTACAGCCATGGGGTCATACACTTAGCAAACTTCTGGTGAAGGAGTTAAGACGTCTGTAACACAAAAGGAGAAACGTAAGGGCATTTTTATGGAATGTAATCCATAAAAATATCATTTCCCACTATTCCTCCTCATTCACAATTAATCCACAACCACGACGCCGAATTAACGCCCCATAGCATCTTGTTGAATGAGGTTTTTGTGATAACGGGAAGAACCAATGTGGAGGTAATTGTTAAAACTTACCGAGACGTTAGGTACTTTCCCGATTTCACGAAACTGAATCTAATACATAACTGTTTTATTATACAATGTTTTGAAGGACATAGCGAAGAAACAGTATATCATAGTTTAGTAAGTTATCTGATAGTAGAAATGTGGTATCTAGCTTATCTGTAGATTGCGAGGTTGCTCTGATTCTCAAAATTGACTGTACGCTGTCTTTACCAATGAAAGGTAGATAGTGAGTACAATGTATAAAATAAGCTTTATTTTGCTTTAATAGCTAAACATTTACTTTGAGACATGCCACAAAGGACATGCCACCGCCCATTGGTAATCGTCTCGTGCCACTTATTTTACAATCAAATCGAGCAACAAGTTTTAACACAAGCAGCTACAATAACAGCTTCTTAACAAAAAAATACAGATTAAAATGTTATATTGGCAGGCGGAGTAAGGTAAGGGATACAATATCTGGAAAGAAAAAAAATAGTTTAAAGTTCTTGCCAAAACCTTTACATAATCTAATAAGATTGAGCCAGTTTTGTTCCTAACATAGAGTGTTATCATTACTGTCCGAATAACCAAACGTATTCACTAGCTAATTTTGAGTCGATACCACTGACTTTTACTTGACGATAAGCTTATATTGGAGATACAAGACACATTAAACTACATTGACGTTTTACACTAAAAATAACAAACAATTCTAAATGCGTGTAACATATTAAAGGATAAATACAAATACTTTGAAAACATATGTTTGTCTAGAGATTTGCAATTGGTGATTTCTCATAACCCGATTTAAATTTTGTTCAATTTCTTTGCTCAGATAAATATATTAAATCCTCAATTGATGAATGAAACCTAATTGGTCCAGGGTTTGCTTCGGTCCCCCTCAAATTGTGTGATTCAGATTCATTACTAGACATTGATTCGTTACATACCGATTTGACATGTTTTTCTGCGCTTGATACAAGTTGCATCATTTGGCCTTCTGATTGGCAATTAAACTACCTGAGAGTCATTTTTTTGTCACAGTGGTTGGTCAAGGCAATGCAATACCAGTAGTCAGCTATTCAACCTGGGTGCATCTTTTCCTATCAATATACGAGCTTAGTTCCAAAGCTCCAATGGGATGGGTGTTGGAGGGACGGGGGGGAGGTGTGGTTGCTGGGGTAACAGCATTTGGCTAGCAAGTCAGTGTGTTCAAATCTTCTTCTTGCTTACACTCCTTTTTTAAATTTTTTTTTTTTTACCGAACAAGGGGTAAAACAAATTTGGAGGAAAAACTAGCACCATGGAGTAGCTGGAAGAAAATTAATTATAATTGTAAATTAAAGAGGGTAATTAGCATTTTGCAAGCGCCTTTAATTCACCTTGGTAAATACTGACAAAAAGGCCGTTAAAGGACAGTTATACATGTACATGTTTAGTTAAGGTAAAAAAACCACTGCAAAAACCGTGTACGAACAATCTTGCTCGATGTCGGATCCAAAAAGATCGTGATCAGTCAAAATAGATAAAATTGAAAACGTTACAGTCAAGAAGACTTTTGCAGGGACTGATCAAACAACGTGAAATAGAGTTAAGTTGCGACATTTCGACTGGCCAATACCAGTCTTCATCAGGTTTATTGAGATATCACAAATTTACAGAAATATATATGAAGTAAAATAATGATCGGAAATTACGCAATATGACTTGGTATGGTGTGGCTACTTAAAAAGACAAGATAACAAAAAATAAATGTTTATGATAATAAATAAATAAACAAATAAATAAAGGAAACGTAATTGGGGATTTTAAGTAATCATTAAGATAATAACGAAGGCATATTACACTGAAGTCTCCATTTGGTTATCATCTTTAGGTGGCTCAAACGCATGCGTAGTTAATGACAAAAGTCGGTCATTATTGTGTTTGGGGCGTGGATAGCGCATGCATTTCATGCGGCTCATAATCTCCTCGGGTTGATGACGCAGTAGAACAAACTGACCCCAAGCATTGTTATTCACCTCAGCCTCGTTCCTACCCTCGTTCCTACTGGACAGGAGGGCGCGCACAATCTCCACACCTGCTGCTTGAAAACTAGAAAACGAAGTAAAAGGACACTTGATAATTATCAGAGCATTTTTTCACTGAGTTATTGAATGTTTTCCTTGAATAGAAAGCTTTCTGGTTGAATCAGTAAATAAAGAATAAAGACTAAAATGTGGAAGCTTGCAATGATTTGTGTCATGTTCATTTCAACTGCATTGGTTAAATTTTATTTCCTTTTGTTTTGCGGTTATTTAAATGCACGATTATGAGCTTTAAATATAGTAAATAACAAAATTTGAGCCAAAGAACAAACTCGGATCGGAATCACAACACAAAGAATATTTCCTCTGGAATCAAAGCAAAAAAGAGAGAGATTTTGTATTACTCACCGTTTGCTTAGAAGAATGCAGATTAATGGAAGATAGACGTAGCTGGCCTTGGCAAACATCCCAGGAATGAAAGTCTTTTCGCCTTCAAGCATCTCTGAACCACCAAACACCGTTAACAGCGTGCATACACAGTAGGGCATCCATCCCCCAAAGAAAGCAATGATACCGATGGATGTCAAAATGACTGTTTTCTTTTCTTTCGGTATGTTCCTCTTCACCAACGCATCTACATCCGGATCTTGTCTCGATGTCCGGTACATCTTGGAAAAATAGGCAATGGAAAATCCCAAAGGTATGAGGAATGCTGCAGATACCAGCAGTGATAAGTAGGATCGTGCGGAGATGCTGCTCTCTCTCCAGTTTGGGGCACAGATGATGCCACCAGATTCGGGCTCAAATGAGCCCCATCCAAAAACTGGTGGGAGACCAACCGCAATGGCGTAAAGCCAAACGGCCGTCAGCTTCTTTATGATACTGTCATACTGCCAGCTATCCCGAGGCCGCTCGTCTGGAGTCCCGGCTAGTGCCTCGTCACACATGTTGAGGTAGACTGCACGGACTGCTAAGGCCAAAGTAACACCTGTAGTGATCCACCATACTCCGGTCAAGAACCCGCCAACCTTAAAAAAAATAAAGGTTTTTTTTAGAATTGTCACACTTTATAACCCTAGTTCTGCAGTATTGGGCCGGTAATCCAGCAACATGCACATGAAGCCATACACAGCCACAGCTGTTTCGTTCTTGTTAGCATGATATTTCGCTTTCGCCGAGCGCTAAACCCTCGTGGTATTCTTTCTCCGGTAAAACAAAACAAAACAAGTAAACAAACAAACCAACAAACAAATAAACAACAAAAGAAAGAAAAAGACTGGATTTTCTTGATCTATTGTGACTTGCCATTAATTTTTCCCATATTTTTAATTGTCTATATTTTGTACGATTCTAAAGTTAAAACCTGTCTAATCTCGCTATTTTTGCCAGACACCTAGTCAGTGACAATGACATGCGTTTTAAACGTTGGAATTGTGCTGCTACTCAGTGCAATATGGCACGGAATAGGAAGTCTAAGGACGCAGACGACGAATCTTTTGATAGTAAAGAAAGCCCAAGAATAGGTTGCGTTCTCTCAACGTCAAATGCCAATATCAAAAACACTTTCAAGCTGATGGCTTGAATAAGCATTTTTTAAAATAAAAAAATTATGGTTTCGTCCAAGGCAGAGAAAACGACGAATGACATATATTTTCTTCTGTAAAGAGTTATGAAGTCTACCAGACCAGCAGTAAAAATTAAAGGCCAATTCATTTGTTCCTTAATTGTTTAGTCTAGTAGCCTCTTAGCTGTACAAAAGAAATCTACTCGCATGCTTGCTTGAGGCCTGCGGGGCAGGCGCGGAAAGGTTTGAAAAGAACGGAGGGGGGAATTCGGTCAGGCGAGAGCTCAAGGGGCGCAGGAGGCAACTTACAGGGCCTTACCTTATGTTACATATGACGTTGTTATTTTCTCGAAATCATGGCAACCAATTTTGCAAAAGGATAGACGAACGCTACCATGAGAGAAGAGGGCGAAATTTGTTGGGGAGAGCTGGGTGGGAGGGGGAATTATTGCGACCTTCATTCTACTCTTAGTAACAGGATACGTGATGTTAAAATTTAAAATACGGCGATCAAATGTTTTCAAATTGTATTTGTTCATTTCCTATAAAAGTTCTATTTAAAATTCCTGCCCAGCTAGGGCACGAATTAATTGAAGAATTTCTTGAAGATTTCGCACACTTTTTTTTAGTGACATAAACGAGACAGGGTCAAACAAAACCTTCTCCAACGCGAAAACTCCCTCACTCTATTTTTAAAAAAGCAAATTCAATCGTCTTCTTTTCATGGAAAGTCAGTCTTTGCAAAACGTGGAGTCGGCCCTATGTTATAGAAAATTCCAACAGTGATCCCTAGCTTTCTGTCGACCAAACAATATTCCAAAAAGAACTTTATCAGGACCGAGTATCCAGTTTCGATTTTTTACTGGTGTTGTGTTCGAAAGCAGCTGTCATGAACCATGATACTATATATCTTAGTTTGAAAAACTGATGATTATTTTATACCTGGCAATATGCGATACCGACCAGCTGTTTCTGAAACCACGCTGACGCGACAAGGGGTGGCAGGTCAGCTACTATGACCATGAGATTGCCAAGCACCACGCTAAGAAAATACGGAGTCAGGTCGAATTGTCGAAACGAGGGCCTCGTCAGCATGAAGAGCGAGAGGGTTTGAAGAACGCAGCCCATAACTGCTAACACGGCCATACACGAGGCAAGAGTGGGGTAGACCGGCGCTAATACAGTCGGATAGTACATTAGATACACTCTGATACTATGTACTTGCTACTTCAATTGTTGTTGAAATATTGTAAAGCGTCGAAAGGGGAGATGTAGGCGAAATATCTTGTTTTGTTGTTGTTTGTCCTTTCATTGCTCTGATTAAAAGGCGGCCGCCTCCCTTTCAGTGACGTCATAGGTTGTATAATTAACCAGGTTTGCGCACAAGAAATACACTGGAATATAGTGAAAACAATTAGAAATATACAAATAAGTAAACTTCAATGTGACCTTGTGTTTTTCGTTTTGAAAAGATTTTTGCAGTTGAATTATTACTTTAAAAATGAATAAAATTTTAGCACCAAGCATAAAACTAACCTATAAACTAGGATAATTCTTTCATAGAAGAGTCCTCTTTGACGTAACTTACTATTTTTTTTTCCATTAGCTGCATAGTAGTTCTAGCTTATTGTTAAGTGAGTTGTTTCCGAAGTCAGTTCTTGACGCCAAGAATGATGATAATAAAACAAGAAAACAAGCCACCGTAATAAAAATTTCTAAAAGACCTTAATTACATAAAATGATATCATTATCAAGTGATACCATTTTCAGATCGATGTTGGTGTTTTGACTTTGATTTTGTAATTTTTTTTAATCAAAATAATTTATTGATTCATTACACCTGTCTGTTGGAAAACTTAAAATTAGCCGCAAAGTCAGTTTCGCAAGGGAACTGGATTGAAGATACTGTAAAAAGTTTCGAGGCAAAATTACTTACTTTCAGGCAATAACCATACAAATCATAATATGTCGGTTGAAATTATTTATATAGCTTTCAGTTTGGTCATGACTGCGAAAACGTTCAAGTTATTGCTAATCGCGAATGACACTTAAGCTTGATCATTCCTGCAGTTCAGTTTCAAGGTACACGCACTGATCACGGTGTGAGTGTCTTACTAACTCAGTGAGCTTTTACCCATATCACTTAAAGTTTATGTCCGATCGGAAAACCCGTTTGAGCTGGGTTGTAAAGCAATAGTAAGAACCAATTTCTTTCTACAGCTTGTATGGGCCTCGACCAAATATGTGGGGTGTGGCTTTTCATTCTGTGACAAGACATTTGGTAAGCCTCACCCATGGGTCAAAGGAGAAACTGAAGTGGTCTGCAACTATGCTCCTGGGTAAGTAAGGTGATTGTTATCACATAGTCGATCCCCCGAATGCCCTGACTATGCGCTTTTGTTAGAGACTTTTATTGCCCTCCTGTGCATTGCCATATACATGTGTTGGGATCTACTTCAACATCAGAAAAATCTTTTATAGAACTATGAATTTGAGTTACGAGTTATCGTCTTCGTATATAGCCCAGGAAATGGTCTAAAAAATTCAGTACAACTTGTCTTTTATTTTAGTTGTCCCCCAGCATTTTTTAGCTCTCCGAACAAACTATGCTTCGTAACCATATACTTTGAAATCAATAACTGACCCACATTCTCAATAATTAAAAATTCGGTTCGCCGAAAAAACAAAACAAAACAAAACAAACAAAAATTAGCCTGTGCAGTGGAATTCCGTTCTACGTACTTCTTGTTTGTACGGCCACTTAAATTTGTGCTTGATGACATTCCTAATTTTTTTTTAACCCAGTTAAAACGCGGTCATTCTTAGTGGTCTATGGCGACATTGTGAAATCCAACGTATACCGACAAGCATTATTATCCTCGTTAAAAGCCCACTTAAACCAAAAACGCAGTGTATAATAATGGACAGATAATCAACAACCAAAAATAATCTTGAGTAACAAGGATGGTTTAATTTGTTTCTTGACTGAAATTAACTGTGTACTGTCATATTCTTCATTATGATTTCTACAGTAATACAGTTAATTTTCTTGGGTGTCCACTTATGTGGGGTCCGCTTAATAATCTGCAAATTGCTAACTTCTGGATTGACTTTTTAAGAGGTAACGTAATTGATCACTTTCCTTATGAAGTTGGAAAGCCATGTTCCAAATGTGCTTCAGGAAACGGATTCTGCTACAAAAATCTCTGCAGTAAGTATATAGCTTTTATGAGCTTTTGATCTAAGGCATAAATCTTTGTTGCATTTACCAACCAACGACCTTCCATCCATGATTAAAAACCTGAAACGTTTCTTCCCATCGGCTGAATTCCAAAAAATAGTTTTCCAGGTTTGTTATTTTTAGTAATATTCCTGTTGCCGTTGAAATTTTTTCTGTCGTTTATTGCTACGGATGGCAAGGATAGACATGGATTGAAATGTCAAAAAATTGGGTCAACAATTTCAACCTTGAATCTATGCCTGCAAAATCACCAAAAGGATAGTAATGGTTGGATGATGAAATTTGAAATATTAGTTCTTAAAAATTGTTTTCTAGGAACTAAACCACTCGTAGATTTCAACCTTGAATCTATGGCGTATTTTCCGTATGTCACCTTTGTGAGTGTCAAAATCGTTCAATGAGGTCTCGATTCCCGCCTTTTGCTTTTGTTGAAAATATATATTACGTTGTAATGAATTTAGTGTTCGAGTGGCAAGAACAATATCTGATGCGAAGCGAAATTTGTTCTTGCCACTGAACACAAATTCATATCTTCATATTAGTTCATATCCTATATATCCGTGTCATAATTCTACTACGGGAGCATTTTTTTAAAGTAAGTAAAGGTAGTCTATGTTAGTAAATAAACGCTGGGGAACGTGTTTGCTCTCCTAGGGGACTGTAATGATTTTGACCCAGAATGTGGCAAGTCTCTGACAAGGGAAATGTGTTCTGCGTTTAAGGAGGCGATGGCCAAGAGATGCCCAAAAATGTGCAACTTGTGTGGTAAGTGTAAAAAAAACCAACAACAACAAAACAATTAAGGCATCAAGTCAAAGCAATTCAATACTATAAAATCGTAAGGAAAATGTCTTTTGTAATTGACCACTCCAGAAAATACCATAACATACCATAATACTCTTTGTTTGTCATCCCAAAATTTTGCATAAGCATTGTCTTCAGTTTCTCTTGGGAGTTGAAAAGGCCCCAAGAGAAACTGAAGACAATGCTTATGCAAAATTTTGGGATGACAAACAAAGAGTATTATGGTATGTTATGGTATTTTCTGGAGTGGTCAATTTAATTCGATTGTAGTCGATCCCCTTCACAGTTCCTTTCATCCCGTTCTGTTGACTTTTTTTCTCGTTCTCCTTTCTTTCCGCTGTCCCCACTATTTGAACGTGCGGAACAGGCTAATTAAAATATTGGGGCAAAGCTGTGATTTTAGCTCGCGCGCACGAAGCGTCTGTTAGCGGAGCCTCATACCAAAGAAAACTGTGCTATCCATCCGAGAAATTTTGGTAATCACGTAGACCGTACGTCCTTCCGTACGTCCTCACCACAGGGCAACCAATGTGAAATGTCAAACTCTCTAGCTGTGTGGGAGCCTGTAACCTGTGTTTAACTTGATAATAGACATCGATATTATGGTCAATTGACAGCTGTCGAAACAGGGTATCCGCTGACCAGAGCCACCTGACCGTATCGTGGACTCAGGTGCAATCTCATCGAGGTCAGGTGTTGTTTTTGAAGTTTTCCGCTTACCAGCTGTTAACTTTTAATTGATCGCGGGCTCTAGTTTATGTTTTTCAGTCCAGTATGGTTCTCCACTAAAGTTAAGTACAGATTTGTGGATTTCTTTGCAATGGTTTCAAGTCCATCGTCTGAAGTAAATCAAAAATGCGTAAACAGGAGCTCCACTTTTAGCTCTGGCTAAATCTATAGATTATTGGAATTTTGAAGATCGTCAGGATCGAGCACTTACCGGTAAGGAAGGCCATCTTGGTTTTATATGTACCGAGAGGGCGGGCGTCGGGGTTTAAAGCGAAGGTCCCCCTGGAATGATTTTTTAAAATTGTATTGGGATATTCATTTTCTGGAAGTGTGATTTGAAGAAATTCTTATCAAGCAAAACCCACGGTCCTAAACCAATACGTTACTGTTTAGAATGTCCCCTGCAATGTCAAAATGGTGGTAAACTCAATCGACTAACGTGTACATGTGAATGCTTGTCTGGTTGGATTGGATTGGACTGTTCAGGTTAGTGACGTCCGCAGTTCCATTTCTCCACTATTAATCATATTTGTATAATATCAAGATCTATATCTTTGGGCGCCTCAAAATAATCTAGTATAATGGCTGTGTTTTGGATTTAAGAGTTTTTGCTACACAAACAGTTACGTAGCTTTTTAACTCTTCTGTTACATGATATTTATTAAAATCAAGTATATTTTAGTGACACAGTGCCATGGTACACGTGTACTTTGATTCTGGAAGAACGACTGTAATATTTGCTACGACGGATGAAACCCCCTCTCCGAAACGTTTCGTCTGAAACTGAACTTAGCAATTTTAGCCAACCCTTTTTAAACGTCTCAGTGACCTCAACACTGAAAGTGCTTCATGTCATCTGCAATTATTTACTTCTAAGAACTATACTTGACCATTTATGGCTCTTGACTTGACCAAGTTAAGGGTGCTTGTAAATTTGTGATAAAAAAATATTTTATTTCACAGAAAAAAAAAACAAAGGCGGCAAATTTAATGTACATTTTTCCCAAGGACGCAGAATTTCATGTTGGTATTCTGCCTTAATGCTTCGCGGTAATTGTTCATAAGGGAGAAGAACTGGAAGGAGAAATTATTGGCCCAGTTCGGGTTCCTATAGGCCTACCAAGGAGTTAAAGACTTTATTTTATGTGATCTCTTACCGGGTTTATATCACTAACTTTGAACCACTTAAAATTCTTGTTATATATAGTTCAATGCGTTGACAAGGCTGGCCAGGAGGTGTGTCACTTGAGAATTAGTAATGGACACCAGTGCCGTGCACCATACATGAAACACGAGTGTGCCACCACATGCAGAGTGTGCGGTAGGTTAGAGGCCTCTTAAGAAAATTGAGCATGTTGAAAACTGTTTTCTTAATTAATATTCAATAAATCAGTTTATTCTCAAGAAGATCATTGAGTTGCTAATTGAAGCCTGGTCTTAATTTATTTAACTCACTTACCAGATCTTGCCATGGGTAAATTATTTATTCCTGATTATTTCCTGATTTTCTAAAAGGAAACACACCGGCGACCAATCCCGTATTCGGCTTTAACAACGCGACTTCAAAACCACCAGTATTTCAACAATTGTCGCCGACACTGGCTGATCTTCCAAACAGGCTGCCAAACCATGGAGAACTTCAAACGTCAGCAATCCCGTCCTCTGATTTACCTTTTATGCAGTCTGTGAGTCACTCTGAAAAGATTTCCAATAAAACGTCAAGCTTTCCACCTAACTCGCCATCTTCGAGTCCCTTCAATGTGAAGTCTGTAGAGGCAGAGCAGGCAAAGGAGACTTTTAAGTACATGTCGTCCAAGATAAAATCCTCTGGGAAGGAGCAGGTTGTAAGTAAGTTGGGAAGAAAGTAAAGACTGCAAACATTAATTAAAACAAGGAAAAAGTCCCCGGAAAACTATCGCCAGGCATTTTATGATCATGTCAAATGAGCACATGGAATTCTTCCAGATTTCCAATGTGATCTAATACTTAACAAAGCCGCGTTTTCTTATCATCTATCAAATGTCTCGTAATGAATTCCTGCCCTTTAATTGCTCTCTTTGCCACTCTTTTGATCTGATTTTAATTTGTGTTAAATTTCAAGCGCGTTGGCGTTTATCCACTCTATGAAATACTTCGACAAAAATATAATAATAATAATAATCAGATAATATTATTAATTTTTCAGAGTGCAAAGACGATGATCCAAAATGCAGAATGTGGTCAGTTCTCGGGATATGTAAAAAGAAGACGCCGACATGGCTAAAAAAGCACTGCAGCTGTGGAATGTGCAACCAATCGCAAGTTGATAACAGGATGGGTAAGTTTATATCAGGAAAATTCGCAGCTGTTGTTTTTGCTTGCTATTTCTGGCCGATTTTTTTCTGAGTTAATTTGAATCATACGTTTAAACGCTTATACAATTACAAGTGTACAATTAAACTCCAAGGGCCAAATTTTTAAACGTGGCATTCTTCTGATTGGTCGTGCCGCGTGGGAAATTTGATTCAACCAATCAGAAGCACCATCCAGATTTGGGTAGTGATGCGTCATCAGTATGGAATTTCAGTGCTTGTTTCTCAGACGTCATTTGGCAGGAAAACCAGTGGTAGCGTCGCCAAATGTTGGTTTTTTTCTAAGGCTACGTGTACGCCCCAGGGTTAACTTCTCAACTTCGGTCAAGATTGCGGTCTTGAGCAAATTTACCTCAACTCCAAAGAGCTATTAAAACGCCAAATAACAGCAACGACAAAATATAAAAGAAGCACTAGCCACAGCTAGCAATGCTATTGAAGGCGTGACAGTGCTTGCAAAATAAGAAATTAAGATTAAGGCTAGCTGACGAAAGTTTACAGTTTACAAACAAATGAAAGAAAAATCGTTGGTTGACTGACTAGATACTCACCATAGAGAGTAAAGAATAAAACAAACAACAATTTACAAGAGTAAAAAGGAGTAAGCAAGAATATATTTTTCCACATTTTTAAAGCTATTTACACTAACAAAACTCACGTTTTTTTTTTTTAATTTTAGAATTATGCATGGATAACAACGTCAAATGTCCATTTTGGGCTTCGAATGGTGAATGTAGTAGAGACCGAGTGTGGATGTTGACAAACTGTAGGAGAAGCTGTAATCAGTGTGGAGGTAGGAAATGGAATCAGCCCTGTATCACTTAGCTCTTATCCTCATCGTTACCTCTTTCTTTCTACACTAAGGCCCTATTCAAATCTCGTATTTCAAATGTGCCGAGTACTAGTATTAGTGTTTTCGTCGGCTTTGGCTTGAATGGCGCACAAGGCACCTATTGCTATTAAAAAAAGTTTCTTCTTTTAGTTTGCAAGGACGCTTGGCCTGATTGTGCCGAGGTGGCTTTACAAGACAGCTGCACTGTGGGCAACTCGACACAGTTCATGTTAACACACTGTCGTCAAAGTTGTGGTTTGTGCCAAGGTAAGGTGAATCAAACAGACAGTAGTTTTTTAGTGTTTGTTTAACAAATAGGCGGATTCCATCACAGTTGACCTCAACGCGTCGAATCAATCAACTGGATCAGACCAAAAACGAGTTTTAGTCGAACGAGGCTAAATATACGTTATACATATTTTTAATTTCCCTTACTAGTTTAGTTTGTCGCATGTGAAGATCGACGTTTGTTCCGGAGACGATCCTTACGATCGTCAGACGTTCTCTCCGTCTGAAGCACACGGACAGAACGTGTTGGACGATCCAAACACATTCAGATGAACTTAACTGAGCCAGACGTCGAACTCTTCACGAAATGTAAATCTCTAAGCTTGGTTGGTCTCATGAAAAGCCTGGGCCTCAAGTTGGTCTGAATGAGTTTGGATCTTCTGAAGATCGTCCCCGGGACAAACGTTGATCTTGACATGCGACGAACTAAAGCTGTAATAAATTAAAATTTTGTATGATAATGTAATACATATTTATGCTTGTTCGGGAGAAAATGATTCTATTACTGATCTGATTCAGTTGATTGGTTGGACGAGTCCTAAGTTCGACGTGCGACCCAACAGACGATCTTAACTTATGTAGGTTGACCCAAATTAAAGTCTGGTTCGATGTTTGTCTCATGAAATTAAAAGAGGCCTTAGTGGTTTGATTTAAGAAAATAAGAGCTTTTTCAGTCTACGATATATAAAGTAAGGTAAACCCGCACAGAAGCCAAAGGCCCACACGGCCGGAGCTTACACCGGTTTCCGTAGCATGAAGCATGCCTAGGAGTATTGCTACTCCCCCCTGCAGTATGTCGCCGTTACCCATTTTTACACCTGGGTGAGGAGGAGCAAAGTGGAGTAAAGTTCCTTGTCTAAGGAAACAACGCAACGGGCGAGGCTTGAGCGCCCGACCTCCGGCCACATCCAGAGTTCGAGGTGTTAGCCGCTGGGCCACACACGCCTCCAGTCTACACTATATGCTTTATTGAAATTGTTCACGATAAATAATGTTACGATAAAAGCGTTGGACAAACTGAAAATGGCTTGGAGCGCGGTTTTGTGGAACACGGGCTAAACTCCGTTTAAATAACTGGCCATAAAAGTTTACATAAGGTTTTTTCGTTTACATTTTGCTATTAGCGTATGACATCTATGACCATTGTCCAGCATGGGCGGCGCAAGGTAATTGCAAGAACTCAAACTGGACGTGGATGAGAGACAATTGCCCACTGAGCTGCGGAATACCACGTGAGTCCCTTTGCTATACTAGTAGATTCATTCTTCCTTTGTAACTAGGTGGTATTTTCGTAGGATCCTGCTCGTGTGCTCAGACGAGAGATAAAACTCAAAATTTGCACGATGGCATCATTTTATAGACAATCCCAGCGAGGTTTAAATGGCAAAACTCCTAATTTGCACAAGAAAGCAAAACCCTGAAGGATTCTGGTCGAAGTAGTGACGTCATCGTACAAATGGCCTATTATAATCTTATCTATCTGAAATCGTGCATTTGAACTACGCATGTTCGTTGTAAATCTGAGTTTTAACGACCTGTTTCTTAAATTGAGCTTCACTTTTGGATTTGTCTGTGATTGCTTGACGCAATGCTTGATACCGTAATTAATAAATTAATTAACTGATCTAATATATTTGCACACAGTTACTGAAGTTCAGTACTGCTGGGACAAGAAAGATGGAAACTATCCAATACCTGGGATTTGTACAGGTTATGTGTTATGTTCAGGACGACTTACCCGTCACGTGGTATGTCCAGCTGGAACACTCTTCAATGCAGTTAAGATGATCTGTGAACTGCCACAGAACATCGCCTGCTTGTCTGACAGACCGATGAGGGGAAAAAGATCCACGTTGCGGGTTGACTTTCAGGTACAATTTTAAAAAAAATGTCAGCCCTTCAGGTACTTAGCAAGGGCGTTAGTCATTGAATGAAGATATTTTGCCTCAAAAAAGGAAATTCCTAAAATTTCTTTTCTTTCTATAAATGTCTATTTTAAGTCATTCGGTAACTCTACAACCGAGGTTAGGTACGATTTCAAAGGCATAAGTTACCGTTTGCCTTAGTGTCACTACTCAGGTCTATAGTTAGTCTAGAGAAGACTGGTTATGAAAGACGGCAAACATCAAAGATATAAACAAGGTGCTGCAGTTTACGTTGAAATCTCTGACGGTGCGCAGCCCTTTCTTTTTTGCTCACAAATTGTGATGGAATCATTTTAATGCGACCGTCAGTTTATCGGTCACTGATAACATCAAAATGAAAGGATATTGAACGTTGTGCACTTTCATGTCCACGAAACAATCAGATATAAAAAGGGAGTTTGACGGGCTTCATAACCATTCTACTTTATTAACTATGCCCAAGTAAGCTTACAAATCGGCGACAACGACGACGGCCAATTTTTATCCACGCCAGCTATTTGATTTAATCAGGTTTGGATCCTATCGTTATTTAAGCTGATCATTCAACCACGTTTTATTTAGTTGAGCTGTCAAGCAAAGTAATTTTTATTTGTTAATAAAAGGAGGAGAAGCGCCAAATTGTCTCAGTCATGATATGTTTGAAAAGTTCCAGCTTTCATGCTCTGATAACAGACTGGGAAATTTCAATGAAGAAGGCTTTGCAGCAAGGGAGGTTTTCCCTTCCATAATACAAACGAACCTCCCCTTGAACACAGGACGAAATGACATGTTTCCGTATTATTGCTCCCGCAGGGATTTCGCCCAGAAGGCGAAATCCCGAGGAGGCACTCTAATAACTCCCGCGTATATTAAGGATAGAACTTACAGTTGAAATATACAGTCAGCATGCCAGAAAAAATCTCGATTTGTTTGAGCAGGGGCTGCGAGGAATCGGTAGGTAATGATGACTTTTCTATTGTTTGCGCCCGCAAGTACGAAATGGTTAGGATCGCTTAGGTAGATTTTGTGACATTTATTGTCCAGTCATACTTCGATATTCTTTTGCGTTACGTGTTATCAGTGACATTCTGTGGAGCAGTTGTTTTGAAAGTTATGGACCAAAAAACGCTCGTTAAGAGCAGATGAAGTTATAAGGTGCGTATAACTGTGTATATGTAGCATGATATAAACACTTGGAGAGTTTGCCAGACACGAGTTCACAAATCTTTGATTGGAAACCTTGCCAGACACTCTTTCTCTCTATTTGACCGGAATAAGACTCAGCCCCAAACAAGCAAGACGAGTAGACAACGGCTATCTTAATACTAGCAGAACGATGGACGATTACAGAAATTCGCCGACAATCAACTGCTATGCTGAGTTATTCCCTTCCCCATTTTTTTCTTCCGCTATAAAATTTAAGATGACTCTAGAATGCGTGAGCGTTAATTAATCAAACGTCCTTTTAATTTCTAAGGCTTACTTTCAATCAAATAAAATGAACTGAATGTAAAAAGTGAAAGAGAAATAGCGAAAAATTCAACTTCTAATTAAATATTCTCTTATGGTTTAGAATAAACTATTCTCGAAACTGAGAATGTTTTGATCAAAGCTGTGTAAATCGAACTGAAACTGTGCATGGAACCTTGCGTTTCCTGTATTGATCTCACCTATTGTATGGAATATGTGTGAAAATCGTCATTATGAATCGGTATATTTCAAGAATACTATTGACCGACAATATACAGAGCGGGGGCAGCTGTAGTGTCAACTATTTAACAGTTAATGAATGAGGCTGAGTATCTTATGAAGAATTATGGAGATCGAGGAGGGTGTTATCCGTCGAGGCCGTAGGCCGAGGCGGATAACACCTTCCGAGATCTCCATAATTCTTCATATGATACGAAAGCCGAATTCAATAACTGTTTTATTATTCATTCAAAATAATTCCTAGTTTAAAAACATAGCTAAAACATGCTTACCTCCATCGATCTATCGATCGACATCGATGTTCAGTTCATCTTCGATAGTGTATGTTTAGGTTTCTCCAGCTCCGCAAATATTCTCCAAATAGCAGATGTCGCCCTTCGAGTTGTCTTCTTGCTGTTCTTGCCATGTTTTTAGCTATTTTTTCGCCTAGTTCTTACTCTTGAAACGAGTGAAATGTCCGCCATTTTTTCAAGTTCACAACCAAAACAACTCAACCTCGTCCCCAGGTCTTCTCGGTTAACGGTGCCTTAACCTGCGAAAACGCTGCATTTTTGACGTCATTTCCTCGTTAAAGTCAAAATTCTTCCAAATTTGGTCATCATTAACTGGTTATGGTGAATTAAACGTGTGCTTTTAGCCAATCAGAATCGGGGAAATATTTTGAATGAATAATAATAATAGTGTTAGTTTCACTACCTAAAAAGGTTGTCCTTGATTCCGATTTAAAGTGATAAAAATCTCAGAGAGAGAATACCAACATCTATCGATATTTGATTGACCTCAATCAGTGCAAATCCTTCATGTGTGCCTGCTGACGGCGAAAGACTTAGCAAACCGAAGAGAATGGGAACTAGAAAAGAGCGGACTTTAATCAGCGGTTTTTCTTTCGCGCATGCTTATTAGGTTCGTTCTTTTTGGTGTCCATTTTGAAAGTGTGATGTAACGTCTACTCTGGGTTTTGGGGGCTTGGAGTCTGTTTTTATTGCTTCTCGATAGCACCAAATGAATTCTACGAGTTGTTACGGATTGTTTAATAGGTTTCAGTGATCGATTGCTTCACTCGTTAACTGCGTAAGGCTAAGCGGTAACCAGCCCTTGGAAACTCAGATCGATGGGCAGAACTGATGTGAGACAAAAACCTCGTGATGTGAAGGCATAATTTGAAAGTTGGAGTGTCTGATTCTATCCAAGACATTTGATGGAAAATACAGTAATGAGGTAAGACTGGTTTTTCTGTTGCCTTCCAAATCGTAGCTTGTTCCACTTCGTGTAAAAGCAGAATCGACGAGAGTAAAATAAAAAAACTTAGCTATATGCAAGACGATAATGTACTTATCAATTGAAACCCCGACCCCCCACCCGGGCCTATGTGGGGCAATGTGGGGGATTTTTATGGTATTTGAAGGCATGGTTAGCCCGTGGGGGTGGGGGATTTCTCAGGATTTGCTTAGCATATTCATGGAAGTCCACGGAAGTCGGGGAGCGAGGTGGGGATTTGACTCGTGCCTAGTTTCCTCACGGTAATTTCTTCACGTGATCACTGGTATTTTGATGTATTGCTCGGCCGTAAGTTTCCTAATTGTTTTTCCTTTCATTTCTTCACTGAGACTAATCCTTTGCGATTTTGCCTTGAGCTTTCATGGTTCGTTGACTGGAAATTGTTATTGTTATTGAAAACTTCTCAAACAATGCAGATACAAACTCCTCTACTTATTATAAAAGGTGCTGTGTCACGGCTATCTGGTTCATTTTGTTAATATTGCCAGTTACGTGGTCCCTATTCGCTTTTGAGCGTTACGTTGGCAAAGAAATGAAGAAATCAAAGCTTCGTTTTAAACAGATGTTTCTCCCAAGCATGTCAAGCGTTACGGACGAAAACAATGAACTTTGAAAAACTGTTAGGTTAACAAGTTTTCAAAAACCAAAATTTCAATCCGTTTTAATCTTCTTCATGTTTTCCCATCTGTACCTTCTTTTGTATTTGCTGAGTCATTTATCGGGGTTTCAATTGATAAGTGCATAATCGTCAAGCTTACAAAACACAGGCAGGCAGCAAAGCATTAAAGCTTGTATTGAAATTTTGTAGCAGATTAAATATTAAAAAAGTGCTTTAGGTACGACAAAACGTCAGGAGCGGGGAAGCGTAGTTATTTGGATATATGACATATCGTTGTATATAGAGTAGTCACACATCAGTTTTTGAGCTCACAGGCTAGGTTTATTCCGTACACTTTAAACTGCTCTCTGTACACTCTTGAACACTGTAGACTCCTAGTCAAGAAGCCTGGTAACTAATATTCTGTTCTATCTTGATGGTTTTTAGTTTGACTCTAAATACAGCGTGGTTGCATACGGTTGTGTCTTAAGAAATGTCATCATGGGAGTTAATTAACAGTACGTGGCGCTACTTTAACATGTCCACCCTGTAACGCCTTAACTTTGGCCGAGTAGACATTAATGTCCTTTTTACTACTCTTTAACATTTTATTAATTTTAACAATAAAAAATACCTTCATCTTTTTCTTAGTGAAACATAGACGGGATATATAACTCATGGGTACGAAATAGGAATGTGGCCGAGGGTTTTCTCTTAAACATTAGGTACACTTTACCATAGTGTTACAGTTACTGACTGTATCTGCCAGTTCACAGATCCGTTTGACTGTATCGAACTTCTTCCCTTTGGGACACTGAACATGACTTGTAACGCCATTTGAACACGCTATATATGCTTCACAGGTCGTTGGGTCTTGGTAGTTACCGTTTGTTTTGTTGCCACAAAAGCAGGCTTCTGAAACTTAAAAACGAAAGGAACGATTCTTTATCTCACTTTTGCTGTTAAACTTTCATGAATTTAATTGACGTCATTAACAGCCTCCAAATCTTTGGCTTGCCCCAAAAATCTAATGAAACATATTCTTGCGTCACAGCTTCCAGGAAACCACAAAATTATGTCCATTTGCGATTTTCTTGTACAAGTGCGCATAACAAATTTCTTTAGCTAACAATATTGCCAAAGAGCGCCTTTTAACAATTGGCTCTTTTAACGTCATTCCAATCATTTTTGTGACAAAGACTGATTTGTTTCGAGTCCTAAGACTCTCATATTGTGTCTCTGGATATGCTAGGGAATATCCACTCTCAACCGGCTTAACATACACCCCACCCCCGTTCAAAGCGGAGACATTTTTTCGGTTCTTCAGATTCTTGAGTTACTTACACTTTAGTTCACAGCTTCGAGGACAACGATCAACGATCCAGGTCCTGTTGGATTTCGTGCACTCATCCCTCGCAGCCAAGGCTGGGCAATCCTCGTGTTTATCATACACTATAACAAAATTGCGTACGTGAAGGAATAGATGCAATGGGCGCATAACTGATTCAGTAATACTATAGCTGCACATGCATTCACACACATGTAGAGGCACCCTGACAGTAAACCAATCCTTCGAGCGACATAAGATCACCTTAATTCATAGCCTGAGCATAGCCTGCGAAAACATCCGTTTCTCCTCGCTCTTCGCCTCTGGGGAAAACGTCCCCAGCGGCGAAGAGCATGGAGAGACGGATGTTTTCGCAGGCTAATAAATTCACTCCAAATTTGTTAGAAAATGGAATAAAAATAGAAAATTTTTAGTAAGAGATGCCGCAGATTGTTTTCGATTTTGGACAAAAGTCGTTTTTCTACAGATTTTTGAATATGTTTGCTTAATATTTTATGCCGTGACGTTTTGGGCCTGAAGCGAGTGACGTATTTTTAGGCATTGCTCCGATGTGCTTGGCTTTCTCACCATTCTTATTTGGTATTCCTTTCCTTATTTTCTTTACGTTTTACCTTTACACATTCCACAGCTTCTCCTACAGTTTATGTGCATCCAGGTCACTCTGTTTCCTGAGATGCATTGATTTTGTAAAGCCCATGAAGGACAGTCGACGACGTTTGTATCTTTGCAATCTGTGAAAAACAACAACAACAACAACAACATCAATACCACAACCACAGTTTATTTCTTGTAATGGTTATGAAACTTGTCAGATTATTTCTTGTATGTTTTTAAATGTTTTTTTTTTCTCATTTGCATAACGTTGAAGTGGTTGCAAAAAAGAAAAAGACTGTGAACAGTCTGCTCAGGGATCGGAGCTCTTAACATAATTATACTGTAACACAATTACTGATCTTCATCTTCGACCTTTGATCGATATTAGTCATATTACAATCTAGTAGAGGAACATACCTATAGAAAGTTAATCAAATTTAATGAAGTTAATGTGCAAGCTAGGAAGCTAAACGAACGAGTTGGTTTTCATGTTACCTAGGGATACCATCAACCTGATATATATTTTATCGGCTTCTAATAACTGTCACGTCGAATTTTTCTTTCAATCTATTAGAATTAATCGCTCAGTGTTTGCTAACCCTCGCACATGCGACTTAAACGCAGCTGATTCTTTAAAAGAGAAGAACATGTAGGTAGATGATAAGCTTCAGACCCTACCTTCAAAACGTTTTCAACGGTTGAATTCACGTTGCTCGACGTGTCTCTGGTCTCACCCGTTACTTCCTGAAAACCCTACTACGCTTTGGTTGGTTAATAGATTGTTTTCGTGTGTCTATAACGGAACTATAGATAGCCTTAAAAAATAATATTCGGTACACTGTCTCTAACGCGAGCCTCATGTGAAAGATGGATCCTAGGAACGATGAATTCTTGGACCCGGCTGCATAAAGGACTTTTAACTGATAGTGATTTTTCAAAATATTACGTTGTAAGTTCAAATTTTTTGCATCCGCATTTTGCATTCCACAGAGTTCCACGAACTAAATTATAAGTGCTAAAATACGGCGGTCCTTAGTCAACTTTTTAGGCCATAGAAAACTAAATCAGATACCTTACCTCCACACTGGTTACAACTTTTTCTGCAGTTCGCTAACATCCACGCTTTATTTTTTTCACATTCCCCATGGAAGGCCCAGCGAGGGCAGCTTGACTGTGAATCAATACAGTCTGCGAATTGATAGTGATTTAGATAATATATTTTTATTAGCAGTATAATAAACCCTTGAAGAAGTAGTAAAATATCACCCCATGTAAAGGAACCCAAGACAGTCCAATCCAATCGTTGATGGGATTCCGAGTTCCTTGAACTGTCTTCCCGATTCCCTTTCATGGGGCGAAGCAAAATGTTAACTCGCGCATTAACTCGTTGACAGGCTCTAGGGAAAGACGTTTAACGCACCTGTGGAAGAGCTTATAGCGAACAACAAACTCGTATCGCAAATGTCACGAATAATTTTTCCGCTTTAAGTGAGAGCAGAAAGTGTGCGAGCCATGAGTAAATAAATCCGTTGAGAATTTCCCCTTTAAATTATTTACTTGGAAAGAGTGCAGTTTAGATGAATCCTAAATGGGCAAATTAATCGGGCCGCAAAACTGTTAAAGGAAAAAGAGGTACAGGAGGAGAAGTTGTAGATCAAGCAACAAATCATCAAGAAGAGTAAATGATAATGAGATACCAACCATAGCACGAGGTGTACAAGCTATAGCCTACATTTGTTGATGGGTTTCTCAGCGATACTCAGCTATCTAATTTACTGGAAACATAACAGATGACTTAAACAAACTAGTAAAAAGGTTATCATCAACTTCCAACCTTTCGGAGCCTGGTGATATTTACAGCTGACGCAACAGTTTGGAATCATCCAAGGCGGGTTCTTTTCACATTCGCCTACCCCTGCCCACAGCCCACAGTCGGAATGAAGGTCCTTTTTACAGTCTAGTAAATCAATTAAATTGATAGGTTTAGTTAGCTATCACTCAAGGAAGGAAGGAAGCAGTCATGTATGAGAGGACAACTGACGTGCCCTCTTTACAATATCTTAACACGTTTAACAGTAAGCTCGGACGTCAGCATACAAAGTCTCCACTGGCAGCCGCTATCACTCCATTAATGAGCTTACTGTATCCACCCTGCCCATGAAGTGAGTGATGTGTGAAGATTGTGCACAGTGGCTTGGATTCTGTTACGTCGCACAAGAACCAGATAACCGTGAGTGCTGTGAGACGGGACCTACGGTTTTCGTCCTTATCCGAGAATACTAGATAGTCTAACCATTTGTGGATGTCATTACAAAGGCAGCACTTTCTTCTGAATTATTTAAAGACCCCGAGTGTTGGTCCGGCCGGGCTTTGAACCCGCGGCCTCCCGCTCAGTAAACTGGCGCTCTCCCAAACTGAGCTAACCAGGCGGCGGTTTATGTAAGCATCCGGCCTGTGTCAGTATTATATGGCTTACAAATATCAATTGTACTTACCCTCAGGCACAGTAGGTTCAGGGAAACTTGGAATCCCAGCTGTGGTTACAGCGACGGTCGTGGGAGGTACTGGTGCGAGAAATGACATATTATTGTAAATAGGGTTTGACTAAAGTTTTCTTCGTTTTCCGCTAGAAAAGTAAAATTATGAAGAGAAAAGGTTTACAAAGTCACAACTGGAATGAAAAAACGTCTCACTCCCTATGAGGCTTCAATCAGCGACCCCAAGGTTTGAGACAAATTTCGGGCGGTCTAATTGTTCTTGCAAGAGATGGAGCTAGAGTATATAATAAGCTCTGTAGAGAAAGACTTTCTAAACTAAGCTCCTAGATTATATCATATAATCCCAAGAGAACTAAGAAGGTGCATTTATAGGGAAGAAAACCTTAATTAAGTCTCTTCCGTTTTCGTCCCTCTAGTTATTTTCAGTCGGTTCTCCTAAGAAGGAAAGAAGAGGCTCGTTCCTCTTTTTTGTGGATTTGATAAACCACTGAGGTGACTAAATTGGTGTTATTGAATTAATGGATAGGTATCTCATTACGATCTAGTCACCCTCTATTTACACCGATATAACGGTTTAAAGGCGATCTTACAAGGGACTATTTGCGAAGAAGGGTTTCAGGACAACATTGTTGGCACAATGTAGAAACAGTTCGAAACAATGTCAAAACAATGTTGCAACAATTTGTTGCGCTGATAAGAGTCGTTAAAATCGTCTCGTTTAACGTCGCCTTAATAGGCGTTAGTTGATTTTTGGATGGAAGATCAAACTTCGAATGTGTGATTCATCCCTAATTGGACTGTGATGATTTTCTTTCCTAGTGCACGTAATTCAAAATAATTTGCGATACCAGTGAGTAAGAAAAAGAGGAGAGCAACTTTGATAATGAGATGCCTAATGATATAATTATAACGTTGATGTATTCAAATTCAAATATTTTAAAAAGGGAATAGTTCATTCCTACTATACTACTTGCCTTTTTGAAGACCATAAAAACGTCCCTGTAAATTTCTTTTCGATTAATTTGTCAAAAACTGCAGAGATTTCATTGATTATTTTCTCACTAAAAAGTTAAATTGAACACGTTTTTAAACTATGACATTGACTAGATCACTACACGTCAAGTCCTCAAAACTAAAGAAGAAACGTTAAAAAAACGTACTTGTGATCGTCGGAACTGTTGTTGTAATAGGAGCTGGTGTTGTTGTAGTTGTTTTACTCTCAATAACTGTAGGAAGAAGAACCAAGGTTGGAAAATTCAACAGAACATCCGCTCAGCATAATAGTACCGAAAAAAAATACACCTACAAAGCAAAAAAACAAAACACGATACGCGGCTTCTATCAAATCAAGAATACCTCAAACGTCAAAGTTGCTAAATTTCACTTACCGCAGTAGCCGCAAGTCGCTGCGCAGTCGATCTTCATGTAATATTCCTTACAACTGTGCCCGTTCCTCACGCGCCATTCGCACGTATCTTTCCCAGCGGCGTCGTAACAACGGACTTAAAAAAACGTTCGAGAAAAATGATGTTAATTCTAGGTAATAAACAACAACTAAGTGCAACTAGATTTAAAACAAAAAGGCGACTTAAATAAAATGTTTGACATTGCATATATCGTAAAATAAAATAAGATAAAATAATGATAAAAGATCTTGTTAATCAACGGGAAGACTACTAGCATTCACCAGTTTCCAATTGCCCATAATACAAATTGTTTACCCCCTCCCCCCCAAAAAAGGAAATTTGCATAAACCTGTTTGTTTCCGGTTTCTCATGGGTTTTGCAGGTTCCCGAGAGAAACTGAAAATATTTCTTACGCAATACTTTTTTTTCTGCTTGTGGGGGGACATTGTTAAATGGTGAATATTAGAAGTAAATGTGTAAATGAATAAATAAATAATTTTATGTGCATGCGTCAGTGACAGAAAGAAATTAAAATTTTTAATTTAACAAGACTCGACAATATGCTTCTAAAACAAAAAATATGCTACGAGATAAGCAAGAGACTGAAATTTGGCTTTAGTCTAAGTTCACAAATAGGCCTTGGAATTTCAATTTTGCATGCTCATAGATTTAAAGTTTAAAGAAACTAATGAGGCTGCATTAACATATGATGTTAACATGTATGATACCAGGGCAAACGCAACGTGACGCCTACTCTCACTCAATCGACGACTATTATTTTTTGACGGCAACTTTTGGCTTTGCTCACCTGTTAAACTTGCCATTGCACACAAAAATTATGACACAATTCTGATTTACTTACATTGACAGTTTTCGCCGTAGAAACCAGGAGGACATTCTCTATCTAAAAAAGAGTAGAAAGCCATGATCAAAAAAGTCCATCGGAGAACCCTACTGCGCTATATATTTTCGGTTTTGTCAGAGCCTCTTCTCGTTGAAGGTGTCAGTCTGTACCTGTACGTTCGGTAATTCCCTAGACATACTTTGGCTGATCCCAAGATATGACGTCAAGATTGGTACACGGTCAAGTCATAAATCTTAAACCGAAAATGCATGCAAGTTTTCGCACTGCATTTTGCAAAAAAAAAGTTTGAATTATAAAGCACCCAAATCTTAAGCACCTTAATGCGTCGTTATTTTTTTGATGTGTAAAGTGTTTTCCATGGACTCTATGTATTTTGTTGAATTAAGTTATTTTACAATTTTAAGAAAATGCTGAATACGTCAGCCTTCTTTATATTGTTTACCTGAACAGTCCATACCCTTCCAACCAGAGGGGCAGACGCAAATACAACTCTGACGATTCACTGTTCCTCCATTTTGGCACTTCAAAGGACATTCTAAAGAAAAGGAAAGTAGTATAAGGCGCACCAATAGACCTTTTTACCGATACGGCGGCCATATTAAATTAATTTCCCGAGAAATATACAGTGAAAGACCATATTTCTAATACTAAACTAGAAAAAGGCGATCATTATTACATCCAAACACGGCACAAGGATCTTTTTTCCCATTACAATCTTATTCTAAGAAAATTTTAAGAAAAAATGTCTCGAAAAGCGTTCGAAAATACAAAAGAAATGTGCTCATGCCCCCTGGGCATCCTATAATACTCCTTAAATCGAATTAATTCAATATGGCCGCCGTATCGGTAAAAGGTCTATTACAACTCCTTTTTTGACAGGAATACATTAACGCTGATGACGCCATAGCCTTTGATCTTCATCCCATTTTACCGCTATACTATATGCAAGGATGTCAGTGACAATGACTGATTTTCTAATTTTACTACCGTTTTTACTACCCACGAAGAAAATATTTCAGATCATCTGTCCAAAGGGACGGAAAAACATACTTATATTCATTCTTGTTTTGTGATTGGTCTTTCTGGTCTTGGGTGATTGGTTTAACGATTCCCTAAAATATTGCAATGCCACATAAAATAATTGTCCAGTATATTTCTTCAATGTGTGTAATTACCAGTCCTAGAAACAAGCCACACAACCAATGGAGTTCTTTTAGACCGTATTAGTTTAATAGCATGCCAATTTTTATTTGTTTCCCTAAGCTCATAAACAGATATCATTATTATTCATTCAAAATATTTTCCGTTGATGGTTGGCTCAAATTCCCCGGCTAATTCTTTATAGCCACCTAATGTGGCCAGTTGACTGGGAAGAAGAAGTTCACTGCGATGATAATCTAGTAAAATTGCGTTAATAAAACAGGATATCGACAGAAAAAAGTGATCGCAAGTCCTATGGACAAGGGTGCGTTAAATGAGTGCGTTAGTTCACCTTCTTTGGTAAAGACGGAAAAAATGGCGGAAAGTTTCACAATTATTGTGAAAAAAAAGGCCAATTTACTCCCTTAAAATGGCAATAACAGCAATTATACTACTACATGAGAAATTTCTGCAATTTAATTGGCTTACAGCATTCGTATTTCAGCTTAATTTGAAATACCTACATGTGAAAATTACAAACCCTTTGCCGGTAGTAGTATAAACAATAATAGCACGATTTGTACGTGATATTTTGCATAAATACCACTCGTGATAATGCAAAATTGTCTCAAATTACGTGTAACAATTTATCATGCTGTTATCTATACAAATACAACTCGACCGATTACAACTGCTGCTATTCGAAGAGTATCTGCTAAACTAAATATCCCTTCATATCTCGAGTAGTCAAATAAAGACGGGAATTTAAACATCGATAGAGGTCAGCAAGTTTTTAAAGTATGAATTATTTGAATAAAAGAAACGATTATTGGATTCGGCTTTCCTATGATCTGAACAATTATGCAGAACTCGAAAGTTGTTATAAATTGCTAATTAATTATGGTGCGGACAAGCTGTTAATCTGGCTTAAGTCTTACCACATAAGTCGCACATTTTTGGGCATTTCTTTGCCATTAATTCACGGTGTGAGGAACACATGTCTTTCGATAGGCTTTTACCACATTCACTATCAAAGTTATCGCAGTCCCCTAATGAAAAACAAAAATACATTAACTTCTCTTTACCTAACGTGAAATGCAATTGGTGCAATAATTGTCAGGACCGGGTTGGTCAAATGAAGCCGGGTTAAGATGACCCGGTTAGTTCGAATTTGAATTCAGATATGAAAGCTTAAAAAGTAAATTCAGTTTAATTCTTTTTGGCAACAAGTTGATGATTGTATGCTCTTAAAAATAACAGAAAATTATCCGAGAAAATGCTTTTGAACAAAACAAAAAGAAACCCGGGTTAAATTTAACCTTGGGTCACGGTTTTCGACTCCATCTTGACGAGCGGGCAAACGCGTGAGAAATTGCAGTGATTGTATGAGAATCTAATGTCGAATAATTTCCGTAAAACCACCGTTTTGAAAATTTGAGGGCGTTACATGCGCTAGAAGACCTAGAACCTTTTTTAAAAATTTTCTATACATTTGTCTAAAAATTGCCCGGGAAAAACTGCAGACAGATATATGGAAAATCTAAAGCAAGCTTCTGGAGAAATTTAAGGACAGTAGCGGCCCCCAAAATTTGTTAGTAAAATCCTTTGCTGTGTAGCTTTAGTTTGCGATTCATATTTTTTCCAGAACAGCCGTTTTACGGAAATTATTCTACATTGAATTCTCATACAAACACGCGTTTGCCAACTCGTCAAGATGGCGTCAAAAACCGTGACAGGTCCATTGGCCTTCGAACAACTGGGCCCAGGACTTAATGTATTGTTTTTTAAACTGAGCTACGTATTTACCTTTTCCTTGATTTATAGCTGAATCAGTTAAATTGTACTTACTGCATAAATTTTTGTAACAGAATCCTTTCCCAGAGGCGCATTTTGAACATGGTGTGCCTTGTTTGTAAGGAAATTGTCCTATAATGTTACCTCTTTAAAGGAAAAGAATTCATTCAAATAAACAAATAAGTGAATAAATAAGATCTATCACAGACACTGATTTTGCTAACCTTTGTTTTCAGGAAAAAATGTAGTATAAATGTTTATTTCATCTACTGCACATTCACTGGTGATCCTTGCAATCTGACTGGCTTGCGGCAGAGTAATTTATTCAAGACTTGTCAATTTTTTTGTTTTAAATCCCATATTTTTCTCCACGCAGCCAATGAGGGTATTACAAAACAAGCAATGGAATTAATGTTTACCATTTGTCACATGACAAAAGTCGTTCTGATTTGCACCCAAGATAAGATATTCCTAATTTTTTTTAATGACTGGATCAATAGAGTATTGGCATTGAGTAAAATACTTTATTTAGTCGATTAAATCGTGTGCTTTCAAAATAGATAGTATTACAAATTCTACAGTGCGATATAAGTAAAACAGGTGGATAAATATAATAAAGGAGATAAATTAAAGGACGCATTAATAAAATAAATAAATAAATAAACAATATGAGCTAAACAATTTTCGAGATTTGAGAAAAATTTGCCACAAAAAGTTTGAGCTATACTAAGTACAGAAACAAGTACAAAAAACCGACAACATTAACCAACGAGCTGCGAACGACCTAAAGGTTGGCAAAGCCCTTCCTAGTTATTCTGTAAGATGAAGAGAAGATAAAGTAAGTTTCAATTGATGACCCTGCATTGCTGGAACAATTCTTACAATATAATTGATAAAAAACGCTATTAACTGTGAATAGCATCGCATTTACAACAAACGGTGACACGAGATTGACAGGTTTTCTAGGAATGGTTTACTCATTAATGCTGTATTGTTTCATGATTTCCTGGTTATGGCTTTGTAATGAAGTTATCACCCCTCGAAATTCAGGCTACTTGGAAAGAATTTGTGCGTTGGACCGTTGATGATGAATGTTAAGAGAACTTGAATTTGCATTTCTAGCTCCTGGGAAACTTGGCCCGCAAATCCGTCAGGTGTCATCGTTTATCCCGATATATAAATGCCTTTCAGCTAAAAGGTGACAAGGTTACTTCATTCGAGTCATATCAACTTTGTGCCCCCCTGGGGGGTTACTTCAGAATACAAGAGACGGGGATGATGGAATCGGTGCAAAAATCAAAACCCAAAAAATCCCAACAAAACCAAAAAATAATCCCTGAATCTAATATCAACCCCCAAAAGATCACATTCCGAATTTCCGAGCTCAAGTTTGGTTTTAATTCGTGAACTTCGAATCTTGAACTTTTGAATACCAAAAAATCCGGTTCCTTCTGAATCTTCAGATTGTAATTTTAAAGAATGACCAAAAATACAAAGCTTTCCGGTACCTGCAGAAAGACCCAAAAATCCCTACTTTGCCAAATTTTCCTACCCAAAAAAATCCTTTGATCATCCCCGTCACCTTAAATCCAGAGTACCTCCCCTGAATTTGTGCCATGATATCAAAGGTTTTGTTTTCTTTAAATGTAGCTGGGAGAGTACTTAAGTAGGGGAAGAACGTAACTACAAAAAGAGTCGTAGCATTACTTACGAAGGTCCATAGTCGCAACTGACAATCGTCTCCCCAGGGATCCAGGGATGGGACATACCAAACTCCTTGTCACACCACTTCACTCCACATCCCACAAACTTTGATCGCGCCCAAGCAAGCTTTACAAAGAAGTAAGGAAAAGGTGAAATGCAGTTATTTCAACGTACCTCCGTAGTCTCCAGGGAAAATCCCTATGGCTGGGTAATACATACCTGAGTGTAATGGCCGCAAGGTTCCTTGGAGCACGCAGCTCCCATTGGGCTGGCAAACTTGCTGTAAGTGTAGTACTCGTGTTCTTTGTACCATGGTTCCACGCGGTCTTCTGGAGAGGAAAGTTCACCCCATTCCCTTGCAAGATTTTGACCTGAACACGATCAATCTTTTTAGGTTACATTGCTAAGCCTAGTTTTAAACTGATGTTCATCTCTTTTCAAACAACTGGTAGTTCCTAAAGAGGTATACAGAACTATGATCGCTCTTGCTGGTCATAAAGAGGCTTTGGGCCCAAAATGGTTTCGCTAACAGTGGTGACTTTTGTAGGAGCGAATGGGTTGAACAGAAATGGTGATACAGCTGGCGTTCATGCGTTTGATCCAGGTTCGAATCGCGGCTGTCAAGTGATATTATTTCCCAGCCGCTTCTTTTTCGATCCTTCTTTTATTCCCCTCTCTATTTCATAATGTTGGCCCTTTTCGTCGCGCTAAGCGACGTTCTGTGAGAAATGTATTTCTTTGTACTTTACGTAGTTATGTCACCAGGAAGTACTTGTATGTATAGTACGTTTCCTTCAGTGTCACATACCTACACGCCCCTTAAAGGGTACCTCATATGGATATTCGTCACCAAACGCGACAAATCCGTGATCCCAAATGCACTGATTGGCCCACATCTGCGCTAAGTTTGCGAGATCGTCGTCCCAAAACTGCAGAAATGTAAATAAGGCACAAAATAAGAGCTCTTGATAACAAAGAAGAAGGATTGATCACATCTGCGCCCTAGTACAGTCACAAATTTAAGAGACGCAACTTATAGTACTAACAAACCTGTCATGAATATATACATATATATATTTCTTGTACACCAAAAGCCACACGACTTGGTTCATATGGTTAAAACCTACGTGGTTAAGAGGAAATTGTGGGAAAACATGATTTTAATATTTTTTAGCTAGTCAAAATATTAATTTTCTGATTAATCACGGGACCAGCCAGTCCGAATTTATAACACTTTGTGTGACCAAAATCGATCATTCCTGCAAGAGGCTTAGGTCAAACGGAGAGAAAGTAAATTTATAGTCACGACAGCGAGGACATGTTCCATGTATGTTAGAGGTTCCTGTCAGGTGTCACCCGTGCTGTACAATTACATTTCAAGTGCATTTCAAGTGTCTTAAGTTTTCCAGGTCATAAAAGTACACGCGGGCCCATTTCTACACTCTAAGTAAAATTTATTTAAGTCACGATTGAAATTTTCTTGCTATGCTATACTCGAAAGCATACTATTACTAATTTATCTCAGGTCAATTATCACGACAACTTAAGATGAAATCTCTACATAACAGGAGAAGGGAGGAAAGACACTTCTAAAGCAGAGCGTAAACAAGCTTACTACTACTACTACTAATAATAATATTAATCCACGTTATTTCTTATTGAACAAACTTTTTTTTCCTTTAGAATAACAAAATAGGCCTCATCAAGCTTTCTCTTATACCTTTAACGCTAATCAGTTTTTTTTCACCTTTGAGACCTTAAATAATTCGCAACCTTCTCTGTGAGTGAGATTTTGCTACAGTTGGTTTCTTGCAGCGCTAACTTTCCAGTATCTGCCTCCGTTGCATTCTGTTGGATTCTTTTTTCGATGTCGACCACGACCGTCTAAGTCAAAATGATGGCCGATTGAAAGTCGTGTTTTACATTATGCCTACTACAATTGTACGCGTTGGGCAATTTGATATGTTGAACCCAAAATTGGAGAAAAAAACTTGAAGGCCGCCAGCAAGACTGTTTTTTTTTGTGTGTGTGTGGAATACGACCCGTTGCATACCTACAGGCTATGCAACAGGTGTCTAAAAGCTTTATGATTTCTCATTTCCCTTATGATGATCTTGTTTTTGTTTTATCGTTGTTATGTCTGTGTGGTGTCATTGTTTGTGTGACTCACCAGATACTCCATGTCAGCAGCAGGCGGCTGAACCATTCCACGAAACTTGTTGTGTTCATCTAAGAATTTCTCTTTGTCTTCGGGGGAAAGTTCTGACAGGGCAAAATCTTCACGTGAAGGCTTAACCTGGGTCAGTGCCGATGCCATATCATTCTTTCTGAACAGTACAGAAAAACTTACGCACAAAAATGCGCAATACCTCAGACAATTCTCTAAGCTGATCCTGCTTTTGGAAACCATAGTGGGTGCCTTTAAATTACAGTAAAGAGGTTAACACGCACTTTTTTGGCCAGAAACTGACTTAACAACGAACTGATGACTGATCCAAGAAGCTGGATCGGGTGTTCAGCACCACTTTAAAAGAAAATGCGTTTTGAGTTTGCGAATGTATTGAAAGCCTTCTTTTTAAGTTAAATTAATTCGTTCGATCACACGGTGAAACTGAAACCACCTCATTTGGAAGTAAAAGAGGTGTTCTGCCCAGTTAAATAAAACATTTCCTGCTTGTCCTTGAAGAACCACTAAATGGCTTGAGTATTTTAAAGCCAACTGAAGACTCACGCCTGAGATGGTAATTGTATGGAAAGCAAAGCCAGTTTTAACCTTTATCGTTTGGCTGGTTTTCGTTTCATTTGCTTTGTGTTTGTTCTATCATATTTATGACATTCTGACTTCTTTCTTAGTGCTATTGCGGGTGAACTGATTGTTGTGTGTTTCGGTACCTGTCCAGCAACAAAACGCTGTCACTTCTGTGTTTCGTTCACAATAACAAGGGCAGTTAATTGTAGGTTTTCACTGTTTGAGGTCAGAACGTAATCATGGGTATGTCAAAATAAGTAAACAAATAAACGGTTGAAGGCCCCTATTTAACAATTAGACTACGAGCTCGATTTTTTTTTATGAGTCAATGGAGAGTTTAAGCAGCGACGTTCGTCAGCCGGTAGTGAGCCTTTTTCTCCTTTAATATGCCTTGACGCTACCAAATTTGTATTGCTAATTGCCTTTACTCTTAGACCACTTCCGAAAAAATGGTCCAAAATCACATCAAAAAGAGTGCATAAAGTTCGCTTCCGGTTGACATGCCTGAGACAAAAACGTCGCTGCTTAAACTCTTTTAAGTCAAGGCCCGTAGCTCCGAGATGACTACTGGACTCTTAATTGGGGAACGAGCTAAATTGTAAATATCTTATTATCCACTCCGGTCAGGGCTTTTCAGGGAAAATTTACAACACTGGTTGGGGGACTTTGCCAGACTGCTTAGGTGCAGTTTACAAGTAATGAAGGAGTGAGTAATGATGCCCCCATACATGAGTGTGAAAGTGAGATAGGCCACTACACCGGGCACTACGACCCCTACTCTTTACGAAGAGTGTGTGGGTTCTTTAACGTCCCATAGATTTATTACATGTGCAAGGGCTTGTGAGACGGGGGCCTACGGTTTATCGTCCTTATCTGAGAAGACTAGAAAGTGTAACCGTTTGCAGATGTTATCACAAAGGCAGCACTTTCTCCTCAGTTAAAAGACCCTGAGTGTTGGTCGTTTTGGTCCGGCCGGGGTTTGAACCCGCGACCTCCCGCTCAGCCGACCGGCGCTTATCCCCTTGAGCTAACCGGGCGGCGGTACTTTAACAAGTAGTCTAAGGCCGATTTAAAATTGTGTGCAAATCAACATAGCTTTTAACTGGAAGCGAGACTAGCAGTGTTCTTCTTAAAGAAAAATGAGTGGACATCATTACTTATTCATGACTGCCGAAGCGGCAAATTCGAATGCGCGAGCCCTTTGAATAAGCTCCTGATAAGAGAAAAATGGGCCTTTTTTGGTCCACCAGCGTTAGTAAAACTCGTTGGCGCGACTTCGTTAGCTCCAAAATGACAGAACCACGGACGGAATATTAAAAATGACCGATTTGTCTACGGTTTAAGCACAAAATATATAAATTTTACGTTGATAGCAGAAGGGTATCCCTCTGCTCTTGAAAGTTGCTAAGAAGTGGCCATTTTTTGTATGGAAACTGACTTTGGGCGCGACTTTCTGGAAACCAGCAACTAAATCCTCAAAACCACGGACAGAATATGTAAAATTGCTCTTTCCTTAAGCAGAATACGTTTTAACTTTTAAAATTTATGGACAAGAACCACTATGCCTGCGAGTTTGAAAAAGTCTGGTAGAATTGACGCGGCGTACCTAAGGCCAGCGAGCTATTGTTTTAAGCACTGGTATGAATAACAATGGATGTCAAATATAACAATACGCCATTGAAAACCACACACTTGTGAAGTAGGTCATTCGCTGGTAAAATATATTAAAGAATCACTAGACTTTATTAACGCAATCTGCCACACTTATACGCTTGATCAGTACAATGAATAGAACGAGTAAAAGTGGATGTGATCGGAAGCTTCCTTCGGAGGTCAATGAACCCCCGATCAATCCACTTCTTATCCACATTGTCGCGCCTTTCATGGAGGAAAACAACCCTTCGTTTATTTTACAAGTTAACTGTGAGGAACTTTGGAAATGGAGGGAAGTTACGTTTCCGAAAACGGCGTTCGATTTGATTCAAAACACTCCAGCACCTTAGATACCAGTTCAAAGTGTCGTCGCATGCAGGATCGTGTCGGGCGCGCAATGGCAGAAAAGATTAAAAAATTCAAAAGAAAAATGGAGAGCATTACAAACGGGAAAAAAGGAAGACGGTGCGAGCAGAGACTTGGGTGAAGCTGAGCATAAAACTGGAGAGGTTAAACAGACATCAAAAGACGTCGTAACGCAACTGACCGAAGAAAATGGAGATCTTCGAAGACGATCGATAAGAAGGCCGCCAATTTAAATTGGAAGATGAAGGAAGAGCTTACCCACAGAGGTAAAAACGTTACTCACGTGGGAGACAAGCAGCAACGGAGACATTTAACACAAATACAGTTAGTAGTTTCTTTTGCTCTTTTGAATTGTGAGCAGAGACTTGGGTGAAGCTGAGCATAAAACCGGACGAGGTTAAACAGACACCAAAATACGTCGTAACGCAAATGACCGAAGAAAATGAAGATCTTCGCAAGACGATCGATGAGAAGGCCGCCAATTTATATTGGAAGATGAAGGCTTACCCACAGAGTTAAAAACAAGTAGGAGACAAGCAGCAACTTAGACATTTAACACAAATACAGTTATTATAGCTTCTTTTGTGTTTATTATGAACTGACAACTTTGCAACCACGGGGAAACTTACTTGTAGATTCAATTATTATAAATACTTTTCCTGCTTAATTTTAATCATAAGTTATTGGTTGCCTTCATTTGTGTCTTTGAAAGGCAAAAGCTCAAGATGCACTATGGTTTGCAGAAACTTATTTTTTACTGCCAGAATTTCTGTTGCCAAGAGACACCACTAGACAATTGCAAGTCCATGAAGTCAAAGTCACAAAAGAGCCAAGAGGTAAACTGTAGATTTTAAACATTCAACAAATTCATGTGTGCAATACACAGGATTTTCGCGGAAATAATGGCCTCTTTTCCATTTTTTATAGGTAACCGTGAAAGAGAAAACACAGATCCAGGTCAAGAAATACCCAGCAAACAAGAAAAAACCTTGAAGGTTGTAAAGGTGAGGAAAATTGTAGATACCTAAATCTGAAGACATGAGCATGCTTTAAAAAGAATTAACTTCTGGCACTTTGGAGTTGATATAGGATAGAATTAAAGATAAATGGCTGTCTATATCCTTGTCTAACATATTATCTATCTTACTATCTGGCACAAGACTGATAATATGCTATTGCACTGATCTACCACACACGAGAAAAAGCAGGCCTATGAAAGGCTTTTTTCATCAGAAAAGGAAAAGATTGGGGCAAACCTGTTCATAATGAACAAGTTCTCCGTGTCGTGGAAGGCATACCATGAGTTAACACAGATAGTTAACAGCCTCCCAAGGTCTTACTTAGTTGAAGGTTGCCAGGCCACAGTGGATGAGCGGTGGAAGATCACCGCTAAAACTCCAGGAAACAACCCAGACGCTGAACTACCACTCAAAGACCTGCTTGAACAAGAAATAGAAAAGCATGTAAGTAAAATATAGTTGAAATTGTTGTTAAAGATGTTAAAAAATCCCTCTTACACTATAGTGTATTTGTTGTATTTTTGTGATTTACTGATGGAAAATTCAGGCCAGCCTGCCATGAGCCAACTTTCAGATTTCTGGTGATGGTGTGCCCGCATGTCTCATTCAAGCAACCTGTTTGTTTGTTCTTTTTCTCTTCTGGATGATGGCCAGCATGTACTTTCCAGTGCAGGTATGCTTAATTAAGAAAATCATAGTCAGTACTATGCAGTGTAGTTAAATAATAATTGATATTATTCAACTCTTGCCATATAGGTAACACCACATGTACATTCTGTTTACTTTTACCTAATCATGTTTTAATTAAGGACCAAACCCCAATTATTTTTTTTTTCGGGTGGTCAGCTTCTATTTTTGCTTCAAATGAATTAAGAACATACCATGTAATTAAGAACATACTTTGCCTAAATTTTTGTTAACTTACCCAAAGTAAAGGTTATTTTGAGTGAACAATAAAACAATTAATGAATTCGGCTTTCGTATCATCTGAAGAATTATGGACATCTCGGAGGGTGTTATCCATATTTCTTCAGATGATACGAAAGGCGAATTCAATAATTAACAATTATTGGACGAGGTTGAGCAAAATATCGTGATTTGTCTGTGGCGAGCAGATCAATTAAATAATTGATCTGCGAGACACTGAAAAATCACGATGTTTTGCGATAACCGAGTTCAATAATTGTTTTATCATTCGATCACCGAGTTTGTTTTTTTTTTAATGAATATCCTTGGGAAGCGAAGGGATCTGCCATTTTCACGCAAGAGCGATCGCAAGGAGAAAAGCACGGTTTTCTTTACGCATGAGCAGAATATTATTTGCAGCCAAACACTGTTGGACACCATTGCACATGAGCAGACCCTTAATTGTGGGCAGTTATTTGCAGGTCACGTGGTGGGCCCTCGGCCAATGAAAAGAAAGAAAAATTTGCTTCGATTGATAATGGTTAATTATTACAGGCGTATGAGGAAAATATGACTTCAACTGAGGCTTGGTTAAACTACATAAAGTAAATAAACTCCTGATGAGATTATCATACTATCGTATTTATTATAACGTACACCGTTTGCAAAATGAAAAGACACAAATAAGCTTACACAAATATGTTTTCCGATTAACTTTAGTAGTATTTTTCGCTCGATGGAATGTTTAGAACTACAGTTTAATCGAATAGAAGAGGTGGTTTTGTAAACTCAACATTTCCTATAAAGACGAATCTTTTCGAAAACTCGAGATTTCAACTAAACAGGAAAAAGAAAACTACAGAGAAACGGCGCCTTACCTCGAGTACCGGGCCACCACTGTTTGCATCAACTTGCGAAGGACAACACAAGGGAGTGCACAAGAAAACTTTTTCACTTACTTGGCGAGTCAACAGACGAAAACAAAGCTTTACTTTCCTTCTCAGGCTGGAGAGCACAATTTAAACTTCGGGCGATCCCCTTTAAACCATTATAGGCTATTGTTTGGGAACGGAGTTTTTAACTTCGATTTGATTGGCAACGTTTGAAAAATTTGTTAAGATCGAACTTTTGCGCATGTACTGTTTACCGATTTTCCACGCATGATTTGAGCCGTCAATCCTTTTTGAGATCCTTTCTAGGCTTTTCAATCTCGGTAAATAGTGGCTTTTGGAATATTTACCTCGCCGCGAATATTCAGCTTCTATTCACCTCGTTTTCAAAGAATTATTGTTAATTGTCCAATGTGAAGTACCGAACATTGAAATATCAGTCAAACAGGAAAAAGTGCGATCCACAAGAATCCTGGTCGTGTCTTTGAGAAAAATACTCCTTGTAAAGGACCCGTTTGTGTAGAAGTTTTAACCAGCTTTTATGGTAGGTTCGTCGTTGAAGTGCGACAATTGAATTCAATCAAAGTCCCTCCACTTGGGCCGCCATTTTTTTCATTTGTTGACTCCGCCTCGCTTTGGCGCGCTGAACCGTAAAAGCGAGTTTTCCGGAAGTCAACCAGTTAACCGGAAACTGTTTCCATATGGTCCGCATAGTTCTAAAAATAATGTTTTGAAATTAAGATATCCGGGCCAACGCCCATATAGACTCCCTCTCTTTCCTATGAGATCTAAGGTTGATCTCTCGATATGATATTGCTGTTCGCGTTTTTGAAAACTGCTCAGCCTTTCGTTCACCTCTGTAATTTTTTTTTTTTTTTTGTAAATTATAATTTCGGAATACGCATATATATGTTTGTCATGAGGCTTTGAGCTTGTAATGACAAGTATCAGTCTTCACTTAAATGCTAACTTCAATAGGGAGTAAGGACGCTGATCATGTAATTGAACAATCTAAACAAAATTAATAGACTGGACTCCCGTAAAACATTCTACCATTAAATAAATCAGACGCAAGATATTTTTACGTGCGGGTAGGAGTACTTAAAAAGGATGAGACAAACGTATTACTTGGTTCATCAGAATTAGGGTAGATCAAGTGCCGTTAAGTTTTACCTGAAAAGTGTCTTGTGCTGCAACACACCATAAAAGTAGAGAGAGAGGAGAGCCGAGAGTTTCTATCTTGGACTCTCATTTTTATCTCGCCTCGAGAGACCTCTGCTGGCGGGGGAAGTCTCTGACCATGCTCAGTCATTGTCAGTATTCACTATAAACTTTATCTAGAATTTGCCTTAAAAAGGAATAAAACTTACTTTAATTTACGATATATAAACTTTGCAGCTGGGAGGATATTAATAACTTTCCTTTTGGGCAACTGAAATTGTGATTCTGACAATGTTAAACGATGACCACCATGCATTAGACAAGAGGCCCTCAAAAGCCCAAGTTGCTGACCCGTTGATTTATAAGAAGAAACCGGGGTTAATTTAGCCATTTAGTCTAACCTTTTAACAGGTACCTGAGACTTTGGAGTATTTATCTAATTCTTCTTTGATACTGAAACCTAATCGCTTGAAATTTATTTTTTTAACTTGTAAATTCAGCATTCATTTCATTAATGCTTCGCTGTATTCCCGATCCACTATACAATGGTGCTAAATTTGTCGCCCCGCAGTGTGTAATTTTGGCATACCATCCTAATAATGGCCTCAGAAAAAGAAAACGAATTGGTTTCATGATTAGGTCATTCTCGGACCACATGCTGAGTTAATAATCTCTAGTGTAAAATTAATATAACACTGAAAACCAATGAGCAAAACGGAGCTAACATCACAGCTTATTCATGTTTTGCGGACAAGAAAAATCGAGTAGTTACAAAGGCATGCTCTCGAAATTAACTCCCGTAATACTGTGCTTTATCTTACAGTTTCTATCTGAGCAGAAGGTTGTTAAAGCAGCCCAAGTCGACCTGACTCTGCCGACGAGAGCAGATTTTGCCACTTGCACGCTAACAGAGGAGTTTAAAGAGTCGTTTGTGGACGAACATAACAGACACCGGTCACATGTGCAACCCCCTGCTGCAGACATGGAATACTTGGTGGGTGTTTAATTAAAGTTCAATTTTTTAAAAAATGCTTTGGAGGGTAACATCTTATTTATGCGAGTCGCTTAAGGTACATCGAAGTCAGATTCGCTGGACCGCATTTCCGTCAATTGACACTATTAGAATGCAAAATTGATTTTTACTATTACAACGAAAGTTTTAAACGCCCAATATCGGGTGAAGTGTATTATTTATATATTCTTGGACCCCGCACGAGAAAAAACAAACACATTTATCGTGTGCCATCGTTACGTCAATTTTATTGACGTTTCTCTCTTAGGCTAAGGCAAAGCGTCCCCAAGAATTTTCTAATGAAATCAGTCGGTAACATCATTTCCTCGAACTTTCGATCGGACCCATCATGGTAGCTAACACTTTCGGATGAGACGAAAAAGCCAACTAAAACTTTCGAGACGACCAAAGTGCCCCTAAAACATCTGAACAGTTAAAAAGGCTTTTTAAATTTATCAGACAGGCAATTCTGACGTATTTGGAAAATTCGGTCATTGCGTCAAATTGTAGCCTAGGTAGGCGGCGCTTGAGAGGATGATATGGCCTAAGAGAAATATTATCCGTCTGAAACGGATAGGTCATTTCAAGAATGCATATCCGGCGTTTAGATGAATTATGAGCCAATTACCAGTCTTTCGATGTTATCAGTACGTCTTATACACGTGCTGACAGACGTATGATTCGTTCCTATTTTTTTTTATCTTAACAAAAGACTGATTATTTTACGTTTTGACTTAGGACGCCTGGTACCTCACGTTTTGAAAATTTCCTAGCATACATTGAGTCTCGTTGCACTTTTCCTTCATTTGAAATCATGATGTCAGACCAATTCTCACGGTCAGCTGACCCAAACGTGTCTACACTTTTGGTATTTCATTCGTTAGAAGAAGCTGCTGCACGTGGAGAGAAGAAGTTAGAAGTTAGAAGCCGTTTCTGCAAAAACATAGTATAAAAGATCTGTGGAGGCCTCTCGTTAACAAAAGCCTGAAATTCGCGAAATTTTGGGATTTGGTTAGCATGTCCAGGAAGAACAAGAAGAATAATGTGCACTAAGTCTTGCTAAAAATCAGCCCGTTAGTGCAAATTGGTGGGCGAGATATAACCACGGTTATTTACTCCAATATTTTTGTCTATTGTTGTCAATTGCATTATCAGCTTTGTCAGCCAACTAATTCTCAATTTCTCATTTTTTCTGTATTTCTCCTTAAAAAATCAAAAGGTGCACTTTTGTTTCTTTCTTTTCTTCATTCCTTAATCCTCAAAACCAAAGAACCATCTGAATTTGTCTCTCGAACCTGGACGACTTATATAGCCGTCTAGAGGAATAATCTGTCTCAGTGCTCCCGTTCTTGCCGAATTTATACTCGAGACTGCGAAGTCATTCATTTATTGTAAAATATCATGTAGACCTTTAACGGATCATCGGAATAACCTAATGAATGACCATTAGTCGATGATAATGTTTTAATTTCAAAAGTAGAGCATTATGTTGTTCGAGGCACTGTACTTAGTCGGTTTGAAAACTATCTAACCAATAGACAACAATATGTGGAATTTAATGGTATCCGTTCGAAGTCTTACCAAGTAAAGTCTGGGACGCCACAGTGCTCTATACTAGGCCCCCTGCTCTATGTGTGCAATGTGTCAAAGGTCGTGGACTTTATTCTTTTTGATGATGACACAAACATATTTTTTCCCACAAAGATTTCGATTACTTTCTGAAACCTCAAATTCTGAAATGTTAAAATTGACATAGTGGTGTCGAGCTAATAAGATGCACTACATTAAATGTAAAAAATCGAGTTTCAGAGTTTCCAGACCACGCCAAAAGAAGCAACCACTCGATGTACCCATTTGAATTGACAACAATCATATTATCGAGTTTGTGAAAGAAACCTAGTATTTTTAGGTGTTATCCAGAATGAAAATTTGTCATGGAAGCCTCGCATTCTTAGCGTTTCTAGAAAAAAATATCAAAATCAGTATGGGGATCGACATATCACTACAATTTAAGTCGTATTATCATCCTGCATGTCATACTGATGTTCTTTTCAAAGAACAGGAGGTTTACTTACCGGTTAGTCACTGTATTTGGTACTGTAACGGTAGATTAACACAGCGTACATGTACCTTTATTACATATGTTATTACTGTAAGCGTTACTCCTCATCGATCAGAGCTGCCTTTTAGAAAGGTAGGAGACCATCCGTGAGGCTGAAGTAGGACTCCCCCGCGCCTTGCCTTACGTCAAAGCTAAAAAAAGCCTCAGAAATCACATGTAACTAAGAAAATTGGACTGGCTTGTCCTTACTAAAATACGTATCAGTCCTTGATGAAAACAATTTGACTGATCAATAATGCAGACCAAAATTAGTTATTTGCTGCCTTCCCTTAATTACTAATTCTAGCCTCCATCCTTTTACCTTCATCCTTCTTTCACTTCCAAATCTCTTAAACGAGAAGCATACAATATTTTTATTGCTACTAACTTTCATTATAATTCAATTTTATTTCTGGCACTCTTAGTTCTGGGATGAAAATCTAGGGAATTTGGCTCAGATGTGGGTGAATAAATGTCAATGGTATCATGGTTTCGTATATTTTGGTGAAGAATATCCACTGCCTTTGAATTTGACAGGTAGAATGGGTGAGTCTCTACAAATTACTTGAAAACTTTATACATATCATTCTTTAATTATAGTCGTTAAATATAATTCTTTAATCAGGCCTGCCTGAGCGTTGTGCATGCAGAGTTAACAAAAATAGCGGACGATGTCACCACTATACAACGACGTAAATAACCAAATTACTGTCCCAAAAAGATGGGGAAAAAAATCCAACTTAATGGATGTCAACTGTTTTTGAAGCGTTGAAGTGCCCAGAGCGGTCTGGTTTTGGGAAAATTCTTCTTAAAGAAAAGAAATTAAGGCTATTTGAAAATATATGTTTTCCTGGATACAAACAAAAATTAAATTTTGCGCTTGAATTAGGAATTATGCATAGCTCGGAGGGTGCACTACCGCCAAGGCCACCCTCCAAATTGCTTTACCTTATTCTTCGCTTCATACTCAGCCTCATTTAGTAGTTGTTAAAAACCCATACTGCATAGATGTGTCCAATGAACCTCATGTTCCTCTGTCAAATTGTAGTGTCAGTGATCTTTTCACTCTTACAGAATTTATTGTTTTCTGGTTTATATGTTGTTGTTTTTTTAATTTCCGCTCAGGATATATTTTCAGAAATGGATAATTTGGCGGAAGGTACTGTCAAACGATCATATGTTCTCACCGAAGTTTGCATTTAATTGAGCCACGCCGTATGATACTTGAGATAGTTTTCGATGCTATTAATCTCTCGAAAACTCCTGATCCTCTCTAAAACACCCTCTTAGTACTTCCACGACAGGGTTTTAACAATTAATTTATGTCTGATTATTAAAAGGTCAGAACCTCGCTCGACAAACTTACAACCTTCCAGATCCAACGACCCCCGTAAAGGAGTGGGACAACGAGGAAGGAAACTTTGTGTACGGACTTCAAAATGCCTATTGTAAGAGTCCACCTTGTGGGCATTACATTCAGGTAAATAGCCAACGACAAGTTGATTTTTTTCTTTTGCTTTTATCAAAGGAGGATTGCTCGTTGATTTTACTCTTACTACTGTCGTAGAGGTTTCCATGAGATGCTGTCGCTATATCTTTGAGCACATCTCAAATTTTGAGCAAATATTTCTATTAATTAAGCCAACAATTCTGAGAAATAAGCCAGGGTATTTTTTTAATGCATAATTCGGCCTCCAACTTACCATTGGATTTCTGAAACGACGTCCGAACAAATTATACCAAGTTATACCACAAAATAAGCCCATAATGCTATATTATTGTTTCTGCCCAAATAAGGATGAGGGCAATTTTGGGTTCAAATAGAATTTTTGTGGCATTTCTTGAACATTTTTTTGTTAAATTACCAGCACCTTTTAATTTGGAACATGCATCTTAAGGCAACCACGAAACAAGATTAAGTTACACTGCTTTGTTCGCAATTCCTTATTGCTTTCACAATGCTTGCTCTACACAAATTCCCTTAGCTTATTTTCCTGTTGAATCGACCACTTTTGACCCAAGTTGTTTAAAGTTTGCATCTTTCATAGTTTATTTACCATGTCAACGCATTAATGCTCAGGCCCCTTAAAATTTATCTGGTAAAAGCACAGCACGGAGGCCAGTTAAACAGATCTTATTAACTGCCGGTCTTCAGCTGGGTAATAGCAGCTAATGTGACGTTACGCTCAGTTAGCGTTCGCCGTTATTAAGTTTTATGCAACCGGTTTCTAGAATCATTGTTTACTTTTCCTTCAGTTGGCTTGGGCGAAAACCAAGTACATTGGCTGCGCCGTCAACTTGTGCCCTAATTTTGGTAATGGTCAAAACACTGGTGGGTCATTTGTTGCTTGCGACTACGATAGGTAAATAAAAGTATTTATATTTATTTTCTGATGAGATTGGCATTTAGTGCTCCAAGCAAAGTTACAGGATAACGCAATGGTGTAGATAAAGCATTTTTTAAACAGCGTCTTTCTTCTCTGGTCTTTTCTTTCGTACAGGAGTACGCTGTTGTGGAACTTTCAACAGCAGGTGTCAAATTATATTTCACAAGCTAAGCCTTGATTACTGTCCGGCAGTGCCTTTCTTGAGTATCCAAGTTTTGTCAGTCTTTTTTAAAGTTATTGTAGGCAAATTTCATGTTATGTGATTAATACCGGTTGAGTTGAGCATACAGCTGTCCTTGAGTAGTCGTTTGTTTGTTTGTTCGTCCTTTGCTCCCACCTCCCCCCTACTCTCACAAATGCACATCATAGTCTTCCAGAAAGATGTCACAATTTCAGCATTTTCTCATAGACCATAAAGCACCTTGTTTACCTCCCCCTCAAGAAAACAAAAGTTGCATAACTATTGTCTTCGATTTCTCCTAGGACATTTTGCATAACCATTGTATTCGATCTCTCCTGGGACGAATGTATTACACAGGAGAAATTGGAAACAATGCTCATGCAAAGTTTTAGCGGAGAATACAAGGTGCATTATGGTCTATGTGAAAATAATGAATATCAGCATGAACGAGCCTATTAATCGGCTCCTGCAACATGTCAGTAAAATGCATTCCGTCCCATTGTAGTTTTTGTCTTAACTTTTGATGCTTATGCTGAACGCCAAGTGCTGATCATTCCCCAATTGTATTGGCTGTTTAGGCACTAGTGGCCTGATCATGCGTCAACTTGTTAGGCTTGTCTGAGAATTCTTTTCCGTCTATACTGTGCGTCGCTTACCAATATCCTAAAGGTGGCCTAAATTCAGGTTATAATAGGGCTCAAATACTCGGTCCAACATAAATTATTGATTTGGCATTAGTCATTTTTGTTTTCTCACCATATTTCACTCGTTCATGGTTGAAATGTATTTCTCATTCTACATGTTCTTTAAAACAGATTTCTTAAGACATAAAACGGTAAAAACGAACGATAAAATCCGACTTTTCGGGGTAGTCATGACTCCATTATCAAGGAAAACTGTTTTTGATCTTGCAAATTACAGCATTTAAAGCGATGTGGCGCGAAAATTAACATAACAGGGTGCGAAGATTATGAAAATACTTTCGTACGAATAGAGACTGATTGCACGTTGAGATTTGGGTTTAAGCTTCTTATGAAAAGCATTTCGTACACCAAACAGTCAAATTTGTTCCTGCATTTCTTAAGCAGTTCGAAACGTTTCAGTGTGTAGTTTATAACTTCCAAGGTGGCCTGTGTGATGCAGGCTTATATGTAGGTTACACACGCGGACATTTACACAATCGTGTCAAAGGACATAAACAACAGTCCTCCGCCATTGCCAAACATTACAAGAACGTGCACGGGGCGGTCCCTCAGGACCTGCTGAAACGTTTCGAAGTGCTTAACAAATGCAGGAACAAATTTGTCTGTTTAGCGTACAAAAATTATTGTCATAAGAACCTTAAAGCCAAATCTCAACGTGCAATCAGACTCTTTTCTTGCGAAAGTATTTTCATAATCTTCGCACCCTGTTATGTTAATTTTCGCGCCACATCGCTTTAAATGCTGTAATTTGCATGATCAAAAACATTTTTCCTTGATAATGGGGTCATGACTACTCCGAAACGTCGGATTTATCGTTCGTTTTTACCGTTTTATGTACATGTCCTTTAACTTCCTTACTTCGTGATCCCGTACATGAAAACGTGAGCTTGCACATTATGTTTCGTTCTAGTCATAGTTATTGAATTTGTGCCTCTCCTTCTATGCGCATAAGGGTCGTGATGTCAGATAAAAGCCACACACCTTACCAGACGGGCACACCATGTACTAAATGCGCTTCTGGTTCTGGATTCTGCTACAACAATCTATGCAGTAAGTACTTGGCTTTAAGCAACGAATAATAACGAAGATCAGTATAAAAACAGTTGAAATACGACCGGAAGTAAGCTTCGAAACTTGTTATCAGCTTTGGGCCCAGGCCAAACGTCCAAGTGTTCATGAGACGAACCAAACATAGGGAGATAAGTTCATGCAAACTTCGACGTCTGGCTCAGTTAAATTCGTGTGAATGAGTTCGGATCGACCAACACGTTCTATCCGTCTGCCTCGCGAGCGTAAAAATGTTTGAAGATCGTCTCAGGGAAAAACGTCGATCTTCACATTCGATGGACTAAACGACTAAATTACAAATTTGTATCATAATGTATATTTAGCCTTGTTCGGGAGAAAATTTATTAAAACTGCTTCTTGGTCTGAATCAGTTGATTGGTTCGACGCGTCCAAAGTTCGACGTCTGACCCAACAGACAATCTTAACGTAATTTATGTCGACCCAAATTATTTGGAGTTTGGTTCGTCTCATGAAAAGTTCCTCTTTTTGCCTAGGCCTTTAAGTTTTAAGATACGAATCAGACTTTAACCAAGGGAAAATGACAGCTGAGGACTTTATAAGAAACGAATTGAGACTGTTGTTCCAAGATATCGTAGGGAATTAGACCACAGTTATGTGATTAACTTTTGTAGGTTGAATGTTAAAGTGAACGTTACGATAACGCCAACGTAATGACGCAAACGTTTGTGCCCATAAAAACAGAGACAGCTAGTGCTGTGCTGGTGTTTCCTTAAAAGGTATACCATTGGATTCAAGAATTTACAAAGGAAATGTTACTTCTCCAGGAGAGTGTGCTGATTTTGACAAGCAATGTGGAGGGATTTTTACAATAGCCACGTGCAAATCGCACCCCGAACTGATGGAAAAGAAGTGTCCCAAAATGTGCAACCTGTGCAGTAAGTTGTTCAATGTGGACTCTCTCGTAAATTCCTAATAAGCCATTATTTGGCAGTGGCTATTATAGTACTTATAATGGATACCATTTAGTGGCATAACCCGGAGCCGTTGGGGGGAATTTTTGCCTTCACGATAAAAAAAAGGAAACAAAGAGAACTTAAACGGAACTTTTTTTACAAAATTATTTAACTAAAATAAACATAAGAACCGTGCACATTACGAAAAATTTTGATTCAGAAAATCCAGATTAAATCATGACGAATGAATGCACTTTCCCCTTAACGATTATTGATAACATTTTTTCTTTAACTGTCCTTATTTTACTTTACATGACTGTCTTTCTATTTTTTCTTTTCCTTTCTTTTTTTGTATTCAAGAATGTGTAATGCAATGTCAAAACGGCGGGACTGTCAATAAGCAGAGCTGTACTTGCTCGTGCCCAGTACCTTGGACAGGCCCGGATTGTTCAGGTACAGTGTTGCAAACTTCTAATCACTCTTGCAATGCAAAACCAGCGCGACTGCGAGCCGAGCCGAGGTGTAAATGTTTAGGTTAATCGCAGTGGTTCTGTGGTTTCAAAATAGTACTGATAATGATAGCTGATAATATACAATCGATGCGATTTTTGCAAAGATGCTGACTATCATATAAAGGGAAACTGTTCTTCTGAAAACGAGATCGTGCGTTGACGTAGATCCGCTGATGCAAAAAGTCAAACAATTAAAGCAAACAACATATATTGGTCTATTCTAAATTCCTATTTATCGCCGCAAAATAGTGCTGACTGAGCGACCGATTTCATTAATTGAGCGTTACGGTCAACCGAGTTCAGCTCAGTTCATCTTTCCAAGTGAAAATAATTAGTACTGGACTTCAACAAAGGTTCTTCTTGAATTTATATTCCATGATTATTTCGTTCATTTTAACATTTCATGAAACCTGACCTGACGGATCCCTAACCTAGCGTCATATCTCGCATCCTTTATTCGTAACAACAGATTGTAAGAAACACAATCGCAATGCACTGTGAGAAGACGTTCACTCCATCCTCCTCTGATCTTATATAAGAAGTAAAAAACTCAAGGAGGTTACACTAAACCTTTACTACAGTGCATGGGTATGGGCAGTATATAAAGATTTGCGTGTCTTCTGGTTAGGACTTTTAAGTGTTTAATAATTGCAACTACATGTAATTATATTTAAGAATTTTTACAATTTAATTCGGGTTATTTAAGTTAGTGAAGTCTACCTATTGTCATTTATTTTGTTATTGTTTGTTTCCAATGCAGTGGTTTGTAAAGACACCTGGACAGGGAATCCTCCATGTTCTGATTTAATCAAGTGGAATAAGGCGAACAATGTTGATGTATGTATGCAACAGTCCGTGAAGGAAACCTGTATGGCCTCTTGTATGATTTGCGGTAAGGAATTTCCAAGACAGTCTATACAGCTTTTTAAACCAGACGTAAAATATAAACAATAATGATTGCATGCGTTCGTTTGCTGAAGGACAGCATCGAATGACTGTCATTTTACGAGATTTTAAAAAAGTACTTTGGGGCTGAAATAAACCTTTTGAATTTACAATTTAAGGATAATTATATTACGTCCCAATGGCAATAAAAGCCTTTGTTCTGCCTCTTGCGGAACCAGCATGAGCAAAAATTTCTTCCACACCGCGCAGTACCTATAGGCTTATCGGAAACTACCCTGATTGCCTTATTTAAAGGAATTTCGGAAATTTCTTTGAAATTTAAAGATGTTATTGCCTAATAATAATTCATAATTTGGTGCTGTCTTCTTCACCTTCAGATGACGGTAGCGGCAAATACACCACCACAGTGGCTCCTCTAACTACTTCTACTCCCAGTAATGCACCGCAAACTACAGGCAAGTATTCGCGGGTCAATTGCTATTCTCCAACCCCGCACTCATTGCATCAGTACTAATCAAATCCCTCTTTCTTGCGATCGACTAAGACTATCCCATGATCTTTTCAATCACGTTTTGAAAGTGAATGAAACTACTATGAGATAATTAAAAATTTGTATCTAAGAATCCCTTCGCTTTTAAAGATAACGTCCGAACATTACGATTTCCAGTTTTACACTGAATTTGCAATCATAAAAACTTCATCTAAAAATATCTCCATTACGCTGTCGTAGATTTAATTCGCTTAAAATTTGAGATCATCCAGGCAGCTATTGGAGTAAAAAGCTTCCGTGAACGATTTTGGAAAAAAAGTTCCCTGTGCCGAGAATACGGCTGCATAGATAATGGCGGCATTTCGTTGCTATGACATTTAACACTGATCGTAACAAATTTTCATCTTCATCTAATACAGCTGTTTACTAATTTTTCTAAATCTTTATTTTCTGAATTGTGACGTAGCTAGCGCTCAGACATGGGAGGTATTGACCCTAAAAAATCCCATCGAGCCACCTTAAAACCATTTTGAAGAAGGCAGTCATTGTTTCATCTTTCAGTCAACCCTTGTTAATCATTAACCACTTTCTCTCATATAAATCTATTATACCTGTATATACGTCTGCAGTGGTTAGCCCAACAACTAAAGCTCCAATCGGACCCTCACCAAATACAATGACGAAAGGGCCTGCTTCAACAGGTGAGAGCTTGGGTAGTTATATAGCAATAAATTACGTCTTTCTGAAAAAGCTCGTTAGTTTTGTCGTAAAACGACAAACTGTGTCAGCTATAATTATCTTTAGTTGCCACTGTTGTGTCTTGTATGACCGGTTATGACGCGGAAAAAAGTTGTCCTCGGATGTACAAGCAAACAGATACTCCCGCGCAGGTGCAAGGAAGAAGGGCAGCTAAAAACCTGCCTTCCCTGGACTGTAAAACGGTCGTTTTTTAAATCGTTTTTTACTTTTTATGTTTTTTTTTTATCCGGGTTTTTCAAGGAGTTCAACATAAATCACCTAAAGAGCACCACTTCAAAGCTTGAGCCCCTAAATGGGCGGCCATTGCTTGGTTTTTGGCTGAAATTGAAAAGGGCTACAATTCGACAAGTTTTTTTTTTTTTTTTTCAGCAACAATTGATAAGGTAAATGTTTATGGCTTTTATTCAACATTCTTTAAAGAAGCTAAAAACCATTTTGAATAATAAAGCCAATATTAGGCAGTGACTGCACCAGCTTTAAACTACAGTACAAACCCTCTTATAAGAACCTACATTTTTTGAAATCAGGCAAAAAAGATTTTTTTGTGTTTTGCATGGGTTATATAGTTGTTGGCAATGTGGCCTTAGCATGTTCTTATAATTATCTTCTTAACTTTTCTGTTGATTGCCCGAAAAACAAATAAACTTGCATGGGTTTGATCCTTAAATTTAAATTTATTCACTTGATCACAGAATGTACTCTTATTTCTACAACAAGAGCTGTATATTAAAAAACAACTTAAATAAATAAGTAAAGTTAACATTTATTTCAGTATTTTTTAATATAATTTATCTCAAGGCATGTGTTCAAAACAAGGCCCAACACTGCGCGAGCTCTGCTTGCATTTCCGGTTACGATACTTTCTGATAATTGAACAGATTTAAAATATAAACAAAGAACTGTAAAAAAGAAAAGAGAATATATTCAAAGGACGTGCCTGCCCTCGTGATCTGACCGAGTTGATGACAAGGGAGAGAAGGAAGAATTTCTAGGGCAAATAATAAATAACCTTAATATATACGTACTTAACCCTGACACCGCCCTACAACCTCATTGGCTAGATTTGCAGTAACTGGCACAGCCTGACCTGGCGAGTTATCATGTGAGTACCATGCCTTGACATATATTATATTATGTCTGCCATAATGTCTGGTTTTAATCTGCAAAATCGAAGTCAAACTCCTTGGAAAAAATCTTTCTCATACTCTAACTGTAACCCAGATATAAAAACCTGCTTGATCTTGCTCAGCTTAACAGATTCTTATATTTTTGGGCATTGAAATGACAAATTTCTGCCAGTAGATTCTTACACCACTAGGTTCTTACACGTAGGTTTTTACTGTATTCGTAATCATTAAGCCATACAAACATTTTTTTATCCTTGAACGTCAGTGATAAGCCCAACAACTGCGACCCCAGTGCCAATGACGAAAGGACCTGCTTCACAAGGTTGGAACATTACTACTTATACATAAAATGTACGTGTGTAATGTATTCCTCAGAGCCATATTCCACCAATCTAGATGTTCCATTATGCTCTTTCATGACTCCCTGATAAATCAGCCAGTGAAAGCGGAACTCTTTAGTTTCGTCACAAAACGAAAAACTGTGGCAGCTGTTACTGGCAAAGGATGGTTCGTGTAAAATAACTCTTTATGATGTGAAAATTGTACCAGCCCAATCCTCGAGTAGGACCCTGAAAAGGAGGTTGAACCTGGCCTCAGACGCGCATGCAAGCTCATAGTCCCAGGGGGATGCAGTGGAGGAAGCAGCTGAAACCCAAATAATTATTGAAACCCTCAATTTTATCAAAATCTGCCCTCTTTTTTGTGTGTTTGCTTTCTTTCTATATGTTAGCCTGAGTATCAGGTGTTTCTGGGGAAAAAGGGGAAAGATGGAAGCGAAAAAGGGAGAGAGCTGAAGGAGAAAAACGCCCTTCCTTTCTCTTCTCCCCCGTCCACCCTCCCGCATCTAAAATCCCCTCTCCCCTAGCCCCTTAGGAAGGCGTGATACGCAGCCTATCTATGTGTCTTCGTTCCCGATATTTTTAATTCTTCGCTCAGCGTAACGCAGATATAAATACCGGCTTCTGGCTTTCAAAAGAAATGACATTTGTAAGGCGAACCAATAAACATACACTAAGAGCCAATCTCTTTCATGTATACACTTTGTTAGTTTGCAAAGCCGATAAAAATCCGAGCTGTGAGGCGTGGGCAGCACGTGGAGAGTGCGAAAAAAACCCGACATGGATGCTACCAAACTGCTGTGTCAGCTGTAAATATCATCGGGCACCGAAAGGTAAATGTGTATTGTTCTTGAGTTTAAAGTATCCACTTGACAACTTAAACTTTTTATTAAATAGTATGCTTTTCTTCGCATCTTTTCTAAATCACATCAGTGCTGTTCTAAATTTTATCGTTGTTAAATCGCATTTGTTGCTCTAAATCGCTTAATTTCCGTTTTCCATACAAAATGAGCCCATTTGAAAGCGTTTCCGCTCCCGCTTTTTTTCTCTTTTATATACTGGCTCAATGTAAAAATTGGTTCTTGGTACTTCTATTTGCAAGGGTGATTAGATTGACTTCCCCGATTTCAAAACGGGTTAGATGTAATAAAGTTGTTTGCAGCAATTCTTAAAACGCTGGTTTCGATTATAGAGTTGAATCACCGAGAACCTTTTCCCTTTACAGCTTGCAATGATTCGAATCCTGACTGTCCTCGCTGGGCCTACTTTGCTGAATGTGAAAGGAACAAAGATTGGATGCTAGCCAATTGCCGGAAAAGTTGCAATCAATGCGGAGGTAAAACCGATAACAAGAAGTATTTTGCCGTAAGCATCTTAGCGATAAAACAGCCATTCTGTAACTACTTCAAGGGAAGCCCTCCGCCTTGGGCAGGTACTGAAAACTGAGTTTAACCCATGTCAGTCAAAGTTTACCACCCCTGTTATAAACGTACTATTTATCAACAACAATGTTAAGAAGGAATAATTGTAAAGGGCCAGTAGAAAAACATTTATCTACTTTCATAAATTCTATTTAACAACAGATCGGAGATTTTAATTACTGAATAACACTGCGCGGTCTTGGTGACACTTCGTCTTTTTAAGTAGTAACCAGCACTTTGTACGATATTTTGGCTTATAAAACTCGCGGATAAGATGGGGGCAAAGAGTAAAAGAAGCTAGAGTTGCAACCATAAGATAAACTCGAAAGTAAGAGCTGAGCTATTCACCATTTGAACCTTCTGATCATCACCACTTCATATTGATTCAAAGTGGACAGACTGCAAATTATAATAGTTGCTCAAAAATATATATTAAGTTTGCCTTGTTGTTTTACATCGTTTGTTTAGAATGTAAAGACACAGATCCTAGCAGCTGTCCTTCGCGGGTCAAAGAACTCGGAGGGTGTGGTCCTCAAAATAAGGCTGGGGCAAATTTGATAAACAGAGAATGTAGAAAAAGCTGTGGACTTTGCAGAGGTGAGACTGATAATTGTCGCTTCACGAGCCTCATCATTTGAATTTTTGTAGTTGCGTTTAATACATTTCAATAATTCGCCGCTCACATTCCCTATATTGTCATCATGAGCTCCTCGAACCCTCAAGGATCTCTATCAAGCAGGCATTGGTAAGGACCTACTGAATAAGCGAGTATACTTTGTAAAGCTTGATTTTAATTTTAATTAGTGTAAAGAGGAAGACAAAAATGGCCTTTAGTCTTCGTTTACTTCAAAACAATGAATTCTTTGGATAAAAGTTTTATATGCCTTTGTATTCATTGATATTCTAAAATCAACCTTTCAATGTTTTCCTTTACAGTTTATGACAGACACGCAGCGTGTCCGGCTTGGGCAGTCACAGGGGAATGTGACAAGTCCAACTCTAGCTGGATGATGGATAACTGTCCTCGAAGCTGTAATGTGAATGGTGGGTATCAAAGATTTTTTAACTCAAAGTCTAGCAGGTCTCATTATAAATAAGTAAGGACAAGTATGGAAAAAAGCCATCATGGCTCTTTGCATGGGCTAAAGCACACATCACCTTTGGCACGCGCATATGCACGATTTGCAAAAAATGATACACTGTGTCTTAGTGTATATTTCGAGTATATCGGTGCAAGAAATGATTTCCAGCAAGAGATTAAAGAGACTAATTGAAGATGCTAACTAGCAAATATCATCTTGAATTAAGAAACGTTCAGTTAACTATCATGACCATATTATGGAATGTAAACACGAGGTAGAGGAGATAGTAGTACAGGGCGGAACGAGTTAGCCTTTTTTGCGGTGATGGAAGTCTCGTCGATAACCTGCGGAGGAATACATATGCATTACATAAATGTTACAGATTTTTGTGTAAGTTTATAAGGTCATAAGATACGTTTTAGAGATTGTAAATCGATCATGTAATGCTACATTTTAAACCATGGGCGTCATGTCCTAATGTAGTGGAGGGAAATAAAAAATAAATAAAAAAATGAGGAAGGGCAAAATTCCAATGCGGAGGAGTAGAAAGGGGAGTGTAGGGTATAAGTGAACAATCATGTTTTGTGTAAGAAAGAGCTTCGTCCTCATTAATAGAGATGAGTAAATAAGGACTTGTTAAATAAACTATGAAATGATCGATTTAAAACCAGTCAAACTAGTTAAACTGCCAGAAATAAGCACTTCAGTGACGTCCGTCATGATATTAATGTGAATCGCCCGCATTTTATTCATGAAATAAAGACAAAAGGTTAGGATGTGATTTCCCTTAAAAAAGTGTTAACTGGTCTTGTGCTTTTGTTCTGACATACAAAATAATTCGTGTGGTTTTGGAAATTTTTTGCCACGAAAATCATAAATTGAAATGTGTGTGATAAAATACCCTTCATTTATGAAGTGTTAAAAGCATTTGATTTCTCTTGCTTCTTTACAGTTTATTTTTGCATTTTTTAAGAAAAAAAGTCAATAAATCTCTACCTATATTTTAGTGTCAGAAGTCTTGTTCTGTGGTGGAAAACGAAACGGCCATTATCAAGCTCCAAGGAACTGCAAATCGTACATAGCCTGTTCGCATGGCGTCACCAGTCACGTAGCATGCCCCTCAGGAAAGGTCTTTGACACCTTAAAACGAATTTGTGAATCTCCAATTAATTCTACTTCTACTTGCAAGTTGCAAGATGCCGTCGAAGAGTCAAAATGGAACATAATTTGGACGCTCAAGAGAGGTTCAGTCTCTGCGAAGACAAATGCCCCTTCCACAAGTAAAGACGTTAATGCACAGTGAACTACAGTTGCTTTAATTTTTTAGTTAACATAGTTAATCACCTACAAAAGTACAGTAAATTTTTAGCATCTGAAACCTGAAATTTCCTTCGTCATCTTCATTTTTTAAAAATCAAAATTACATGTTTTTGCTTCCAATCCACAACTCTTACTCTAAAGGCAAAAAGCTAGTCGTCAGACCAGAATTATTGTGTGGAAAGGTAAGAAATAAAAAGTTCTCCGGTCAGTACTGCAGTTCACTTTGTCTATCCCGTAAACTTTCTGGGACAAAGGCGGTAGGTGGCAATCCTCTCTAGGGGGACATAATGCCCCAGGGTATACGGGGAGGTGGAAAGACCTCCCTAAGGGTCTAATCCCCGATTTAATGTGTTAGAAATGTCTATAGAGTGTCACCAGAAACCTATCTTTCCCACTCCAAACTTGGGAGTGAAATAAATCGCTAAAAAAGGTAAAACGTTTTTTATGGAAAATTCCACTGAGTATCTATCTTCTTGTTTGAATATTTTACCTGAATTCCCATACAAATCCTTCATGTTCACTGCCATTTTGAAGATTACACAATATCGTACCGCACCTAATTAAAAATTGAACTCTCATACTGTGCTTGGCTGCCTGTGCTTTCGCATTAGAAATGTGCAATATCTCAAAGAATCGTGTAAACGTGTCGTGCTTTGGGAAACCATCTCAAGTTAGTGCTCTGATTTTTTGGCCAGAAGCTGACCTAAACACGAACTGAAAACAGACCCATAAAGCCGAACCTTAGGACGATCACCAGCAACCTTCTAAACTGAACAAAACGCTTTTAACATGCTTTGTAGTAAGCCCTTAAAAGTTTAAAATTTTTGTTCCTCATTCGATCACACGGTCATCCACGTCATTTGGAATTAAAAGGGGTGTCCTGCAAAGTTAAATAATAATAATAATAATAAAAAGTATCTTTCCAATGTCCTCGTGCGACTCAGTAGCTTGAGTATTTTATTACCAAGACGTAACTCTAAACAGTTCTATGGGAAGCAAAGCCAGTGTCACGTTTATAACTTTAAGTGTTGTTGTAAAGGCTGATTAAAGTGTTGTAGGCCCCTACTCAGTCGGGTATATAAAATACAAATTTAATTCAAGCCAGCTTCGGTAGATATTTTGGGTCTGAACACCATAAAAAATAAAGTGGGGAATTAAAGACGACCTTTCAGGAATTACGCAAATCTTCACAGAAAGCGTCCTCTTAAGTCCAGGCCACATACAATCAATGGAACGTAACGTGACAGTCAGAAAATATTATTGCATATATAGGACCTTTCCAATGATGTTTGTTTTTCCAGTTCGATAACACTGTGAACCCGAAAAAACCTTTCCTGTGATACGACTTTTCATTTTCTTATGAGGTTACGTCAGTCATGCTAGTAGCCCGTTCTAGGTGATCAGATTGTGAGGATGGAGCAAAAAGATGTGAGCAGGTCCAGGCGTTATGCAGATTGTGGAGATGGCGCAAAAAGAATGCTAGAAACGGCCTCATCACCTTAGTTCTTGAGTTTAAACCTAGATTCAGTGAGAGAACAGAGGAATTTCTATAGTTTTCCTATTTGGATGGCGTGGGTTGGTTCTCTGACAGAATGAAGACATTGCGGCTCAAGAACTAAAGTTGGTGAAACTGTTTCTGGTATGACGGACATATTTGATATTTGTCAATATTCTCACTATAACTGTATCCAGGGCTCAGTTGTTCGAACGCCGGTTAGCACTAACCCGGGTTTCTTTTCATCAAAAGCACTCTATCGAATGATTTTCTCTACTCTTTTTTAGAGTATCCAATCGTGAAATTGTGGGCAAAGAGAATTAAACTGAATTTGATTTTTAAGCTTTCATATCTGAGTTCAAATTTCGCTCTAACCCTGGTTTATCTTAACCCAGCTTCGAACGACCCGGTCCAGAGAGCAGTTTGCCGAATACAATAAATACAATATGACTAAACTTGGCAACCGAGAGAAAAAAGCTTTCTCTTAATGGATAACTGAAGTGTTCTTGACATTTGGCTGCGACCCAGTCACAGGAGCCCATATCGCCTCCTGGCAACGATGATCATGAGACAAGAGTGGCTCTCAACGCCTTAATTCACCACTTTTGTATTTGACACACAATGCACCTCGTTTGTCCCTGAAATTTTGCAGAACGCCCACCGTTTCCAGTTTCGTCTGAATCTCTGTCGAGAGTAATTGAAAACAATCATATGGTTATGGAAAAGTTTCGTTGGACAAACAAGATATATTGAGGGCAATGCGAATTTCTGACCTTTCGATGTTTTCCAACGAGTCAGGGTTACTTTAATCTAACCTTTTTAAGCGGGTACCTGAGTCCGTGGAGTACTTCTAATTGTTATCGGAACTTGTTTTACTTGTTCCTTTTCTGTTTTTCTTTTTTAATCCTGGTATTGTGAATTACGAACTTCGTAAGTTAAAGTTTTGTCTTCTTTCTGAAAAGCATCGTTCCCTTGCTGTCGATTTTGTCGCCCAACAGTGTGTTTTCGCATACGATCACAAAAGACGTTATAATTAGGTCATTAACGGACCACTTGGTGAGCGTATGATCTACTGTTTAAAATTAATGAAAAGCAGAGAACCTTTAAACGAAGCGGAGCTAACATGAATCGGGGTTTATTCATGTTTCCACAAGGAAGACCTAGTTGTCAAGGCATGCCTTGGAAATTAACTCCTGTTATTATACTGTGCTTTGTTATACAGTTTCAGTCTAAGGACAGGGCAGTTAAAGCAACTGTCGTAAGAGTCGACCTAAACCCGCCAACGAGAGCAGATTTTGCTACTTGCAAACTAACGCCGGAATTAAAAGAGAAGTTTGTGGACGATCATAATAAATTTCGGTCAAATGTGACACCTTCTGCTGCAGACATGGAATACTTGGTAGGTATTTACTGCTAATAAGAGAAGAAAACATATCGTTTACTGGACACAGTTTGGTGGTTAGTTAGTTTTGGTTGAAAGGACTTCAGGGCCCGTTTCCTCGAAAGAAGGTTAAGTTTAACCCAAGATTAATCCAAATTTTACGCACAGTTTTCTTGTCTACGACCATGTAACTCAAGCTTACAAAATACTGTTGAGCATGCACTCTCAGATACAGTAATGATAACATAAAAATGTTAGAAATACTCTAAGCAACACATAGGAAGGTAAATACAAAAAGTGGAACAAAATTTTAATCCTGGGTTAGCGCTAATCGGGCTTTCAGGAACCGGACCCAGGGTCAGATTTGCTACATTTTAGAATGGTTTCTGTTAGGGCCGATCAATAATGACTAAATAATTATAAGTTGCGACCCCCGTTTTTAGTTATACTTGCCGCCCTCATTATAAGATTCCATCTCCACAAGTGAAAGTGAGCTGGTTCAGTCCTTTATTCTCTTACAGGAGAGGGATAAAGGTTTTATGAATTACTTATTTTTCACCATATCTTTTTCTTTCTCTTTCAGTTTTGGGATGAAAATCTGGGGAATTTGGCTCAAATGTGGGTAAATAAATGTCAATGGTGGCATGGTTTCCTATACTTTGGCCAAGAATATCCATTACCTTTGAATTTGAAAGGAAGAATGGGTAAGTTTCTATCATGCCTAATATAGTTCCTTACCTTAATTTAGTATTCGTTGAAAATAATTTTCGTTTTTGATTAGCTTATACATGCCTGGCTAATTTGAATGGAAAGATGCTTGCTATTTTTTGAAGCACGGAATTAATTTATGTATAGGTTGCTGACATCAGTAATGGAATAATTATAAAAATCACCCACCACTGACACACATGGCAGTTGTGTGGCAGCTAAACTGTTTTGGCTTTCTGCAGTTCAAGAAATTGCGGATGATTTTCCAGACGCTATAGAAAACGAAAAAAAGCGGAATTGCTTCCTAAAAATAGATGGCTAGAATTCTCAGAAAATCCTACTCGATGGATAGCAACTTCGCTTGAAAGGCTGAAGATCGAGATTGTAGGAAAATAGCAATCTTTTTCAGTTTTCTCTCTTCTTTATCTCTGTCGTTTTTTTGTTTCTTAGTATGCTAGCAAACTCATCAAAAAGGGAATAAAAGCTCGCACTGTTCACACTTACGAATAGCGTATTGACTTTCGATAGGATTTACTAAAAAATACGCAAAAATGAACCGTCCTATCACTAATTTTGTGCTGTCGATTAATCATGACATGTTTAAACATGGCCCAGCATGCTTCATAATTAAAATACTTCAAGTATATTTAAATTCAGCATGATTGCGAGTCTTTGCAGGACACAAACAACGAAGATAAATAAACACATTATTTTATTCATTTCTCATGTTTGGTGTCCTCCAGAACTCGCTATAAGATGTATTTTCTTAAAAAGTGGGCAGTTTTTAATGCCGTCATTTATATAGTAATACTAGCATGAACAGTTTCTCTCTTGCACCCTTTCTATACTTCCATGACAGCTTCTTGACAACTGGCTCTCTTTTTGATTCTTAAGGCCAGAATCTGGCTAAAGATAACTACGACCTCCCAGATCCAACGACCCGCGTGAAGAAGTGGGACGACGAAGTAAACAACTTTCGGTATGGTAGCAAAACAGGCTTTTGCGTGAATCCACCTTGCGGACATTACATACAGGTTAAAAAGGGCCTACTAAACCTAACATTGTTTGTATATTAATTTGCTCGTTGATTCTTATTCTTTTACTTTCATTGTTCTGGTTTCCACAAGTTGCTCATACTTCCAGCAGCTTTTTTCTGTCTACTAATCTACAAAAGTATTTTCTTTCGATTCTTGAATTCTGAACAGTATACTCGTGTTTAAATTACGAGAAATGAGGATAGATTTATGTGCAAAAATTCGGCCTCCGGCATATATGTTACCAATGAATTTCTAATAAACTGTTCCGACGACGCACGCCCATTACGAATACTCACCGATGACTATATATCAAAAGTTGACGAAGGCGTTTTAAAAAATTCGAAGATTACGAAAAAATAAAAATCTTTAAAAAAAATTACTAGTTGCAGTTAACTTACATGACTTTCAGGTGCTAATACTTGGATTATATACTTTTAGAATATTTTTTAAAAATATATTTGACGACAGTTACATCCTGGCCAAACATTCATCATAGGCAACTTGTGGATCCAGAGGGAAAAAGAAAGTAAATCAACTTTTCACCTCCCTGTAAGCAGAGCTTCCTTTTGTCTTCTTGAGTGTGGAGGAAAAAGAAGGTTCTGTGAGGTTCTGCCTGAATCAAGTTAAACCTTTGAGGTCGCCGAAGCCCAAACTTCTGCCAGACAATCTTGTTCTCTCTCGTCAAGCTGTTTTTTTTTTTCCGAGTGTGAGCATCCGTTTATTGATAAACCGATAGTCATAGCAAGCACACGGCTGTTAGGCTTGGTTTCGAATCTTACTCGATTCATGCACGGTCTTTCTTGAGTAAGCCAAAAGCGAGCAAGCGAAAGAAAAGCTCTATTGACAGGTAGACTTTTCAAATGCAAGATTCCATGTTTAAAGTCACTGGTTAAGCAACTCCGGCAACAGCCCATGGTACCATGGTTTTTAATTGCCAACTAAGTCTGACTATGATCGGCGATTGCATGACCGACAAGCTCTGATAGCTATCAGTTAGCGCACCATGGTCGTAAACTCGTACACGCTGGGGCAATTTATCTACGCATGTCTATCTTATCCTTCCCGAATCACTCTTTTTTCAAAATCTACTATCTTTCAGAAATACGTACCATCGCTGCAACTAGTGTTAGTATTTAGATAGAATAAATGTACCGTAGCAAGTTGCAAAGACCTGAGATGGTGACCCCGACCAGTTAAGCTAGTCGCTAGTATACCCGTCCGTTAAGTTTCGTGCAATCAGATCCTGAATCATAGCTGACTTTTTTTCAGTTGACTTGGGCGAAAGCAAAGTATGTTGGCTGCGCCGTCAACTTATGCCCTAATTTTGGTGATGGTCAAAACAATGGTGGATCATTTGTTGGTTGCGATTATGACAGGTAACTAGTAGTAGCTCTAATTATTTGCATCTGATGGAGGCATTTGTTGCATCTCACAATCAAACAGCCAGAATATACTGCATTTCTATTTAAACATCAGCCTAGTTTAATGGTCAGAGCAACTAGACTTGTAATTCAGAGGCCCGATCCTAGTGGTCGATATCTCGCCCAGACCGCTTATGGATTTATTCTCGTTTATTGCTGAGCCCTGAGTTTAAATCCGGAGCTACGCATGTAAAATATCCAACTTGAATAATTAATTAACTGTCCATTTTTTTTCCACATTTGACAGGGCAATTGCCTTCTGCATCTAGGTAGAAGCTTCAATCTTTGATTTGCTAGTCGAATGTTTGTTAGCAGATTATTTCACTTTTTCGGGGACTTAACCGCAGTCAGTGCAGGCTGTAGCAGATATTCGTAAGGTGTCTCCTCATTGGTCGCGGAAAACAATAACGCAACATTGTTTATCATCATTTCGATCGTTTTACTGTTAGGGATCGTTACATAAAGCCCTTTCATTTTCAGTGATCTGGTATACCTTAGCTTGCACTTCAAATTATAGATATTATGTTCTGCTCCTCATTTACGGCATTTCTAAGAACCGTGATGTCAGATTTCAAGGACACACCTTACCAAGCAGGCACACCATGTACCAAATGCGCTTCAGGTTCTGGATTCTGCTACAAGAATCTGTGCAGTAAGTAGTCACCGCCTTCCAAACATAAGTTTAAATGGGAGACAGGCACCTTGCTTGGTGGACCTTCAACCCTGGTTTTTGCAAATTTTCTATTATCGATCAGGCTGAATGGGATCCGAGTCAATTCGTCAAGTGATTGCGTCTCTAGGAGCTAAAGTTAAGCCGTTCGCAAGTTGTATTGATCCTTCCTTTTCAATTCGAAACCTGAGGTCGGTTTAGAATGGACTTCACAATGTTATTTGAAAATAACAAGCGACTTAGAACGCCAGTGAAGTGGTGTTAATCTTTTGAGGCTTAAATAGCAAAGGGCCAAAGATTCATACCACTATAATTTGAGCAAAATTTTTTGACCTTGAATTAAAAACTAGTAAGTAATATTTTGGTGTTTTTAAAGGCCAACTAATACGACTAAATTAACAGATATTTCAACCGAAATCTTTCTTTGTCAGGAGATTGTGCTGATTTTGACAAGGAATGTGGAGGGAGTCTAACACAAGCCATGTGCAAATCGGACCCCGAATTGATGGAAAAGAAGTGTCCCAAAATGTGCAACTTGTGCAGTAAGTTGTTCACTGGGTGAAATTTCTTGTAAATTCCTTTAGTCATAATCTTACAGTGGCTATCATTTAAATCCAACGATACATTATGTTTACAATGGTTGGAACATCAATGACACTAGATATACGATATAGTCAGCTTAATTTGCGGCAGGGCAGGGATACCACCGTCTACTGAAATAATGTGACACCATTCTTCCGATTTAAAGCAGAATGCTCGATTCACAAGAAGTGTCCCAAAATGTGCAACTTTAGACTTTCAAAAAAGTCCTTCGTCGGGTTTCAAATGGCGCGGGACGAAGGACTTTTCATACTTGATTGGCGCTAATTTTACCGACCCAAAAACGGGTCGGTGCGCTTGGACCAATCAGAGTAGCTCCCAAGGACCCTTGGGGGATAAAGCTGTCACTCACAAGTAATAAGCGCATTGAGACGTGACTTGCAGTTCCAATTCAAACATGGGGTAGATTGCGAAGTGGAAGATGTTGACAGGCCAAACACGACTCAAAAGCTCGTGATAGTGTGATACGTGACCTTATAGTTTTGCTCTAACGAGGATATCTCCCAGCGATTTTGCTCTTTTATATGAAATTATGGGAGGCTCGTTGTATATTTCTCTCGGTGGTGGTTGATCTTGAATTAAGTGCCATTTGCTCATTAAAATGTTTTTAAGGTTCTGCAAAGCAGGGTGGTACGTGGTAACGAAAGGCAGAGTTTTCTTTCGCACTTCATTGTTCTTTTGTAAAGCTGACTTCCGTTCGGTAAATTGAACCTCAGAGGTGATTTTTTTCTATGAGATTGTGAGGGTAACCTTTAGCGCGAAGGCGTTTTTTTGAAGTTGTAGATGTTTTCATAGAAGGGTTTAGCTGAGGAGTTAGTTCTCAGAAGTCTAAGGGCTTCGCCCTTTATTAGACCTTTTCTGACCCCGTGAGGGTTACAGGAAGAGAAATGCGTTTATTGAGAAGTCTTTGTAGGTTTAAAATGTGTGCGGATGTCAAGGATTCCTGGGTTGTGAAATCTCCTTTCCCAGTATTGACTCGAGATTGAAACAAGTTTTTGTTTTTTTCCGGCCCCCTGAGGTTGCCAACTTTCGCCTAAAATCATTGTTAGAGACAAATTTCGCACAAAGTAAACAAATTTGCTCCTTCGATGATGGAGATACACAAACTCGTTCAATAGATTTAGCTGGAGTGGAATCAGCACATTCCGCCATTGAAGTCATGGACTCACAAATAAAACCTGAAACCCCAAATGCGAGTCACGCCACTCACCATTTTTGGCTCGAAATGCAAATGAAAACCCATCAAACGAGACAAGTCGACCTCTCGCGACTTTGTCGCTCGTTGTTTGGCCGCTTCCCGGCCAAACAAGGCTCGCTCCGCTCGCCAAGAAGTAGACTTGTAGCAAGTCTAGTGCAACTTGTGCAGTAAGTTGTTCACTGGGTGACTATATTATATCTACACTGGTTGGAACATCAATGACACCAGATATACGATATAGTCAGCTTAATTTGCGGCAAGGCAGGGATACCACCGTCTACTGAAATAACGTGACGCCATTCTTGCGATTTAAAGCAGAATGTTCGATTCACAAGTAAAAACCCCCATAAATTAGTATTTAAAGATGCAATGAAGAAATAAAACAAAGCTCACATGTATACATGTCAAAAGTGAAAAATTGATGTTTTTGCACAAGTTTGAATTTCAGAAAAACGAAGACGAACTCATGATGAATGCACCCCTTTGACTTTTTACATAACTATTTTCCTTTTTTTTTTGTATGCAAGAATGTCCATTGCAATGTCAAAATGGTGGTACTCTGAATGCTCAAAGCTGTACTTGTTCATGCGCAGTACGTTGGGCAGGCCCGGACTGTTCAGGTACAGTGTATGTTATATAATGGTAAAATTAAAAGAAAAATGTTCCGTGCCGTCCATGTCATGTTGGAGCTATTCATGAGCCAAGTATTAACCGTTCAGAATTTCAGTGTGTTAGTTCAAAAATATCATACAATGCAAAACCTAGGGTGGTTCCTTCTTTCACATCCCTCAGCCTCCCTACCATGGAACTGGGTGACTCTGCATAAAGTGCAGTTTACTTGACGGTCGTGATTAATAGTGTCCAGGTGTTTTGGTGGATGACCGATCACATATCCCTTTAACTTCTTTTTACAAGTTTGATTCAGTAACTTATTTAAGTTAAAGTTTTCCTACAAGCATTAACGGTGATTTATTTTGGATTTTTAATGTAGAGGTCTGTCAAGACACCAGGACAGATTATCCTCCATGCAACTTGATGATCGAGTGGAACGGCAAAGATATATGTAAAGAAGAAGCCATGAAAACAACCTGTATGGCTTCTTGTATGATCTGCGGTAAGGAACTTTTAAGTCACCTTTTAAACAGATTTGAAGATCACACTTGTCGAAATGGAAGCACAAATGCAATGCACAATGCTTAAAAAAATGGCGTTGGTTGAAAGCTATTGGGAGACAGCAGTGTTCCAGCCAGAGCGCGCCATTGCGTGAATCCCAAAAGATCGAGAGATGGCCCCCACCAAAAGCGTTCAAGGGCCACTATGGCCCTTTCCTTCTTTAATTCCCTGGGCTTAAAAATGTCTCTGTTACTTCAACTACAATAATTTTCCGATAAAACAGAATTTTTAATCGTACCTTTATACACAACATGAAAATCAATCGATGAATCTTCTTGAGTTTACCTGATTTACCGTAAATGGTCTGGAGACCACTGAGCCTCGACTTCGCTTTTGTAATATCGCAGGAGCTGATGGGTATCCATCACGGCGTCTCGAAAAAGGAGGAACCTGACAAACGCATTTCGAGGTCATCGAAAGTTTTCTCTCAGTAAGTAACGAAAAAGTGGATTGGGGCGAAGCAGTTCAGAAGAAGCGAAAGGAAGCAGATCTTGACGGTGAAGTGGAAAATGAGATGAAAAAAATTACTTACTATTTTTATTGCATACATTTTTATTGTACTGTTTGCCTTATTACTGAAGATTTCCTCTATTGTGTAAAGAGGGATGCTCCATGTCAGCTTCAAATAAACTGCCAATCTCATTTCCTTAACTTTCCAACTGTTTCTTCTCTTTTGCATATTAGAAAGATACTGGTACATTGGCACTTTCTTGAAATATCTGGCCCCAAAAAATGGGTTGTAGGGGCCACTTTGGCCCTCAAGGAGAAATTTCTGGCTGGAACACTGGAGACAACATCAAATAAGCTTCATTTTTCGGGATGTTGAGATCAATACGTTATATTTAGTTATCGTGTTTATGGTTAATAAGGTGCTCCCTAGTGTCTATCAGCACTCAAAATTTCATTTTATGTATCCAACTTTAGATGATGGCAGTGGTAAATACACCACCACGGTAGCTCCTGTAACCACTTCTGCTCCTAATGCACCTCAAACAGGTAAGTACTCCTGATTAATTAGTGAATCTTATTAAAACCTGTTTGGGTTGTTTATTTCACTTGATTGGGGGAGAGGGGAGGGGCGGGGCGGCGGTATCGAGGTCTTTTAAAAATTTATTATGCATATCTGCCAGGCTGCTCAAACTATTTAACATTAATTTTAGAACTTCAATTTCTTTAAGGATTGTTTGGAAGCGTTTGACGCAAATGCGATTTTTGGACGTAATTAATATAGGGTTTCTATGGCAACCGTTTAATTTACAGACAGCTATGGGCTCCTGACCCGGCCTCCTGCCCATATCAGATGAATAAGCCACCAGCACTGTTAGCCTTCAGCCCCCTTCCCTTTCAAATTTGCTCCTACGAGCATGATAACGACAATCACCACAGGGAGCTGGGATGCTTTGTGCAATAAAGAAAGAAACCGTTGGCCTGTATGCCTGTGGCTGCCTTTCGGCTGTTTGGAGAGAAATTTGCTTTAACGAAGGGATAATTTCTCCCCTTCGTTTTCACTATCACTTCAGTCGCGTCAGGATCTGCAGACGACATAAACGTCTCGTGTTCCAAGTATTAACTATAAACCCGAAACTTGCTTCCCATGAGACTTATAAGACACTGTCAGTACTTAAAACTCAAGACGGTTATCGGACGTCTCCAGCTTCTGATGCATTACACGTTTAAAGCGATTGTGTTTTCAAACAGAACAGAGAAGCCGACTTCGCCTTGAAGCTAGTTTCTTTCAAAACTACCAAAAAAAGACACAGACGCCCAGGTAAATCCCTGGGTCGGAAGGATTTCCACATGAATCATGCAGATACCGAAGATGCAAGTCTTCTTCCTTAGGGGTAGAAATTGCAGATTTTGGCCTCACTTAGGGTGTTCAGGACGAAAATTCAATATTTTTACCCATTAAGTTATCGGTATTGGTTGTGTCTATAGAAAATTCTAAATTTCTTTAAGGGTCAAAAAGTCGGTGCCACAACCCAGATGGGTTTCCTCTAAGCCAGAGTTCCCCTCTCCGGAGATAAATCGTTTCTTTTTTTATTGTAATAATTCAGGCTCCGGATGTAATATGACACACCATTAAGGCAAAAAAAAAAAAAAAAGGAGGAGGAGATAAGAGCAAACAGAAATGATAAAGCGGTGTCTGATTTAGCTTTCAGCCATCCTCATTAGCCATTAACAATTTGTTTCTAAATAATTTGTTCTTATAATTGATCCGTATGTCAGTGGTTAACCCAGCAACTGCAGCTCCTGCAGTAAGACCAACGCAAAATATTGGGACGACAGGACCGGCGTCACAAGGTTAGAACGTATGAACAGCCTTGTTTCTAGGGTTCTCTCTGGGAACGAGGTTGACGTATGGATAGCTTAAAAAGTGTCGTCATTCTTTGAGCGTTCTATCTGTATTTATTCACAATCTTAATTGTTGTTCTGTTTATACTGTCCTAATGGAATCCAAGATTTGAAAGTGAAAATGGCTTTGGTTTCGAATCATTTGACTTACATACTGACATACCTTTAACATTTAATTAATTTTCAGTTCCTCTACTATAAGTTTGTTTTCACTCATGTGGTCAGCAACAGCCTTACTATACAAATTTGTTGAAACAAGTAAAGCTTTTCCATGAAAAATGAATTCCATCCACACAGAATTTTCTTGGTACAGCAACATGACCCCCGTTTCATTGTTCTTTAGACCACAATGGCCTCCGTGATGTCACGTGAAAACTATCTTTCAATGCTTTGTAAAAACTCATTTTAACAACTGAATTTGAATTTCCGAGTTCAAGAAACTCTCACTTTCAAAACGAGGCTAAGTATAAAACCTTTCTTGTGAGGATGAGTTTTATTTGCATGATAATTAAAAAATCATTTTCGATCGTGTCAACGGCTTTGCACCTAGCCTAGCTTTCAAACAGAGGCTTTGGGCAACTCCAAAATGGTCCATTGATTAGTTATTAACCACTGCCAGAAAGTTACAAAGTTGACGTTTTGAGGGCAAGCCGCGTTATCAGCGCGAATCATTGATTAAATGAGATCGATGGCCTAACTGGCACTTCGACACGTCAGCTTGTGAATCTTACTACGGTTGTAAATTGACTAATCAATTCAGTTGTTAAAAAAAAATCTGTACGTTTTGTGTTTAAAAGCCGATACTGATGTGAATGTCGTGGGTTCAAATCTTTACGAGGTCAAAGGATTTTTTCTGTACCATCGGTGGTCACTTTATTCCCTTTACTTAAGGGCTCTGACGCCTAGTGGGGTTTTTGAGTTATTTGTAGTTCTTGAATATTCATCAAAAAATTGATTCGCTATTCCGTCATTTGTTTAACAATACGCGGCACAACATCATATGTTAAAGTACTCTTTACCTTTTTACCTCGCCGTGAGTGTGACTTGCTCTTCTGGCATCAGGCCTTGTAGCCTAGGAGGGCGTGGGTTCGAATCCCATCGAGGTCAAAAGAATGACTTGTGTGGTATCCTGCAATTGCTATTACTAGGGCTTAAACACTCATTGGGTTTTGTGGGTTGTTTCTTGTATCACTTGAATTTCCATTCTCTGACTGCTCCATATCATTCCCTTTACTCTATAGTCCATCTGATTTTTATGGTAATTATGATTCAAGACCTGAGAACCAGTCTTATCAGAAACCGAACATTAAAAATAATGCTTAAAGGGCTTTTTCATATTTTCAGCTTGTACATTCGACCGTAATCCGAGTTGCGAGTCGTGGGCAGCTGTTGGAGATTGCGAGAAAAACACGGTGTGGATGTTACTGAACTGCTGTGTCAGCTGTAAATATCATCAGGCACCGAAAGGTAAATAATTTATAAACTTTTTACTAAAAATTTGAAGAGACGTCCTGAAATGAGGAAGCGGGGTATTGAATACTGTTTTTATTGATCACTGGATGTAAACTGATTGGTGTAAGCTTCGTTTACCTTAATTATAAAATAGATATATGTATGTTTGTGTTTCTTTATATATTAAAAAAAAAAAAGACTAACAAACAAAGGTGTTCTGCTTCTCGGCATAGAGTGCAAAGATTCATCTCCAGAATGCCCTCTCTGGGCCTACGATGGGGATTGTGAAACAAACAGAATATGGATGTTACCCAATTGTAGGATGAGCTGTAACCAATGTGGAGGTAGGAGCTATCACAGTTGTAGTACTCGTTCCTAAGCATGTCTAATTGAAAGCAACTTAATGGTAAATCTAATATGACTGAATGGGTTCGAATGTGATTATCAAGATCAGAGTGCTGGTCGGATCGCTGTTACTTAGGTTTCTTTGCTAAGACTTCAGTGATGATTCGTCAAAGACCGAATTCAAATTAGTAACTTATACGTAGCCTAATGAGCTAAATTTTCTTAATCGGTCCGTCAAAGGTTGTACTGTCATTCCAAGGTTGTTCTGTCCTTTTTATCCTTGATGAGGACGTTTGTAAGACACACGTTGCTGTTCATAAATGCAGTAGAATGGGGGAAAGAAATCAATATTCCCAAGACTCTTCACAGTCCTTTATATTTCAGCGTTTTTTTGTGAAGATCACCGCCTATTTCCAGACGTTTCCATCTGGATTTTGTATAGTAAACGAGAAATCAAAGAATGCCTGAAGTGGTCGATTATCATAGCTTAGGCTGCCTCTTATCGTTTTTGCGGCGCGAACGTTCCAGCGATAGAAAGGCGGCTGCATTTGCGCGCGGGCAGGTAACCATTGCCGTTGTTGTTCGTCTCCTGATCTTTTTTGTGTAATTATATTCAACCTGAAAGTAAGTATGGATTTTTCTTGACCTGTAATTCAAGAATGCAAGGACAAGGATTTGAAATGTCCTTCCTGGGCTATACTTGGGCAGTGCACTGCAGGTGATAGGATGATCTGGATGAACAGGAACTGTAGAGAAAGCTGTGGACGGTGCAAAGGTAAGAGCTGTGGCGACAACGACTTAGAAAACCTAAATTTCAGCTGTATATGTAATTGTGGAAATGTGTGCACGGCTAAGCACAAGTGGGCAATAAGATAATGACTGAGAGAAACGCAAATATACTTAACATTGAAGTGCAGTTTTGGAGGAACAAACCCAGTTGGATTAACTCTATTGCTCTCGGCAACGATGTTTGGCCGGTTGCCTGACATGACACTGTATGGATGGGCATGCATGTGCCATGATGGCTTCGCCCTTTTAATTCCACAACTTGGTATTTTAATGATTATATACCAGTTGTCTGCTCCATTTATTTCGTATCCGTTGCACAATGAAGGAAGAAGTTGCTGCCATGCTTTCCTCTTGGATACACTCTGTCTTAGCAAGCTCAAGGCAGTGCACGAGACTAGGTGGTCCATAGATTCATCGTACGAAAAAATTACGTATTAAGTGGAGGTATGCCTCGCCCTCATCTTTAATAATGGCGGTGGTGGCTTTAAAAACTAGTGGCGACGCTTTGATTTTGTACTGCAATGGCAAACTTTCCGATTCCGCTTTAAGCCCGTAAACTCAAGGCACTGATTTGTTTTCTTTACTTCGCTACCAGCAGCTTTGATTGGTTTGGGTTGTGCAATCCACTTAATGTTGTCATTATCATTATGATGGTCGTCCATGAAAATAAGTATTATCATTCTCATTCTCATTTTCCTTTTCACGATGTCTTTCATAGTTTATGACAGACGTCAAGAATGCCCAGCTTGGGCAAAGATGAATCACTGCAAGAAATCAAATTGGATTTGGATGGTGAACAATTGTCCTTGGAGCTGTAATGTGCCTGGTAAGAGTTTATATGCCTGAGGCACAAACAAGCCGTAACCTTTATGTCTAAGCCAATTGGGAAGTTTTAAACCCAGAAGCCTCCTGGTTTTTCATGCCATTTCCTGCATTTACACGCCTTAGTTTTGCATATTCCCATTAAAAAGCCTAATTAAAGGGGCTGTGTCACGACAGTCCAGATCGTTTTGTTTAATTTTGTCAATTACTCGCCTTCAATCGCTATGGAACTTAAAGTAAGCAAAGAAATTACATGTAAATGACAAAATCAGAGATCCGAGACAAACAAATTTGTCTCCTGAGCATTATTTTTGAAGTGCAAGCAGCAGGGATCAACTTTGAAAAACTGTTAGGCTGAACAGTTTTCAAAAACCCTAATTTCAATCTGTTTCAATCTTCTTCAATTTTGCCTATCCGTGGCATCTGTTGTTTCTGTTATGTTATTTTAACCTTCCTTTAAAGTTTTAAGCGGTCATTTTTGTTCCTCTTTATTTGACAGGCATTTTTTAATTTCCTAATTTGGCTGAATTTCGTGACACAGATCCTTTAATGCCCCAGATTACCGTAGGTAATCTTAGGTAATCTAGAAAGACAGCGAAGTTAGGGAGGCAGCATGGTGAAGTGGCCCTTAACACCTCCTTAGACCCTGTCACAACTTGTTCCAGCCTTTGCCGAATTACTGCCTCTTTTAGATAAAATGACGCATACTTAGCAGTAGGCACCTCTCGTTCCTGTTTAAGACTTAAGGCAGAGCTGCAGCAAAACAGCCTTTATTTAATTAGTTTCTTTTGTTTGAAATGGCTTTGTCCAGACTCCCTACTTTGAACCACACACCGACATTGAAGCATAAAATGAGAAAATGAAGGGAAAGCAGAAACGGTTTAAAATTCAGATTCTTTGCTGGATAGCAAGTCATATTGACCTCTCACAATCCTTCCATATATAGTCAAAGAAGCCTTGTTCTGCGGTGGAAAAGCAAACGGTGATTACCAAGACCCGTCTTCCTGCAAAGCATACATAGCGTGCTCGCACGGTGTCGCAACGCACGTGGCGTGCCCACCAGGAAAGTCGTTTGACACAATCAAACGGATATGTCAACCCAGTAACCGAGCTACCTGCTCAGTGGTCCACCTACGTGACAAATTAGAACCGGAATGGAAGATACTGTGGACCTTAAAAAGAGGATTACCGGACCCTCATCATTGAGCTTTTAATTTGACAACAAAAGCTTGACACTGAGGTCGATTGAGCATTCTCTATACTATTTTAAAGGTGACTTATGGGGGGCAGCAATATGCTACGGCCGCTCATCGAGTTATAGTTTCTGCTTGGTCAATCATTTTATTTTATTTTGCCCATGGGTGACTAAATTTTGACGAAAGCAAGAACGTACTGATTGCTGGTTGTCACTCAAATTAAATCTAGAGTTTCATTGGGTTTTCCCCTCGTACGACTCTAATTACGCCTCCTCGATTTCCTGCCAAGCAACCTCCGTCCTGTAATAGCACACAAGAGCAATACGCTGGGCCGTTTACCATTTGATAATTATACGTCCATGCACTTGGATTATGGATTAATAACTTAAAATCCCGATAACATAATATAAGCCTTGGGTTGATACAACTTGGTAAAGAGTTTTGAAGGGTCACGGGTTAAAATACGTTGTAAAAACTGCAAATGCTGTTGACTAGTAAATAGAGGCTTAAGATACAAACATATATTTGCGTTAAATATAAAAAAAAATTTCCATAATTTTGTTTACCTGTCTGACTTACAAAAATCACACTTAGTACTTTCCAAGGTTAATCCTTTCATTATTAGAGGTGGCCAAAATGAAAATACCTCAAGATGCTGCAAATGATATAGTTTCGGAAATACTGCTTCATACTACCATACTACCGTCCAATGTAAGCCGGAATTCCATGGCATAGAATGGGATAGGATAGCATAGAATAGAATAGAATAGAATAGGACAGGATCCATAGGATTCTGGATTTCAGATTCCAGTACTGGAATTCGGATTCATACATTGTCAGTGGAACTTGGATTCCGGATTCCAATCGTTAGCGGGATTTCCAAAGCCAAGGATTTCTAATTATGGATTTGCAGGATTCCTGAATCGGGATTACCTTACATGAAGCGATTTAAGATCTCATTCAATTGGTTACAAAGTTAATAGAATTCCAGCCACAAACTCAAGAGTTGAAATCACCTAACGATACTACATCAGTCACTGTTGGGGTGACTAATTAAAGGGTTAAGTTCATTTTATGCATGGGTAAACAAGCGAGCTATTTTTCAAGAAAGAAAATGAACTGGCCAAAAATAGCTTATTCTTTAGACAACTACCATTACTCCGAGTATGCCTCTGCATGTCTAAAAGATTTTCACAGGCATTCGTCTTCGTTACTGGTATTAACAGGATGGCCGATCAGAGGCACTTGAGCATAATGTCTGAAAGTCGCGCGGGTCAGTTTCGGACGTAGCCACTGAGTGAGGGTTCAGATTACTCAAAATCGCAATAATAATGTTTTCTAGCTGTTTTCAGGTTGGATTTGTAAAGTTCTTACTGACATATTTCGATAAAACAGCGATTATAACATCGCTGTAAATCACTAAATTTAGAAAATTTTTCCCCTCAGCCTTTAATCCTGTGAAACAAGTTAGATTGTCGTTCAGCACGAGAATTTCTTTTCGCAACAAGGTTTCAGATTCTGTAAGGAAAAATATACTAATATATGTTGACTCTAGGCCACGTATGAACTGTTGTCCTATTATAATAATAGAGTTTGTCTCATAATCATTTGCATTGAATACAAGGCTCTTTCCAGAAACACCTGCTTTACTCTTACTAGTTGCCTTTCACATTTTTACTGCTTGTAAAACAGCAGTTACTGTGACTATTACATTCACAGGCATTTTATATTATCTAACGTCGAACGGAAATTTAAATATTTTTGGATCTATTTATTTTAATTCAAAAGTAAAATTTTAAGCCAATCAGAAAATACAACACCTGCTGTGTGGTGAATCGAATCTCTTTTACTCTGTGATCAACATGACACACACCTGCTCTCGCTGTGACGCCCTTGGCCGAAGAAAGCACTAACATCTCATTCTAGAACTCCCCTGATCAAATATTATTGGATATATCATGTATTGTTTTCATACCAGGGAACAATATCATTGTAAGCACTTAATTAGACACTGACGTTGTAAAATTCGGTTCTCATAACAACCATGCTTAGGGGCTAAATATGTTATGCATTACTTTCAAAACAAAGCTATGGAGAATCTTCATCTCAATGAAAACACATGAAAATTGCTGCACAACAGCGGAATAACTTTCAACTTCAGACTCGCCTACAAAGATTGAACTGGGATAAGTCACTTTGAGTATATTCTAACGGACGAGGAAGTAACCGCCAGTTATTTGAACGTTAAATCGTAAGTTACTTAGCAACTTGGTGTTTAATCAGCAGCCTAGCATTTACAGCTGTTGTCATACTCAGTGGCAATTTTACCGCCGTTCGCGTGTTAACGTTTTTTAAGTCAGCGCTTCAGTATTTGTCATTAACGCAAGATGGGAGACAAGAGCAAAATTAAAACGGGAAATCTTGAAGCTAATGTTATGGAGGAAAGCGAACTGTCAAAGAGATTAGGTCGCATTAAAAGACAAACGGACTATTTTGTGAGCAAAATTGAATCGGAACAAACCGCTTTGGCTAAGAGATTTTTAAGTCATCTAAAAAGAAGCACGAGGATAGCTGAAGAGAAAGAGGCTATGGAAAGAACTTTTAAATCTATGCGATGGAATCTTGCTTTTGAAAGTCAGAATTCTGGACATCTAATGACAAGCTCAAGAAAGTTTGGAACACGGAGAGAACTCGAATGCCAGGAATTGAAGCAGGATCATGGTGTATCTAGTGAAAAATTATTATTTGACAAAAACCCATCGCATGTGTTAAAAAGAATGAGTCAGCAGTTTGAAGTGCCTTACAAAAAGATTTACTCGTTTAACACAAGCGAGTCAGACAGACCTGCGACTGTCTTAGATATGCGCTGTAAGATGTGGCAACGAATCTCGTTCTGCGGAGATAAGAAGGAACGAGCGAAAAGTGCTTGCCCTCCGTGGACGAAAAATTATAAGGCGCCGAGACACATTCAACTCGCTCACTATCGGGCGTTAAAACATATAGGCATGAAGACGAACCTAGTGAGCGCTCCAAGCAGACAGCCTCAAATTGATGTCGAGGCTTTAGCAAATTACCGTAGCCGCGAAAATGAGGTTGCAAAACGAGTTATTTCTCGATTCAACGAAAGTCTGGAACCTTACAAAATACGGCCGGGTCCAAATCAAATCGTTTACGATACAAGCAAACTCTACGGAGAATTGGCGAAGCTCAATTACAGACTTAAGAAATAACCGCGTTTTAATTGTGTTTAGTGGGCATGCTTATATTTGGAGGGGCTTATTTTCGGAATTTTACGGTATTGTGCAACATGCGCATGTTGCACAATACCGTAAAATTCCGAAAATAAGCCCCTCCATTTATAAGCCCCTCCAAATATAAGCCCCCCAAACTCGTAACGCAAAAACCCTCCGTTAAATCGCCCCTCCGAATATAAGCCACCGGTGGTTTGTACTTGGAAATTGTCCTCACAAAGTAAATCAAAGCAATAAACGGTAACATTAAAGAACTATCACGTGTGCCAAATGATTGCAGTTCGGAAGTATCACAGTTTATTGCTTTTTGCGTAGTTCACTCTTGGATTCCCTCGGTCCATATTGAGACAAAGTACTTGTATGCATGGATGCTTTTTAGAAAGGTCATCCTCAAGGCGAGTTTAAGTAAAACCTTTCTGCAAATTACTGACATAAATTTCTTTCCAACTATAAGCTAGCCCAATCGATTTAGAGACGCAAATTTCCCTCCAAGTATAAGCCTAGCCGATTTTGAAACGCAAATTTCCCTCCGTATATAAGCCCCTCCAAAAATAAGCCCCTCAAAAAGGGCGTTTGAAAAATATAAGCCCTGGGGCTTATTTTCGGAATTTTACGGTATTTACACGAAGGTAGGGGTAGCTAGCCTGCGCCACAAACGAATTTAGCTATAAAACTCTAAAAGCTAGCGCCGAAATCCTTATTCTGGACCCCACCTGTGTACTGGGATTGGAGTATGCGTCATGTTTGGCCTGAAAAAAATAATTCAATTGTCGATTTGCCAATCAGGTTGCAGGGAAACCCGAAACTCACTTTCGGTAATTCGTTGAGTCCGATGGGGGACAAGGACAAGGATCTCGGTGCTGCTTCGCATACAGTATTAACCGGGATTAGACTACGTCTGCGAGGCAGGCTAAAGCAGGGGTTAATTTGCATAACACCGAACGGCGGTCGAGCGCACAGAGAAAGATATTTAGACATTTGGGGTAGGAAGAAGAGTCAATCAAGTTCCATTTCATTTGGCCCTAATGTATACATGTATGAGGAACGTACGGTGCGACGCTCGGTGACAACGTCACTGATCATGAAATGATTGACTTCTCGTCCTTTTACTGTGAAACTCACAAAACCATGAGCACCAGAAATATTTATGGAATGTTGTGTTGCGAGAAACTAGCCAATAAGGCGCGAGACAACAAAGTAATAAAACCGCAAACAGCAGAGGTAATTAGTTTGAGGTTTGCTTGCATATATCCTGAACTTTATTGTGATTGGCCAGTACACAATCAACATTCCTGAAAATTTTCAGGTGTTCACGGTTTTCTGAGTTTGTTGGCAGTTAACTTTTTCGCGATGATTGGAACTCGTCAGTCCGTTTAAAGTTGGGAATGAAGCGGCCGTTGAATTGAAGGGAGAGGATAGTGTTGGAAATCATCAAATACATTTCTCGCCTTGCCGTTCACTTCTCTAATAGAACTTTTAAAAAAAATGGCCATTTCACGTCGTATATAAAATTGTTGTTTTGCTTATATTAAACCTATTGAATTTTTAGCGTTGCCGTTGCCGTTGCCGTTGCCTTGTAAGGTCCCTATAAAACAAAACGTCATGGTCATTCAGCTTTTAGTAGCGGATCCAGACCTTCAGATAAGGGAGGGGTGGGAGCAGACGGTCATCCAGACCGTGAAATAAGGGGGTCTCAAAAAGAGGGGGCCGCCCCCACGGGCCCCTCCCCTGGATCTGCTACTGGCATTTGCCATGCAAT